TTATCTTTCAATCTTTCAATCTTTCAATCTTTCTTCATAACTTGAACTTGAAGTATTAACTTTATTTTATATCCTCGAGTACATTTCTTTCTTTTCAGAGAAACACTGTTTTCATTTCCATTGGTTTATTTTTTTATTTATTTCATCTCATCTATTCATTCATTCATATTTCTGAATATACTTCCCACCATCACACTTCACCTCACTTCACCTCATCTATCCATCTATCCATCTCCTTCCTTTCTTCCCCTCTTCTCCTCTTCTCCCTCATCTCCCCCAACCTAACCTCCACTCCACTCCACTAACCTAAATCTCAACTCTCAACTCAACTCACCTCTCCACTCTTAACATCTTTAAAAAAAAACAATTTCCTAGCCTACTCCCTCTTAACTCTCTTAAGTTTTTTAACTCCCTACCTACCTATCATTTCCTACCCTTCATTACATCCCCTTATCCCCTTATTATCCTTATCATCCTGATCCCTATCATCATTTCCTACCTACCCTATATCCCCTTATTATCCCCTTATTATCCTTCATCCTCATCCTCATCCTCATCCTCATCCTCATCCTCATCCTCATCCTCAACCCTACCCTCATCCCATCTTCATCCTTATAATTCCTCACCAATATCCAATATCCCTCACTAACAATACTCACTAACCATACTCACTAACTCGCTAACTCAGTAAAAACTGTATTTCTCTTAACTTTGTCCTCTTCCCCTCATCTATCCATCTCTCTCTTTCTCCTCTTCTCCACTTCTCCTCTCCTCTCTCTCCTCTCCTCTCCTTGTAATAATTAGTTAGATAGTCGCTTCGTGAGCGAGGCTAAGCGAGGTAAGGCAAGGTAAGGTTTATTATCTACCTAGTTAACCTAGTTGTGTTGTATTATTTTCTCCGCGCTATATATTGCTGTGCTGCAAATGCATTCATTTTTATGGTGCTTACCCTCTTCCATCATATCATTTTCACATGTAGAGTCTACTTTTATATGTAGTGTACTCTTCACATCGAGTTTAAAACTAGGGTGAAGATTAGGTATGTATATGTTTACTCAAGTATAGGGATTAGCATTATTTTAAACTTTTACAATGACATCACCTACATATTTAGATACCACAGCATACATACATACACACCTAAAGATCAAAAGTATTTCGTCATAACTTGATTCATTATTATCCTCTGTACTGCAATATAATACTACAAAGAGGTTTTCTCAAACTCGAATGCCAAATGCCGAATGCCCATTGAATAGCGAAAGTAAAAAGCCAGTATCAGCTCCCATGCCCACCATCTCATAACTCATTTCTTTCGTCGTCTGATAGCCTTCATTTCCCTTCCGTCAATTATAACAATTTATTTCATCTCCTGATACATCATTATCACATCATGCGTGATTTAGTATTGTATCCGAGTTGAACTACGACGTCCAGACTTAAGCACCCTCATCATCTTCGATGCGGATAGAACCCTCGCTGGACAAACCATGGCTCCACCATCCATCAACAGATGTAGCGACATTGCTACCATGAGCCAACAAGAGCCAAAGACCAAAGACAGGCTTGGCCAAGACATCCAGGACAGCATAAGCAATGACCTCAGCATCAACCGACCAGGTGCGGGATCCATCACCAATACCCCAGACAACTGGGTAGAGGGTCCAGATAATCAAAGTGTAAGCTGCAATAGAGACGAAAAGCTTCGATGTCTTCGCATCCTTGGTGGAAACGGCACGACGACCGGGAATGATCATTTGGTACATGATGACCAATAAGGCCACACATCCCATGGCATACCAACCCCACTTGGCAGCTCCATCGTTGTGGTACGCAGCAAAGAGACCAGTCAAGACCATGACGAGATCAGCGACAATAACGACAAGGATGTTGGCCCCGTTGAGACCAGCAAGGAACGAAAGATCGAGAAGGAGAAGAGGTGTCGTCAAACTCCAATCGACGTAACGAGCCCAGAACACTTGTCGGTAGACATGTTCAAAAGTATCTGGGGTATGGTTGTGTACTTCCCGAACGATTATGTGTGTAAGGGCATTTCCATCACCAATTGCCATGGCATAGTATGAGAGAGTGGCGAAGAGAGTGATGAATGCGGTAAGAACATGAAAGAGACGTTTTTGCTATAATACAAATAGGTTAGCAGGTTAATCCATAGACGAAAGAGAGAGTCAGCGTCGGAGAAACACTTACAACTGGTACTCTCCAAGCCAAGTAGGAAAAGGTAAGGGTGGAGAGGAACATGATCACAAAGACAACCTATGTACGTATCACCAATTAGCCACCAATAATTGATGTATTCACATCGAATCGAGATTACTTACCCAGAGAGTTGTCTTTCCTGAAGAGCCAATGGTCTCATATGTTGGAACATTGGGAACAACAGATGGGATTGGAGCCACCGATGGAGTAGGAGTAGGAGTAGGAGTACTTGTTGGGATCAAAAGAGAAGAGGTCGCCTTCTTAAAACCCTCCATATCGAAAGCTTGCATAGGATCAATCATCTTGACTGATAATTAATTGAAAGTATTGTGGTATGGTGGTATGGTGGTGATAGAGAAAGTAATCAAGTTAATGAATTGAAATTGTTATGAGAGATGTAAGATGAAGATGAAGATGGAGATGGAGATGAAGATGAAGAGAGAAGAGATAGAAAGAAGAGACACAAATGATGGGTGGTGCAGTAGAAGAGGAGAAGAGGAGTAGGTAAAGCTTTAAATTGACCAAGCACAAAGGAAGGATGATGATGTAGGTAGGTATGATGATGATGCACAAGAAATACGAATACAGTAAGTAGGTAGGGTAAGGGTAGGGTTATTCACTTTTCTTCATCCATACAAATCATGGCATAAGTGGCATTGGCATCAAATTCAAGGAAAGAGGGAAGGAAGAGGGAAGGAAGTAAAGGAGTAAGTAGGTAGGTGGTCAAAAGCAGCAAGTATTTGATATGCATACCTAGGTAGGTATTACCGGTATATTATTATAGTAATAAGAATAAATATCCAGCCACTTATATATATGGAAAGTTGATTGAAAACAGTTCTTTGCATCCTTCCTTTCCTCTTTTTATCTCTATTTATCTATCCATTTATTCATTTATATATAATAGAATAAAATAATATCTTTTATAGAGGGGGTTGTTGGTTTCCAAAGTAGGAAGTAACAAGGATTATTTGGGTGTTGATGTCATCGAAATATGGTAAATGAGAAGGGTAAGTGGTAGGGGTAGGTAGATCTCTTTCTTTGTTGTTGATTGGTTGGTTCTTAATGTGGTTTACTGTTTAAAGTTGCGGGTTACGGGTTGCGGCTTGCGGTGGTGGTGGTCATAGCTCTTGAAGGTAGGTAGTGAACTTTAAATTGGATGGGATGGGATGGGGATAGATGGGATTGTTTGGTTTGTATGTATGGCATTCTTTTCTTCTTTTGAGTTGTTGAGTTAAGGTTTAGATGGAAGTGACTTGTCTGTGACTATACAATCTGAAAATATGAGATGAGATGATTAAAAAGGTACAAACAGATGGGTCATATTTGATAGAGGTTCCTCATCCACAATACAATCAACAGCACAAAAGGTACTATTCATTATAAGCATAATTTCATTAGGGGGGATATCCAAATCAATTCATATCATTCATGTCATACATCATACCTACCTACATCATGCAATCATGCAATCATGCAATCATGCAATCAATAATCCATCTAGTCTGGCCCCGAGCATTTGAAGTAACACAAGGATCAGCTACATTGTAACCCAGGTACTCCCTCCCGCCTTAACCCCTCTTACCCTTTTCCCCAACTTTTTCTCAATCATAGCAGATCGAAAAGAAAAGAAAAGAAAAGAAGATCGATCATTTCGTTCATTTTTATTTATATATCAGGTGATTGATTGATTGGGAGAGCATCTCTTCATCTCTTCTTCTATCAATCTCATTCACCCTTCTACCAAGTTTATTTTATTTCATATCGATTTTCAAATTCATATTCAAATTCAAATTCAAATCTTCTAGTGCAACTAGGCAATATATATATATATATATATCTACGCGACCGGAGTAATAGCTCCGATAATTAGTGTGGTACATACTAGGTATACTAGGTAGGTAAACCTTAAACTAAAATTACTGGAACTAGAACTAGAACTAGAACTAGAACCAGAACTCTCGCTGGCCAAGGTTTCGCTTGAACTTGAACTTCAAGTTACAGTACTGTATATCAAGTGGCGTAGCAATGTGGCATGTGGCGTACACTGGACACCCATCCAATGAAAGCATAGTTCCTCGCCTCCAAACTTTTCTCTCTTTCCTCTTTCCTTTTACCTAAGTTGTTCCAATATAAAATTATACTCGAGTATATAATCTTACAATACCTCCAACTAAGGTACCTCGTAATCTCACACTGGATATCGAATTATCGATGTGTTTCAGGTATATCAATCATGTCTTGCTCTTGTCTTGAATACTGTATTTGTGAGTACAGGATTTCTTTTATACTTTTATATTGGCTTTTATATTGGGGGATGGATGCCAGTCACGACATCAGTCACGGTTTATTAACGTTGTACAAGTAGGTATATGTAAGATTACCTAAGTTCAACCTGTGTGGGGGTATGGGATGGGGCTGTATATATCGTATCGTATTGTGTCGTGCGTGACTAGAGACTAATTTCGTTGTTGTTGTGGGGAGAGCTGAAGAGCTGAGTTTGTTTTGCTGCAATCAAGATGATATGTGTAGGTATGATTTGAACCATGAATTGATGGATGGGACATTAATACAGTCTGTTTTTCCATACATTTATTTGATTTGGGATTAATGCCAGCTCTGAATTTCTAGAGAGATAAATTGTATAGTATTGTAAGGGGTGGTTTGCAAATCGCTAAATGATAAAGGTAGCGTTGAGCCTTGAGGAGTCTGTTCTGGGCCAGTGTGGTAAGTAGGTACCTAGTGCTGTATAAGGGATTCAAAATTTGAAATCAAATAGTAACAGTATGGGTGGGTGGTTAGTGGTGGTACCAGTACCGGTCATTTGTACTCGAGTATGTCTTTTTGTTTTTTTTGTTTTTTTTGGGTCAGAGTATATGGATGAGTGAAGAGAGAGAGTGAATGCTACACATTTTCGATTCGAGGGAGGGCTAGTAGCCGTTCTCTTTTCTTTGGGTTGCTTCGTCAATTTTTATATCTTTCTTTGGAAGAATTGATTGATACTATTTTGAAGACTGAAGAGATATCTTTATCTTTACCGAACCATCTTTCTTCGCGCTTGACCAAGAAGAGAGTGAATTCATTCATACAGAATTTAAGTGAATGATTAGTAGGCTTTACGCTCGTTGTAGGAACTCACGAGGACTACAAAAGGCCAAAGAGGCGCGTGAGAAACATGAGAAACAGAACATATCATCGAGATTATATAGGAAGCGACTCATGTCTCAGGCAATGATTACTCTACCGATGATCTTGCTGTAGATGGGAATTTACTACTAGATTATTTCAATCTGATATACTGGGCTCCTCAGTTGTGCAGTCCGGATCCAGATACGAAATTCCTGTCATCTATATATTATAGACGATTAATTTCGATAAACAGTAAATGTTATTTAGTGATAATAGCAATCAGAAGACGACGATAATCGTGGTGAAAAAATAGATAATAACTATTAATCATATCTACTCATTGGACAAAGAAAAGAAGATATCTTCCATCAATCTCACCCAATGTTTAACTCAAGATTATCTCTTATTAATATTCAACGCAAGATTTACCCCCCAGATTCAAATCCATCAAGTTATCAAGATGATTTTACAAACCCTTCATACCTTTTTTTCCCATAGCTCACAAAGTTAATAAAAGAAATTCGTTCCAGATCCAGAAGAACCCTACTTATTATATCTCTGGATTCTGGAATGTTTTGAGGGGTTATTAGTATAGATAGGATAGACACTTAAGTAAGGCTAGCAAAAGGAGGGGTTTGTGACACATGAGAAGATGAATAGAATTTGGAGGTGAATATAGATAGGGCTATGAGATAATTTAACTGAATCTTGGATCTTGAAGTGAGTATGCGCTACGAGAGCCGAGACTATGAGTGAATCTCACACAGTCCTCCCTCATATGAGTTATATCTTGTAATATTCTGTACAATCCTAACTCGTAGCTAGTAACTAGGAACTAGGAGCTTAATAAGAGTCGAAAACGCATCAAGGTGGAGGCTGGTGTTGATATCAATGATGAGGGTTTGGATACAACAGTTTCCCCAGCAAAGAAGCAGGGTTTGGATCATGATGGTATGTACTGGAGTTTAAGCTTAAACTGTGATATCAACGACAACAAATATAAAGGGAATAATTATTTAAAAGAGGTAGTAATGATATTGGTAATATATACTTGAGCAGTCATAATAAAATATTAATTCACTCTATAGGAAAAAAGACTCAACTCGATTCAATAGTTTTTGGAGATCTATGATTCCGTTAGGAAATCGATCAAGCTCAATGATTTTAAAACATGATACGTATATGGACGATGAAGTTTCTGCGTGGACAGCGACGCAGCGTTGTGTGGTTACAATTAGGATCTGAGCGGTTTCCAGGGAGGGTACCTATTTAAGGGGATAAAACCAAGAGTTCCGTTGAATTTCCTGCGCAGTCACATGATTGATCTATCTTTATAGTAATGATAAGAACTCTTGTCATATATCTATCTGGAATATCTTATTTACAAGTTGGCTCGGAACTGATGACATCTGATATAGTTGCAAAAGAAAAAGCCTGTATGTATTATTGAAATCCGAAAGTGGCATTCACATGTACAGGTCATAGTATCAGTGCAATTTGAAAGGATAGGATAGGATAGGATAGGATGGGATGGATGGGTGGATGGCTAAAATTTGAATTTGAATTTGAAAGGGGGGAGGGGGATGAGGGATGGGAGGATGGGAGAATGAGAGGATGGGAGAATGAGACGATGAGATGAGATGGGATGGGATGAGATGAGAAGAGTCTGAAGAGATGAGATGAGAAGAAATAAGATTAGATCTTCCATCTACTATATATTATCATCTGTTAATCATCTGATAATCATCAGCTATTCATCAGCTATTCATCCATTACTCTCAAATATCAAACTTGAAACCACATCTAATATCATTATCATTATCATACCGATATAAGTAATATCTCCAAGCCGATCAATATATATGATGAAGTATAAAGTATAAAATATAAAATAAAACTATACAAAGTAGCAAGCAGTACATACTAGAGATATATATATACAAACTTGAAGGCCCAAGCATTCATTTCCCAAATTAAAGGTACTAGCTAGAACATGAAAGAGAAGTACTAGATGATAGATATGCACCAACTTGAAGAATATCCAGGAAAAAAGACTCTCTGATTTGAAGAGCTACAGTAGAAGGGGATATTCTCTATAATATGCATCCAAATCATCACATCGAATAGAACTTGAAGAAAAAGGTTTCCCCCTCATATCCTCCTCATTGTCGTCCGACTTTATCAGCATCTATCCGTATCTTCCGTATAATTCGCAGAATTCTCAATACCTGAAAATATAATGAATACCACTGGCAAAGGCATTTTTGACATGACATGACATGACATCACCCCCAAGATCTCATCCCATCCAAAGTAACCTTATACCCTTATAACCTAACCGTATTTGAGAAGAGTTTTTCATTTTCATATTCGCTGATACCTACTTAGTATGTATGTATGTATGTATGTACTCGAGTACTATGCACTGATGAATGTATGCACCGATGTATATAAGAAGCTAGAAGCTATTCCAGTCATTCCAGCCATTCCAGCAAAACCCCATGCTAAACCCCCCCAGCTTGCTCCTATTTTTATTTTAGTATCCACGCCCTACCCCCTCCATCCATCCATCCATCCGATGATTCCAGTGATCAAACTCCTTATGCATGCATGCAAGCGATGTAATAACTAACCAGCCAACCCTTGTAAAAGAAAATCATGCCGTTTCCCATATGCACTTATGCGAGCCTTTTAAATCCCTATGCTTTTAAATCTCCTGCCTCCCATGTTCCTCTTCGATTCACCTTGTTTTACTATCTCATCTCGTCTCGTTTTATGCGTTTCTCCTTGCTTACTCCTACTCAAAGTAGCAAATCGCTCTCGCCCTCCTGATCCAATAATTCTCCCAACATCTCCAAAGCCCTCTCACTTCCCACCCCACTCAAGACCACTGCCCCCGCTCTCGCCGTACTCAGATATGACAACTCCTTTCCAAAAATATTACCACCCTCTTCCTCTGGCTTGTCATTTAATCTCATCTCATTCACCAATTTTCCCGCCACTCCACACACAATTCCCGTGCTCTCAAGTGGTAGATCGACTAGATCGAGGAAGATCGGCACTAAATCACCATCGGTATCGCCTTGGATCGAGGAGCCGAAGAGAGGAAGGAGTGTTTTATCGAGGAGGAGGGAGGAGCCTTCTTCAAGAGAGATGGTGAGGGAGAGGAAGGTAGGTTGGTGGATTAGAGCCGAGATGATGGACATATAGAGACGGGTGTTGATCTTGTCTAGAGGAGAAGGGGGATGCGTACCATTGCCATTACCGTTGGAATTTGGTCGTCGTTCTTCGAAAACGCGATCCCGACCCGAACATTGGATCAGTCGTAAACCCGGTTGTACGAAAGGCTTTACATTGCGACGTTTGAGATGTTTGAAAGTGCGGGCTTGGAGCTCGGCGATATTGGAGGGAGGGGGCGTGGAAGGTGGATTGGAATTTGAACTGGGGCCGCGGGAATGAGACGTGGGGGTGGGGACGACGTAGGCGGATTCTTCTTCGGAGAATTCAAAGCCGCGGGATAAGAGAGTCTGGCCAACTGTATGGCGATCTTTGAATGGGACGAGAATGAAATCTGTGTAGTAGGTTGTGATAAAAAATATGGGGACTCCAGCCATGGCAAGAGGTAAGGTGAGATCCATGACTCTTTGACCTGCATCAGTGCCAGTACTATCAACCGAAAAAACAATGTAGCTATCAGTTGATATCTGAACTTTGTTGTTGTCATCTTTGGGTAATGTGTCGATAATCGGTTGAAAGACAGTCTCAGCCCAGGATTTATGGCAGACAACAGAGCACTCAATTGGAGTTATACTGATATTGAGAAAGCCATGTTCTTCGTCAAATACAAGACTTTCTTCATCTTCATTCTCATCTGATGGATCTGCTTCCTTATATGGCAACAGCACTCTCAAGATCGGTTGCAACAGCAAAAAATATAGAGGAAGTGGTATATGGATCAGGCTGAACTCGCCCTCCTGGTTTCGATTAGTAATTGTTTGCAGTGTGTGTGGATTGTTCAAATCATCATTGTTGTAGACTTTGAACAAGGAATCCATGATAACTGAATTTGTGGAGAGAAGTAGAGAGGTAGAGAGTAGAAGCAGCAAGTGGTTTTCTTGTAAAGGCCCGTTGTTCTTGTCTGAAGTTGATGGGATGTTCCTATTCCCATCTTTGGGAGTGAAACATAAAATTCACTTTCTCCAAGAATTCAAGTGAAAATTAAACGGGGTGATAGTTGATCATGACTACAACTACATCACAGTTTTGAATTGAGACACCATTCAGATGTATCCATCCTCCAACCCCTATACAAGCGACAACCCGACGAACCATGCTAATTGCCATTTTCTCTTGACTTTCCAAAGGGTAATTGAAATAAAGAATAACTCACAATAAATGATATTTGAGCATTCATGATGCTTTTCGTTCCTCCAGTCGTTCGGCTTTCCTACCTACGGCACAGTGCCAGGGATTTATGCAAGCCAGCCCTCCCAGGCTCTAGTACCTTGCAGCTACCCGAAGCAAAGGAGCCAAAGCAAGACAACAAGACTTGGAAGTTTCGAAGTTTTCTCCAATTGACAGAGTGTTTAATCAATTGGATTGGTGTAGTCAAAGTTCAGAAGCTGACTTGAGTAGAATATGTCGAAGGATGAGAACAAGATGAACAAAGGAGGCGCTTTCTCCAAACATCAACAGCGGGGTAATCTTAAAATCAATTGAGAGATATCAACAACTCATATGATCCATCACAAACGCATCCCACTTCTTATGAAGTTAAAATCCCACGCGCAATAAGACAAAAGCAGAACCTTTGTCTCAATTCAGCTGCTCGTTGGCAAAGATATTTGGAATTTCTCCTTTTGGGGGTTGGTGGAGGTTTTTATTCTTTTCGCAAAGAGGCAGTAGTTAGTTATTCAAAGTCTCTTGGGTGGTAGTGAAAGTGCTCAACTGAAAGCTCTATCTCCTGCATAAGCCACAAACGATGCAGCCGATGATGATGTGGGGGTACCTTTGAACGATATAATTATTGTAGATGTGGTTCTTTGCACGTTCTTGCTGCAGGATTCTGCACTGAACCGACCCAACTAAAAGAGAGATTGTTCAATGAGAAAACGTGGAGGAGATGTATGGGATGGGATGGGATGTATGGGTATGATTGATAGCCAGGGAAATGTCCCAATTCTGCTTGCATGCGAGAGGGGCGGGGACTTATAAGATGCTTTTCCGGGCAGGGGTTTTCTCTGAATTGTAGTATGAGCTCTCGGTATGTTAGGTGTTGTATGGATTGGATGTATGTATGGGTATATGGGTAAGGAAGGTACTGATTTGTGGGTGCTACGACGTCGTCCTTTTTTTTTAAGTTTGTGTTTCCGAGGACTGCAATTGCGACTGCGACTGTGATGGGATATGCAAGATGGCTTGTCAAGGTTACTGGTGCGGCGGTGCCCTGCCAAATAACTTATATTGGATTTCCTGCAGTAATTGCCAACTCAACTCAGATGAAAATAGGGAATCGACTCGAGATGAATTGGCAAATAGAATTTCAAAGTAAAAAAAAAGTAAATTGTCTTTGTTCGCATCGAGTCATCAGATAACTAACTTTTAAGACTTCATTGTTTCAATTTTCGTGGACACTATCAAATGGATCGGATTGTAAAGAGCCGGCGAGTGGGACTATCCATAGCTCTTTTCTTTGGGTTGTTGATAAGGAGGAGGTAATACGAAAGGTTTTAGGAGAGTATTATTGTCATTATATCTCCATAGTGGCATAGTAGGTATCCATTCACTGATTGTACTCAATGTACTGTATCACCAAAGTGGGATGGATTGAGATTAGATGAGACAAGATGTTATTCAGTAAGATTCTCAGGCTAATCCCCTTTGAAACTAATCCCCGATGCAGATTAGATTAGGTCTTTTCACTACTTGTTTAAACATCGTGAGAAGTGTTTGGATCACAATATTGAGTATTGAGTGAGTACTTCTAATAAGTGCTAGGTAAGGCTCAGTAAGCTGATCACAAGAGAAGGAAAGACCCAGGAAAGACCCAGGAAAGACGAAAGACCTAGGACTAAAATAACCTACAGTACTCTGTATAACACCACCGCCACCATCACCATCACCATCACCATCACCATCACCATCACCACCACTATCACTATCACCACCACTATCACTATCACCACCAGCCTTACCATACTACGCAGAATGATGGCATTCAAACCCGTTAGATACTGTTTTGCAGCTGTGCATATCATGGATAATATCAAAATAGATGACGTAGATGTAAGCCCATCTCAAAGTATTATAGTTACTACAGTTATGGGGAAGTATTACAGACAAATCAAAGATCACATTATATTATATTACCAAATATTCCAGTCACGGTATCACGGCATCCAACTTGATCAATTGTATATATAAATCATAAATCACCACATTCACCACATCCATCACAATATATATATCCGAATATATTGGTGCAAGTGACACTGTACGACTCAAGTTATATTACTCCACTATGAGACCCATACAAGTAAAAATAAAACGAATCTCGATTGCCACACATAACAAATTTTACAATTGAGAAAAGTTCGAGTCCGTCCGAACTACTAACGAACATGACATGAACTGCAAGTCTGCAACACGAACGTTCCATCGTTTGGACCTGGCATGACATGGGCGTGAGTGAATGTCAAATGCTGGTGAAAATCATGACTTAAACTCCTGACAATTCGCCGCAATTACTGCCCCGCTGATAGATATGGAAAATGGATACTGAGGTCTAGGCGTTTTTTATTTAGTTGTCCTCCCGAACATTGGATTTTGAATTTGATTTAGATCTGGTCCTGGGGGGTGAGACCGAATGTCCTAGAGTGGTGGTCATCGCCGCTACCCGTATACATTCATTATCTTGAGGGCTTGACCAGACAGGATTCTCAAGCGTCAGCTGTCAATATGTAACATATCAGATGACGAATAACATGATTAGATTGTAGCGTATCATAGTATCATATTATCATATCAGTTCTCGCATTCAATTCTTCCCATTTTGTGTTTGCGCATTGACCATTCACCGGTTAGATGCGGTTGCACAAGGAGGCCATCCATTCAATAAATACATTTTTTCCATACATGGTATAACTTTACATGTTATCATCTTGGTGGCAGAGTACTCCGCTTTTTGATGACGGTGCGTGGGGGGCTTGATATAACCACATTCGTCTCTCCCAATACTTTTGATAGAAAAAGACGCTGATCGCGTGTGTAAAAATTTCATGACCAACCTCTTCCCCTATAGTTTCCTCTACCGCCCCTGCCCTGTCCACCATAGGAATCGTTCCATCCTTTGTTGTGGCCTCTCCCTCCTTGACCTCCTTGTGCCGGTGGTTGCCAACCCATCGGCCCAGTAGGATAACCTCCCGGAGGTTGTTGAAAATTTAGAGAATGGTTGTTGGGTGGAGGTGGTGGCGGCCATTGTGAATTAGTAGTGTTGAAATGCATGTTTGGGTATGATGGAGGTCCCGGAGGAGGCCCTGAAGGAGGAGGTGGTGGCCACTGCATTGAACTTTGATGTTGAGTCGGATTAAGGGGATACCCTTGATTGAAGTCTTGCTGGTATGGCTGGTATGACTGGTATGGCTGATACGGCATTGGTGGGTTTGTGTATGTCTGATTTGAGAGGAAGACGCTCTGTTGGGCAGGTACCGGGGCGGCCATATGAAAGGTCTCAGGCATTAGTGGATTTTCGTTTCCTGTGAGTCGATTGGGAGAGCCACCCGAAGAGTGATTCTTCTCGTTATCGCCCGATGCACTGTAAGTTTGTTGCCTGCCCCTTGAAGGTGACCTAGAGTATTCATTATGCTTGGCACCTCTTTCGTAGTCAGGTGATGGTGAGCGCGAAGAGGTGTATGAGCGTCGTCGCCGGCGACTCCTCTCTGGAGAGCTTGTTTCAGATCCCTCTGAATCACTGTGACGCCTTTTTCTCTGCGGACTCAAGCTCCTACTTTGACTGTGTTGGTCGCGCTCACTCATAGGTTGGTCGAGTCCCTTGCGCCGCCTCTTCATCTTTTCACAGAATACTCTTGACCATCCATAATAACCCTCCCCATCAATCAATTCGCCAGTACTTTCATCCAGAATAATTGGCTGACCAAGTTCGTCCACATCAGACACATTTCTTTCATCTTGGCCAGGTTCCGCACCAAAAATAGTTTGGACATCATCCAAGAGAGCTTTAACGGCAGTAACGAGTTCGTCGTCCGCAGGTCCAGCAACAAACTGCAGTGGTTTAATCATTTCTGGATTTATCGGCCTGGTTGAATTTGGAATGATATGTGGCATCAAATTCCCAGCAGGTAAGTCGAACCAAGGCATGGATGCATCTCCATGCATAGCTGGCATAATAAACGGTGCGATCTTGGCTATCTTTGGCGCAAGTCCTTGCTCTCCATTCATTGCCGATCCAATCGATTCTTCTGTATATTGTCCGACCTCTGAAGCAATATTTACCGCTTCGCGGAGCTTTCCGATATATTCGTTGGAATAATATCCTTTATCTTCCCATATATCAAGTAGATCTAAAATCTTTCGCTGATGCTTTGGACAAGCTTTGAATGACGCAGTGCTTCCCAGTAAATTGACCAATACAGGCTGAATCTTGCCACAAACAGATGCATCGTTGGTTCGGTATTTGCAATGGTAGAGAATGTCGTTAAGAAGGTAGAGTATATGCATGCGCTTGCGCTTGATTGAAGGTTCGCCGATTGAAGGTTTGGTGAATGATGTCGCAAATATTGTTAAATATTTTCCCAGCGCCGTAAATCTTGCTGTGGATTGTACAATATGCTCCAATATCCATTGCTTGCATTTCTATCCTCGGACACGATTTAGTTATCGCATAGTTAGATGCATTAGAGTGTATGATCAAACCTGGACGTTTATTGACGAGCATTGCAGTATGACGTTGTTCAGATGGCTATGAAATTCTGCGATAGCTTCTCTGGATACTGGCGTTGGATCGCGTCGAAGGAGACTTGCAGAAAATGAGGCTTTCGCTATGGCAAGCTGATGCGACGCCATTGTTGAGGGGTTGTTAAAAGAAGGCTCAAGATGTAGGTAGGAACTTCAGTCATATGCGATAAAATTATTGGCATTGAAATTAGAAGAAAAATTGTAGTCCTTGTTGGGCTCGGTTTTGATTATGTTGTTGAAGTAGGATGAAGCTTGAGAGCTTGACGATTTCTCGATGAAAGGTCCAGATTCGCTAGCGCACGCTTTAAGGGAAAAACAAAATATTGCCTATTACATATATCTTTCAACACATCCCATATGCGACGAACTCTAGGTAGGTAGATGCCTATATTCTAGTTATCATGATGCATAATTCTGTTAGATTGTATTCTATTCAACTTTCAGTTTGCTCAAAATTTTGTGAAGAGGCAATCTATGAATGCTTTCATTCCTTCACAAAGGGTCACATATCCTGAGTTTTTGGTAGGAGTTGAGTTGAGTTGAGTTGAGTTGAGTTTGGTCAAGTTCAAATATACACATGAGCACCCAGTCCCCCAGCGCCAATATCAAACAAATTTGTCGTGAGAATCATTGCTTTATCTGACGATAAAGAAGCTGCTCAATTCAACTGAACCTATCGCCTTTCCTTGACCTAAATGGCTCCGTTGGCTCGTATTTACTTTTCTCTCTTACACGCTGTCCCTCGCTCTCTGGTGCATGGCGTGTCGGCGCAGGCTCAGTTGTCGATACTTCCTGACTTGGTGAACCAGCAGTGTCTGATTTTGCTGGACCACCATTGCTTCCCGACCCTCCGTAACCACCCGTTATGGCATCGTATTCTAGGGCCTCTTGCTGTCTCTTGCGTTTTTGATCTGCCTCAAATCGCGCAGCTCTATCTGCGTTGATCGATTGTTTTGCGAAGTAGTATGCGCCTCCACCGGCTGGAATACTTCATTAGCACTTGATGATCGAGAACACCTTCTCCACCTCTCAAAGCATACCGACACATAGAGAGCCCCATCCAACCCTAAATACATCATGTTAGTCGAGATGTGTCATGAAGGGGTGAAACCCGAAAGGGTGAAAGTCGTGGCAGTACCAGAATGATTTAACCTAAACTACGTTAGCTATCCGTAGCTATAAGATTCACTTATTGCTCATTGCTATCCACAATGGCAAGAAATCACTTACAGTGTTCATGTTGAAGGTATATTTAGGTTTTGATATGCTCTTTCACAAAGGAAGATTATTTAGATGTACTGTATTAAAGAAACAAGGTGGATTTAAGACTTTTGCATGCTTTATCTACAGTAATAAAAAAAAACTTTATAAGTAATCATCATAATGGTACGATTATATTTCTAGAAATGCTAGCCTTGTCGCCTTCCATAATTGCGCATAAAACCACTTAAGTAACCCAATTTGACCCCTGCAAAAATGCCGCGAAGCCACAATGAGTGATGTACATAGGAAGTGAACTCAAGTATTATTCACACCAACAACATAATTTGACCCCTCTCTATCACTTAACTTCTCCCGAGAAACTACAACACAACACTCTCTTGAACATTCATTCACTTGTTTACTTTCAATTTTACTACAGTATCTCTCTTTTTATGTTTACGATAACGGAATTAGAGGAACCCATAAATACTACAGCAGAACTGATCTGCTTGCGAGGCTATATTTTACGGCCATACGAGCCATTTCCAATGACGACGAGCTTTACTTCAGTCCTCTGGTATTAGAGGTCACTCTTATGAATCAGGGGATACGATATTTATATTCAGTCGCATGCGACCTTTGTTCTTAGGTTGCAATTTGCAAAGCATACACCATGGAGGAGCCCGAGAAAGAGAGCCTCGATGGCTCGTCCATAGTAGGAACATTATCTGTAGTGGTTTGGATAGCCTGCTAATACTAGACTTATATAGAAACCCGTCTCATCTCTGCGGTCTCATTTCGAACAAATGGCGAATGCTCAGCCGACCAATAACACAGCAATAAGAGGCGTCTCCCCAAAAGGTTCGAGGAACATTACAATTTCTGGAGATGCCGCCAGAGCAGCGCCAACCATACCAAACCGATCGGACACCGTGCCGCATTCGGTGGAGTCACTTCAAGCTACGAGAGGTCGTGATACAGAAGTAGCTGATGTTACACTATGGCCTCCGCGTGCCAATGGCGGTCGAAAGCTATCTCCCTCGCCCACTCGTATTATTACCTCAAGGCCAATTCCACCTCCCGCTGTTACTGTCCAACCACCCCAGTCACCCCCAAAGATAAAGAACTCAGGTCTTTCATTGGCAAATGCCTCGGCGTATTTATCAATAGATGCACCTTTCTCAGGCTCGTCCAATAGTTCTTCCCAGGGTCATTTCAGAATCCCTAGTCGGTCCAATACACCTTTGTCGGATACCAAGAATTCCCCCTCTAACCCGTCTTCACTCCCGCCCTCGCCACCTCCTCCTAGACGATCGGGTGAAATGAGAAGAAATTCCTCTTTCAAAGCAGGACCTCCACCGATCAATCGCGCCGACAAACCGAAGATATCGAGTAAGCCAGTAGGCTTCAGTTCAAGCGCCGAAAGTGTGAACTTAGCTCCAATATCTGTCCACATTCCCATAGAAAAGACATCTCCATTTAGTACCCCTCCAAGTAGTGGAGGAAGCATCGAAAATGAATATCCAATAGCACCCCCCTTGCCGCGAAATAGGCCACGGCCAGTCTCCTACACACCTTCATCTAGGTCCTTCGAGCCTCCACCTAGACACCATTCGGTCTCAAGTAGACAGAGAGATCAGGAGGCGAATGGTTTGGGACGTAGTAAAATGTCTCCACAGTTCACTGGAGGAACCCGAAGACCTGCATTACCTAATAGACCCCATATGCCACCAGAATTTTCCATTAGTCGGCCAATGCCACCCCCCCCTCCTCGGCCCTCCGTTGACAGATCAAGACCGCCGGTGACTAATGTTATGTCGACCGACATTGCAACCCCTCCAAAACGAGTCTTATCAAATCCTACGGCACAGTTGCAAACTCCGCCTAGATCCCATGGAAGATCCATGACGGTTGATAGGACAAGTGACAGAACACCAAATGAGTTTAGGACTCCGATGGTCTCTTTATCAATTAGGACCGACCATCGACCCTCGATAGATGTCCCCTCTACGCCAGTGGCTAGAGAAGGCCTATCCTTTAAGGCAGGTGAATATCCCGATACCTCTCACTCGAACCGTAGGCCTCCATTTTTTACCAAAGGAGTATACGAAATATCAACAAAATACGATACTCGCATTTTAGATGTGTGTGGAGAATATGTGTGTACCACAGGTCATCTAACCAGGGTCTGGAGTCTGTTAGACGGTGGAGTAGTTATGAGCCTAGCCCATACAGAAGGAATCAAAGTCGTATCCGTAGCTTTCAAGCCAGCTGCAGAAGTGCAAAATGAGGGCAGAAGACTATGGTTGGGGAATAACGTTGGGGATTTGGTTGAAGTTGATATTGCTAGTGGAAGCGTTGTTGCAAGCAAGTCCAACGCTCATACTAGACGTGAGATTATAAAGATTTACCGACATTTGAACGAATTGTGGTCACTCGATGATGGTGGAACATTGCATTTATGGGCTCCAGACAACACTGGTGAACCCAACCTGACCAACCCATCTCAGAGCTTTCGACTTCCGAAAGGGCATACGTTTTCGCTGGTTGTCGATGATGAATTGTGGCATGCAGCAGGCAAAGATGTACGAATCTTCATCCCGACGCTGGATGGAAGTTCCCAATTTCAGGTACTACAACGTCCCCTTCATCAACCAGATGCGGGCGAAATAACATCAGGCGCTGTCATAAGTTCTCAGCCTGACCGCATATACTTTGGTCATGTCGATGGGAAAGTAAGCATATATTCTCGAGATGATTACGCATGCTTAGGAATAGTCAATATTAGTGTCTACAAGATTACATCTCTTGTGGGTGTAGGTAATAATCTTTGGGCTGGCTTTAGCACAGGTATGATATATGTATATGACACTACTCATACTCCATGGATTGTAAGAAAGGATTGGCGTGCTCACCATGATCCACTCATTGGCTTGTACGTCGACCGTAGCAGCTTTTGGACGCTTGACCGGGAACATGTCATCTCCTTGGGCCAGGACAATATGGTACGACCATGGGATGGCATGCTCCAGGATGATTGGATGGAGCAACAGATGCAATCCCAAGAAGCAGATTTCTGTAAACTTACTCCAATCCGAACCTTAGTTATGACATGGAACGCGGGCGCATCTACGCCATATCATCTCCAACAATCGGATCAGGATTCGAGGTTTTTTCCCCAACTCCTTCGGGACAGCGATCGACCGGATATATTAGTCTTTGGTTTCCAGGAATTAGTGGACTTAGAGGATAAGAAGACCACTGCCAGTAAGTACCCTGTCAACGTCCGCAACTTCTTTCTGATCATCTGGTAGAAAGCTTTTTCAAATCTAAGAAAAAGGAGAAGGATTCTGATCACGAACACATGAGCCACCAATATCGAAATTGGCGAGACTTCCTCACCCGATGCTTAGATGACTGTGTTCAGGGTGAAATATACCACTTACTTCACACAGCAAATCTGGTTGGCTTGTTCACGTGTGTGTTTGTTAGATCACCTCTTCTACCGCGAATCAAGAATATCAATGCTGCCGAAGTCAAGAGGGGGATGGGTGGACTTCATGGGAATAAGGTAAATGGCCTTTGTAAAATTTCTACCAGTAACATGAGTTTCCTGACGTACATTAGGGCGCCTTGATTCTCCGATTTGTCTTGGATGATACATCCATGTGCTTCATCAACTGCCATCTTGCTGCTGGGCAAACGCAAACGAAAGATCGAAATACCGATATAAGTATGATCCTCGAAAGCCAGGTTCTACCTGCAGAGCGTGATCATAGTGTCCGCATAGATAGTTTTGTAGGAGGCGGCGATGGAACGATGATACTCGACCACGAAATCTGTATTTTGAACGGTGATTTGAACTACCGTATTGATACGATGGGCAGAGACACCGTGGTTAATGCGGTCAAGGCCAATAACCTAGGGAAACTTCTTGAACGAGACCAGCTTCTTGCCTCAAAACGCAAAAACCCTTGGTTTCGATTGCGCGCTTTCCACGAATTACCGATCACTTTCGCGCCGACCTATAAGTACGATGTAGGAACGGATAATTATGATACGAGCGAGAAGAAGAGAGCACCCGCCTGGTGTGATCGACTACTATATCGTGGACACGATCGTGTGGAACAGCTCGATTACCGTCGGCATGAGGTTCGAGTGTCTGACCACAGACCAGTAACTGGACTATTCAACATGATTATCAAGACTGTCTCGCCTCAGAAGCGTGCTGTGAAATGGGAGGAATGTCAACAGAACTTTAAAGATTTGAAAGAAAAGCTAGGTTCTGAAGCAAGGTAAGCATTCTACATGGTCTCTAGAAGCTTGGCACTATACTTTAGTTTTCAAACGCTAATCGACTATCAGGCTTGATTATCTTACGAATGTTCTGGGTTTTGATCTAAAGACTAGTCAACAGATAGTTGCATCGGGATCGGGAGCTTATAGGGGCCGCTGATTGGCCCGTCGACCCTCAGCTAGAAGGGCTAGAAGGACGGATACAAGCACAGCGTAAAAGACATAGATTACACTTCACCATGAGTCGAGTATCGAAAGACGGAGGGAAGCAGCGTGTCCAGAGGCAGCCAGCCACAGTATCACAGGATATGAGATATATCACAAGTTGTGCACAATTTTGTGTGTGGTTAGAAATTGGCACGTGATGAATAGACGGGAGACTAAAATAGCATACGTCATGATGTACCCCGTACGAGCCAGGCCGTTGGTATCTGGCACCTAAATCTAGTTAGCCCCACTATTCAGGTACAGTCCCCGCATCATAGAAGGGTACTCACCGGTACCGGTATGTTCATCATTGATGGCATATTTGGAGGTGGCGATGACGATGTAAAGGGGAAAAGAAAAAGGCACTTGTTTTTACGGTTTACCTAAGAAATCGCATGGTTTTACAGGTAATCTGTTGACGAGAGTAAATACCAATTAAATATTCCCAAACTACATTGCTCTTTTCTTACATGTATATCAAGTGTTTGCCAATGTTCGGAGCTACTATAAAACATAAAATCAATATCAACACAGCTTTTCCTTTTTCAATTATCTCAAACTTTAAACTTCACGCACCTCCCATCTTCCCATTCCAATCAAGATCTATAACCTCCTCCCGCCCATCTCACTATCCATATCCATACCCATCTCACAAACCTCATTCTCCACCTCCACGCACCCCATCAATCCCTTCCCAATCTTCATTCTCCACCCACACCCCCAAAATGTCGCCCTCTAACGAAACCGCCAACGCCAAAAACGCCGCCCTCTCCCAAGGCCACAAAGACTCCGATGTGCAAGGCGACCACAACGATTGGAAATTCCGCGTTCCATATAAAGTGCATGAGAATAGCGAGGAGTTCAAGGCGCTATATGAGGGGAGCTGTCATTGTGGTAGGGTTCAGTATCAGTTGGGGAGGGAGAGGCCGCTGAGTGCTAAGTTTTGTCATTGTACGACTTGTCAGGTTTTGCATGGTGAGTTTTCTTTTGGGGGTGGGGGTTTTTTGTGAAGGAGGGGAGGGGAGAGGGGATAGAAAAAGAGGAGAGAGTAAGAAAGATGTGCTGATACTGTGGGCTAATAATAGGAGCACCGTTTCAATGGGCGGCAATCTTTCATAAGGAAGATATTAATTTCACGCATGGACATCATGATTTAGGTTGGTATGTATATATCTCTCTCCTCTCTTCTCCTCTCCTCTCCTTTCCTCTCCTCTCCTCATCACTTCTTCAGCACCCTCTCCAACCCCAATATCTCAAATCAAGCCTTTCTAACCCCCAACTACCTACAGGTATGAATCCGAAGAGAAAACCACCCGTCACAAGCTTCCCTGCAAAGTAAGCTGTACATACTGCCGCGCACCCATCATGGACGAGGGCCGAAACATGATCTTGTTGTTTCCGAGCTTGATTAAATTTAAGAGTCGGGAGGAAAAGGAGAAGTTTAATCCTACGTATGTGTTTCTTTGCTTTGCTTTGCTTTGCTTTGCTTTGCTTTGCTTTGCTTTGCTTTGCTTTGCTTTGTGTGTTTGTTGGTTTTCATACTTGGATGAGATGAGATGGGATGGAAGGGCTAATGTTTCATTGCATTGTAGATGCCACATGTTCTACTCACAGCGTCTGGTAGATCTCCCGGATGGATTGCCCAAATGGACAGGTCTGAATGATAAGAGTGATTTGATTGAGGATAGTCCTCCGGAAGCGATCCAGAAGAGAAAGAGAGAGAAGGAAGAAGAGGAGAAAGAGGAAAAGGGGGAAAAGGGCCATGAGAATAAAAAAGAGAGGAAGGACTAGATGTTCGAAGAGTTGATAGTTCGGCTCCCGGTGTGAATGGTAGATACACATTTTAATATCTTCCATCATTTTTATCCATCTGGTGAATATGCATACCTTTGCATCAAACTAGATTAATTTTCCCCGTTGGTCAGAATTACGAAATTATTCGCCGTGGTCAAAGACCAATACTCCAATGGATGAACCATAACTCCTCTCTCTTTTCCAATCTCTGTTCGCCTCTTTTTCGTCCCTCAACTTTTGCACCATCCTCAACAATCCAACTCCCCAAAACCGCACTTCGTCATCAGCATGAAGGTCCCCATTATATGACAGGGTAGATCAACCAGTAGCGCCATCTATGAAGCTCTCGGCGGCAATGATTGTATGTACTCGAGATTTTGTGAGTTAATCATATTAACAACTCGTCCTCAGCAGTCTTCACACGCCCACCTCCGCACCACCATTCTTCAGTAACAAACCATCCAATCTCAGTAGCCCTAAACTCATGAGTCCATTCCCAGCATTACCGCTGCCAATCCTCATAGCCCAACGCCAACGAGTCACCAATTCGTTGATTTCCGCCGATTCGCTTTCATTCTCGGATGTCACGAGGAGTTGCATTAAAAATGACGATGCTATTGAGAAATTTGCACGGGACCCTAAATATTATCAGCGCCTATGGGGAGAAAAGGGTTGCTAAAACTTACAAGAATGCCAAAAGGCATCTAAAGCCCCCCTCCCGAGATTCTCCACGAATTCAACGACTTCCTTGGCGCACTCTCTAGCACCGGCTCGTACAGCTTGACAGCTACACATCGTTGCGTCTTCTTCTAAACTAGTCAGATTCTCCAAGGGTCGAAGGAGAGCTTGGAACAATGTCATGGTTGCAATTATGTAAGCTAGTGAAAGTGATGGATTCCCGCTTAATTGAGTTAGACCACGTGAGTCTAGATGCTCGGGTTGTCGCAGAGACATGGAAGGAGGTAGTGAATCGTTCCAGGCCTTGAGACGTGAGCGAAGGGGTCTTGCTAGTTCAAGTGATAACGAGAAATCTTTGGATGTGCGTTGGGTTGCTCGTAAAGTGTAGTAGGAATCAATGATGTCGCTGAGGATAGTGGTCAGCTCGGTCAGCAACCGGAAGTGTTCTGAATTCGGTTCAGATTCTGAAATGGCCTGATTGAGGTCGGGGATTGATGCTTCAAGGTCGTTGTCTTCAAGCGGGAGGACGTCGTAATCATCAGCGTGGATATGACTTGGCATACCGGCGCCCAGTGACGCCCATTTGTCCATGATGAAAACCCCATACCATAGCCGTTTTCGCAAGCTCATTTCCCATGTTGGTATACTGGTCCAGTCGCTGCATTCCTTCATCAACCCCAAAATCTGAGCAAGACTCACGGTCCATCCCACGAGACTCGTTTTCCAAGGTGTATCCATTGTATATCGATTTGTGGGCGCTCTCTGTAAGAGTAACAGACATGCTTGAACTGTTGCCAGACGTGGAGTGTGTAGTTCTTGTTGGATGAAGAGCCAAGAGAGACGAAATAGTTCATAAGCTGATGGGGATGAATGTACAAGAGTCGTTGAAAGAAAATCATCATATAACATGAATGGTAAAGCCGTAGCGTACATTGCCGATAACAAGGAAAATGGCAATGTATGCAGTATCGTGGGTGAGAGTACCCCTGGAGATTGGAAGGATTGCCTTTTGGAAATAATAGGAAAATAGGGGTATACAAATCGAAAGAAAAGGCCTATAAGACGAAGAGCTTCCTGATCTGTGAACATGGCCCTAAGATCTGCTTCTGCTTTACTTAGAACATCTTCATCTATTCTTGGCTCTCCCTTCTGTGCGAAGCTATCATCTGCCAACATAAACATCACAGGAGGTTCTTCTTTAGGGTTCGAGAAATCATCTTGCGCTGAGGAGTTTCTGATTCGCCGGTATGTTAATTTCGATATTGTGCATTCGTCATTTTCATTATAGCGGTAATGGCGCAGTAGGTATGGATTTGATTCCCCTGTTTCCCCAATAAATCTAGCAGATCTTGAATGTTGGGAATCAAGAGGCCTTATTCGTGTGCTTTGCATCATGTTCAAATAAGGGTCCAAGTTATATATTGGTGAGGCATCTTGGACGAGAATCTGCTGATCCGGAGACGAAGTCGATCCAGCCAAGACATCGTGGCCAGTCAAACTCTGAAAATTGTGTTCACTATATTGGGTGATAAAAGTAGGACTTAGTTGTACCGCGGAGACATCATATTGATGCAAGGGAGCAGTAGCTTCACGGATACCAAGTCAGCGAATCTCCCTTAACGAACACGATCGTGTTCATTGTGTAATGTTTCAACATACAAGGAGATGTTGTAGACCCACTACTCAGGTCACCATTGCTTGCCGCAAGATTTGGCCTTCTCTTCTTCTTTGGCCGATCTACAAATGTGCAACTCCGCCCATGAGATATACACAATTGACAAGGCGGGGCGGAAGATATTGAGCATCTTACTTGCCTGGCTCGACAGAAATCACAGGGTCGATACTTGCGCGATTTGTATGATCTTGGTCCTGATTGCATAGGATGATTCAATTGTTGAGGTATCACCAACTCGAGTCCGTCTCCATTGAAGTAATCATTGGAAGTAATTGAAGTTTGGAAATTGTGAGGATCCATCGAAATCGAATGAAGGGGAAGCTGGAGGGCGACCTATTAAAATTCCTTATCGACCTGATCAACGATAAACTGCAATGTAACGATGATAAAGTTGTCCGATTTCATTCCCCGCACGGGTAGACAGTATTTTCTTTTTCCCTTATTGATATAAACTGAAGTCTTCCATAGAGATCATCATCAATCAGAATGAATTGAGTTGTGATTAATCAAGTGGAATAACATTTGTTTTTATCCCAATATTCTGGATGTTGGTAAATGTTGAATGGCGTTGCGTTCTAACGTTCCAGAATATTTCCCCATCCTGTCCATTCCTCATATTCCCAGGAGGGGTTATCCGAAAATACGGCCAAAAGGAGTTGCCCGTGTTATCATTGTTTAGTCGATGCGGAGGTATAGTGAAATACATCCTTGTCTTACAATGCTGGGCAATGCCATCCCCAGTCGTTTCGGACTTTACATTGAGAATTGTGAGAATCCGTCGGATAAAAGCATCACTTTGGTGAGAGAGTGGCATCGTCCGAGGAGTTCTTAGTTACAATTAACTGAAATACTCAAATATATGGCATGCCCTTCGTTGCTTCTAAGTTGTTATGACGCTATCAGCCTTCCATTCTCTTCTTTCTATTGCAGCTTTCTCTAATCACCGAAGATTTGGAAGTCCAGTCATTGCCTCTATCAAGTGTTATACCAAAAAGGAAGACAATTCTTATTAATCTAGATAAAACTCATACTATGACGTTCGTTCCTCTGCGTTCGTTATCTACTCTTTTATCTCATTTTGCTGTGAAGTAACAGTCCCACGATTTGACTCCTTCGGCTTCGGCGATAGAGTGCCGTCTCGATGAGTACTGTCAAAGTCCAGCCTAGCCTTATCGTCTCTGGCTGTTTTGCTTTCCTATTCTTTAATAGTCATTCTCTCATTCACGTACTGGAAGAACGAGTGCCTGAGGATATGAGACTGTGAGGGGGATGATGATGTCTCTTGCACGTATGTCAAGCAGGGTACTGCGAGATGTTTCCATCAAAGGAGGAGGGAAAGGATTGCGCCTGGATCAAACCAAATCATGGCCTGGAAGACCTCCGATGGTGCGAGTGTACCCGGTCAAGGATTTTGATTTGAAATCTTGGACAGTGGATCTTGCGAATTTGGTGGTCAGTAGTGCTGAAGATACCGTTGAAGAGAGAGAAGTAACAGTCAGTGTGGCCTTGAGTTTTTGAGTATCGTGTTTGAAATAGCTATCAATTGCAACACCAAATGCCAGCTTCAGATGGCTAAGTTCTGTTTCAAATAAAAGGACAGGCTTTGGCAGGAGGCATCAAGGCATGTGTGACTATTCAACGTATAGATATCTAAATGTTAGCATCGGATCCTCATAAAAGAATTTCAAAAGAATTCCGGATCTATCCTTCTGAAAATAAAGATCTGATATATTGAGTGCCAGAAAAACTGGCACTTTAAAGCAGGAGGTTATTCGTTCAGAATTGTTGAGAATATACTCAGCGTGGGATGAGAGAAATCAAGAACCAGTTAGGCAGCTGCTAGTTTTATGGCAAAAGACTATTGAGGATGAATGCGTTCCAGCTGCAAGAAGAAGGCACAGTGCCATACTCTAGTTACTATGCCAGATATCGTAGTGTCGAATGTCCGCACTTGAATCAAGCTATTTGAGCAACTTTTGCTTCCCCATTTCCTCAAAGACTGATAATAACTCATTCCGTCACCCGGGTATTTCGCTGTCATGTCACGCCAATGTTTTTACAAAACAACACAAATCCCCAAACCATACCGATAAGAACCCCCATGCTTTCTTATCTTCCTGCATAAGGTTTGGGGGCAGCTCGAGCTAGACAAGGTATACTTGGCCGTCGGGAAATGGGTCTTGGCGTGAAAGTGGTCTCACATCATAGGAATATTGTTCGCTGACCCCCGCTCTCAACTTCATATCATAGGTGCAGCAGTAATCTGTATGTAATGGAAATTGGCATTGATCAACTTGATAATCTAGAAAAGGCCTAGGTTCCCGATTGCTTTCAAATTTCTCCTGCCTAGGGCAAATTGTGTTCGAGTAGCTAAAGCTTGTTGCTGTTTACTTGCTTTATTGGTTACTAAGAGTATAGTGATTCCTGTGTTCGAAAACTTCGCTTTAATCAAATGGTATGTAATTTGGTGAAAGTTATTTCTATTATATATGATCATAAAGTTTAAGGAGAGTTGAGCTACTATATCTCTTATACTATTATATCAATAATAACCTAGATTCAAGTTATATCTATATAAAACGAGTAATAGTATTTCATTATTAGCCTTTGAAATTATGATTAAGATCATTATTATTAAAAGGCAAAAATGCTATATCAAAAAGAATATAACAGAATCAGATATAGAGAGATATATCTAATATTAGTTATCACGAGAATTGTTGAAAATTAACCTCGCTTCTGTCAACAACGATAATGATTCAAACGACGATCATCTCTCTGGAATAGCTCTTTTGGATTCCTCTCCTGCTTCCGAATACCCCAATGAAAGTCTCGATAGATATATGTATTCTTCAGCATTCGGAACAGCCTTTGTCTGATGCGGCTGGAACACTGAATCACTGAACAAAATCAGGATTAGGTGAAAGTTAGGGCGACAGTCCAGGTAAGTTAGATGACTATTCTCAATGCGAAGAGACAATCCGATAATTACTTGCAGACTGCCCAATGATCCTCGATGATAACGAGTTAAATGAGGCAGGGACTAATAATGAGGCTAAGAGTATTTCTAACGATGTCGCTACTGGGCAGTACATGCGGCACCAGTTCCGGATTACAAGGAATGGCCATTCCAAGGTTTCTTAAAATGCATCAGGGTTGGTAATGAGAAAACGTATATTCTCGAATTTTGGAGGTATCGCACCGGTAGGAGAGATAGCTGAGGATGTTGTGGGATTTTTTGAGCCTCCAAGTTTGAAGAACGAAACAAAGAGCGACACGATCATCGTCAGCATCACCGAGATGGGAAGTAAACATAGTGACTGTAATGTTCACATAATGTTCACACAATGGGTTGGTAAATATGCGGGTTTGATGCGTTTCATCATGAGTTTGGGGCTGTGTGTTTGTCGGGCTTGCAGCTCATTTGGAAGAATTTGTATATTGGGATATCCTTGGCTAACAAGAGATTTTGCCAGGTCAGAGCTAGGTCTCATACCTTCGAAGTCTTTGGCATTATGGACCTTGAAAATGTTGCTGATCTCGATGGCTGTCTTCGGCCATTGCTATCGTTACTTATATCTATACAGAATGCCTTGAAAAAGTAGCGCGCGCTTTTTGGTGCAACAAATTCCTTGCAACTCAGCTTCCTAAGCTATCTCACTGGTATCTTCCGAAATCCACGCTCATCCACACTACATCAATCTTTAATTCAGTGTCCGAGTCAGCATGTGCCTGATCGTTTAAGTGTTCAGTTGCATATGACATCCAATAGTCCAGACTGCAATCCAACAATAAGATATTCTTAATTCCTGGATATATCTCGAACATTATTAGGATTTAAGATATTGAATACATCAAGAATATTTCAATTATTTCAATTATTAAATATACCTGAAATAGTAGTTGTAGATCACTTAGAAAGTATATGCTAATAGAAATTCAAAACTAAAACCTGTCAAGTTAATCTTAAATCTTCATCCTTGCATAGCGTCACCAAATTTACCAAAAGTATACGGTATTGTAAATGCAATCGGGCGCTAACCTTAAGCGAGAAGTGCAGAGGGGGAGAGTTGACGGACAATATTGAAAATCAGCAACATTTCAATCACTTATTCATTCCATAGAACTTAAAACTACCAAGTCTTTTGGTATCATTTCTTCATTTCGTCATTCCCCCCATTTGATCTCATCACCTCATTTCGACTTTCCCGTAGGAATGCCGAACATCACCGCTGGCTTCCCATCCTTGGCCGCCTTATCAACCCTGAAGTATCCCTTTCTCTCCAATTGAATGATGTCATCTTCCTTCAGATCGGCTACGTTGCTATCACATAGCTGATCTGTTTTATGCGCCGACTCCGGTGTGAGGAAATCCTCCCAGTTGTCATCTTCCTCCAATTTATCCTTGGTGATCATGTAGTCGAATTCATATACTTCTGCTTGGATGAGATTTTGGTCAGAGGATAACCAGGTGACTTTCTTCTCTGTCTTCTTAACATCGCCCTCTAAGTGTATTTCTAGCTCGATATCTGTGATTGGACCTGAACCATTGATTTTACGCACGAATGCATTACCCCAGTTCATGAGGGTAATTTCCTCGCCTTCCTTGAACAGCTTTACATCCTCTTGATCAAGAATGAGGTTCTTACTGTAGGCAACTTTCTTCATGCCAACGTTGGGGTTCTTTCCATGCTTAGGCTTGTCTTCAGTATACGGTGTCTCTGGACCATTTGTGACCAAAGCCTTTACTTGATTTTTAATATCAACACCTGTATGTCTTGGTGCAATTGGATCGATTTCCTTCTTGTTTGAAGCCCAGAAATTAGTCCAATCCATGGTTACAATATTTCGACTTGGTCCCTGTTTCAAGATAAAATCTCTCAACGCAGGAATGGTCATACCCCTTCTTCGAACTCCACGAATTGTAGGCATACGAGGATCATCCCAACCCCAGACTCTGCCAGCATCAACCATCTTGGCCAATTTACGTTTTGATAGGAAGACGCGAACGAAGTTCATACGAGCAAACTCCCACATGTGTACTGGAGTGAGATTCAGCTTGGTGATGAACCATTGATATTGAGGATTTCTGTCGTTGTACTCGGTTGTTCTCAAAGCGTGTGTAACTCCTTCGAGTGAATCGACAATTGGGCATGCGAAGTCGTAGGTAGGATACATTTTCCATGTACTACCAGTGCGGTGATGAGGTAATGAGCTGCCAGTCTCGGGATCATCATTGGGGCAACGGTAGATGACTGGATCGCGCATCGCCTTGTTTGGATTGTCCACGGACATTTTTGCTCGGATGCAGAACTTCTTTCCTCCTTCTGTGCCATTCTTCATCTCCTCGAATATGGCGAGATTATCCTCAACACTCTTATCTCGGTTCTTGCTCGCGATACCATCCATTCGTTGTTCCCTCATAGTTTGTTGATCTGTGTCATCTGCATAAGCGTTGCCTTCTTTGATGATTTTGAGACCATATTGGTATAATTCCTCAAAGTAGTCGCTAGTATGACTCTTCTTATCTGGCTTTACGCCCATAAGTGCCAAATCCTCGATGATAGAATCTTGAAATTCCTGTTTCTCTTTTGAAGGATTGGTATCGTCGAATCGGAGGAGAAGTGTGCCTTTGTAGAGCTCGTGTGCGAAATAGTCATTGAGAAGAGCGGCTTTTGCATGACCAATATGAAGATATCCACTAAATAACGTTAGTGACACAACATTGTGGTTAAAGCACTCGGTGGGCATACGATGGCTCTGGTGGGAATCTAGTCACAACACCCTTCTCGGTGTTAGGCAAAGCTATGTTGTAGCTTGCTCCGGCCTTGCTAGCAGCCGTCTTCTTTGCCTTCTCCGCCTCATCCTTAAGCTTGATCTCCTCTTGAATTTCCGGATGTGTGTGCTCAATAAATTGGTACCATCTGAGAAGATTGACAAATGATCCTTTCTTCAAAAAAGGAGCAGCGACTCTGTTTGTTCGAAGTGTGACCCATATTTTGGAATCCAATTCGGTGATCGAGTACCCGTCAACATATGAACGAAGGGTGAGGTGTTTATCCAAGGCCGCTAGATATGGCTCGATTGCTTTGAAGTCTAGCGGAGCTAGATTTGTCGCCAGTTGAGACAATTCCTCGGACTTCATCTTTGTAAACGTTTGAGTAATAAATTATTGCTCGGCCAAATCTGGAGATAAATTCTGAGGATAGTGGGGGAATTTAGGTCAACTCAGGCGGGGTGCTCCGGGAAAATGTTTCGCCGAGTCCCGAGTGCCGAACGGAAGCTAATTTTTATGATTTGGCGCTAGTGATTATGGATGGGCTTTGAATCATGATCACTTTCGACCAATATTGAAAGATTCCAGGCCTCAATCAACACGATATGGCCACTCCAGGATTATGCCTAGCTCAGATGAGCAGGCTGTCTCTGTTCACAGCCCGACAACCCCTACTCCATACTCCAAAAGCTTCGATACCTATAGTTCAAGTCCGACACAAGGGCTTCAAAGAGAGGATAATGTCCAAGAAGGAGAAGGCTGGCGTTCTCGCCGGGCCGGTTAAGTCATTTACCAAAAAGAAGACAGATGAAAAGAAGAAGAAGAAGCCGAGGACCACATATATACAGTATGACCCAAAAGATGCCGAAACATACACATTGTGTGATGCCATGCGGTTAGTCTAGCTACTTCCACTTGCGATAATCCAACAGGTTTACTTATGCTACACATAGATATTTGAGAGCATTCGAAGTTGGAAGGTCCCCGACTTCTTCCAAGTATGAGGTGCACTTGAAGTTGAAATCACTCAAGAACGGTCCCGTTGTACGAAATCGATTACGACTTCCACACCCAGTCAAAACCGATCTTAGAATTTGTGTCATTTGCCCTCCGGACTCGAAATATGCGGAATCGGCCAGAGAAGCAGGAGCAACGCTAGTTGGAGAAGACGAAGTATTTGAAGCCGTAAAGGATGGCCGAATCGAGTTCGACCGATGTATTTGCCAAACGGATTCCCTCGCGAAGATGAATAAAGCTGGACTGGGTAGAGTTTTGGGACCTCGAGGACTGATGCCGAGCGCGAAGACTGGTACCGTCGTCAAAGACCCAAGTTTGGTTTTGAAGGATTTGATTGGAGGTGCCGAATATCGAGAACGCCTGGGTGTTGTAAGAATGGCGGTCGGTCAACTCGGTTTCACGCCAGAGGAGATGCAGCGGAATCTCAAGGCATTTATCGAGGCTGCGAAGAAGGATATGGCACAGCTGAGTGACAAGATCAATAAAGAGCTGGTAGAAGTGGTCTTGAGCTCTACAAATGGTCCTGGGTTCATTCTTAATGGCGAGTTCAGAGATCTCAATTCGAGCCTGACGTCTCGAGATTTATCGACCTCATAACATAACATACCATGACATGCACATTTGTACTCTTAACTGTATAATGAAGACTCATTTCTTTTGGCTGGGTGTATTACTACAAGTTCTCGAACCCATACAACGCATTGTTATCGTTTATTTATTGAGTTAATTTGACACCTCTCAACACCTTGACTGCTTCATCGCCAGCTCCCAGATCACGGTATATTCCCATGATTTTGATCAATCGTGGTTTGCCCTCTTCCTTTAGAGACATTGTTTGCTTTAAGGCAGTATTTAGGTCCAAAACAATAGTGTTTTTCAGCCGTAATAATCGAGGTTGCTGGGCTGCGATGAATGGATGCTCCAGCCCGATCGTGGTTGACAGATGCTCAACATTCCGATAGTCCAACACAAATCTTTGAAGCTTCTTCGTACTGGTCCCGTTGACAACACCATCAATGACCAGTTCGTCGTCTTCGTCGTCTTCGTCGTCTCCATCTTCGTCTTCATCTTCACTCCAAGAATCTTCATGACCATTTGGTGATCGACCAAGCGACGCAACCATTAATCTATCCTCTAGTTCTTCAAGTCGTGAATCAACCTCTAGCAATTTTCTTCCCAAAGCTATCTCCTTAGTAATACCTTTCTTTTCATCAAGAAGACCCTCAACTCCCGATTTTCTTTCTCTGACCTTCCCTCTCACATCCTCAACACCTCTTTTAAACCCCAATAGCCCCACCCTAACATCTTCAACCTTCTCTTCTCCACCCTTGAGGTCCGAGCCCAAGCTTAGAAATTGCTCATAATTGGTATTTACCAAGTCTAATAATTCTTTTGAAAGAGCCTGTGAACGCTCACGAAGGTCGGAACGCAAATCCTCGAGGGTCTGGTGACGATCTGATAACGTAGAGAGGTAGGTTGGTGCGTCAAAAGTTGGAGCCAAAAAATCGCTTCGGGGAAGGGCTTCTGGATATGGGAGATTGTCCTCGTCATCTGAGGAAACATCACCCGATCCTCCACCAAAATAAAATTTACTCATATTTGATGATTGTACTGCTCGTAAGAGGTATTCGAATCAAGAAAGTTCAGAGAGTAAAGACACGACCGTATAATAAGGCTTTTGCGTATAAGCTTCAGTAGGTCCCCTTTTGGAGTTCTGTTCTTTCTGTTCTCTCTGTTCTTTCTGCTTATGTTTGTGGTTGATGCTGGTTCATACAGCCATTCTCATCCGTCCCGAGATGCTGGATACTTCTTCGTTTTAAGGCCGATCAGGCATTCATGAGCAGATTGTCGTTCCCGAGTTTACATAACAGGACCCAGATGGCGAACGCAAGCTCTGGTAAATCAACCCCAAATCCCAGAACAACAACCGAGGATATGAAGATTATTGGTGAAAGACCCTTTCTTTTATCTTGGCGTGAAGGGATTTCTAAATGTGATAGAGGTTATGATTGGATATATCTCGTCGATTGACCATACTTCAACTTGAATCTTGATGCCTGTAGGATGGAAAACGAAAAAGGCCGATTCTCGGCAAGTAGCGTCAGTCATGGTGACACTAAGTTCTTACGCTAATTTTATCAATCTAATCTTTTTGATCTTTCATTTCCCTTTCCCTTCTCTTTTCTAATCTGATCTGATTGATTTTACAAACAAATCTCATTCGTCCTTTTAAATTTGTTAAGGATTTTGTTGATATTTCCTCAAGTTTCTTAATAATCATATCATAATTGGCATTTTTGATAAGTTACAGCATCGATTAAATATCATCTTCTTCTTTAACAAAACCAATTTATTTATTGTCTTTCAAACAAAAAAGTCGGGTCCCAAGGGGTCCATATCTCGTGACCTTTCCTTTCTTGCGATAGGCAAATTCGCCAATCGGCTATTCATTGACCCGAGTGATGGCTTCATCAGCGGTATCAACGCCATCATCGGCTGGCTCACCAGCAGCCCTTGCGCCCACCCCTCCTGTTCTCGCCATCAAAATTGGAAATTCATCAAATATCAACACTATGGCTTCAGTATCGAGTGCTTCTACCCCCACCATCATGACGACGAAGGAATGGGTTATTCCGCCACGACCGAAGCCTGGACGAAAGCCTGCGACTGATACCCCACCAACGAAGAGAAAGGCTCAAAATAGAGCTGCTCAACGTGCTTTTAGGGAACGACGGGCTGCCCGAGTAGGTGAATTGGAAGAACTACTTGAAGAGGCGAAGGAAGATTATCGAAGGCGCGAGAATGATATGAGGTTGAAGATTACTAGACTTGAGGCAGATGTATCCCGGTTCAATGGTGAACTCCAATCATGGAGAGTACGATGCGAGACCCTCGATCGAATTGCAGAATATGAAAAGCGAGAGAAGGAAGCTGCACTCAAGGAATTGGCATATCTCAGGAATGGTTTTCAGAGCACAAGTACTGATGCTGTCCCTCTTCCACCACGTCGGAACCGTCAGTCAACACAAACATTACCACGATTGCCACGACAACAACAAATTCCTTATGTTCCTGAGGTTGAGGAATCGCATGATATTGGATGTGGTAATTGCAAGTCTACGGGTGAATGTGCTTGTGTTGAACAAGTGATTGCCATGTCAGCTGAAGGCTGTGGCAACTGCAGCCCAGACACTCATTGCCAGTGCTTAGAGGAAACCCTCAAGGATGTCGGCATGGATTTGAAGAGAGCACATTCTCCTACAATAGATGGTGCTGCAGAGAAACGCGCCCGTTTGTCATCTAGGCCATCTACTCCCCTTGAGATTGATTTTACCGCCCAATTCTCCTCGCGACGACAGCCAGCCATCCGCGAGCTATCACCTCCACCTCAGATCATGACACGACCTATTGAATCATGTGGCTTCTGTGATCAAGGAACATATTGTATGTGTGCCGCAGCAGCCGCTGATGCTAATGCTGCACATGAAAGAGAGCGCGAGAATCGTCTTGCACCTTTACTTAACGAAGTCACACCTCCGCCATCAGACACAGATGTTGAGAACACACAGATCAAGCTTCCATCTATGCAACCTAATCATATGCATCGCCCAGTTACTGCCGCACCAACTTCAAATCCTTGTGCCAATGGCCCTGGTACCTGCAAACAATGTATGAGTGATCCAAAGTCGGGATTGTTCTGTCGATCACTTGCAGCAATGAGAGCTTCTCCAGGTTCATCCCCACCCGACGGATGCTGTGGTGGAAAATCTTCTGGTGGTGGCTGTTGCAAGACAATGCAACCGGCTTCTTCATCAGAACCACCCCCAAGCTTATCCGTTGCGGAAACCTACAAGACTCTTGCTACCCACAAGAATTTTGATCAAGCTAGTGATGAGCTGAACACGTGGCTGGGTCGTCTTCATGCTACACCGCTCCAACACGCCGGTAGAGCGCCCATGGAAGTGGAGGCTGCAAGTGTCATGGGTGTGCTGAAACTCTTTGATCGAAGATTTGGAAGAGGTTGAAAAGGTTGAAGGGATTGAAGCCGGCGGAATATTTCATTGAAGATACCCAACTCTAATTACGACTCATGAAGTGGAATGAATTCATGTTTTATTGTACATATCATCAAACTATGCAGAAGCATAAAACAAAAGCATAAGCGTTTTGATATTTTTTGGAATTTATTATAGCGTTGAACAGACGACAACATATTTGGTCAACAACAAACAGCTTCATGCACATGTCCAGCCTAATATGTATGCAATGCATACATGCACAAATGACAGCTGAGAAGCACTAATAGAATTAAATAAATACCCACTTCTCTTGGCGGTTAATTGCCCTTGCCTATAAAGGCAGGTGTGAATACTCGAGTACACCATAAACCGTTTCTGGGGAATTCGATATCTCTCCCTACCCATAACTTGCCCCACGTGTGATAATCTATCTGGGGGAGGGGTTCGTTTCACTAGATCTTGTTCCTGAGCACCTGCCTTTACTTTCATATATTCCCAGCCGTTGATAAGTTAACAAGTTACCGTTATTATTCCTTTATGCAATGTACGATGGATACTACCTAGGTATAATCTAGGAAGTGGACCAAAAGTTTGGTCGACTTTTCTTTCACTTAAAGTCAAGATTTTAGGATCAAGTTTTCTGTCTTTATTCCTTTTAGCTTCTAATTTCTCAAAAACTTTGTGACAATGCAGATAACTAAAATCACGGCTTTAATCTTCTGTCCACTGGTCTTTCAAGGCGTGCACGCTTCGTTATATGGAGAAAGTAACCTCAACCATACTTGTGAACTGAGTAAGTACTCAAAATACCCGACCTCATAATCATTGCATAAATTTAACAACAACAATAAGAAACGCCCCATCTATCCTGTTCCAGGAATGCATCTCCCAGCATCACCGACTCCTGCTGTACCGAAACATTTGGGGGTTTGGTTCTCAGTACCCAATTCTGGGATACATATACGGGCCGTGAATCTGAGGATCAATTGTTGCCGCAGAACTCTTGGACTTTGCATGGGCTGTGGCCAGACTTTTGTAATGGCTCTTATACGCAATATTGTGATTTGAGGTACGTTATGATATGCCATGCCATGCCGACGCGCAGCCATATTTTCGACATACGGTATAGGACTTATTGCTGAAAATCTAGTCGTCAATATGATCCCGTTCCATCTCCCAATACCACAACTGGGACATCTAGTGGGACACTCGTGCCTCCATATACCGGCACGCCCATCTCTACCATCATCGAGCAAGACGGCAAATATGATCTTCTCGCCTACATGAACAAGTACTTTCCCCCTTCCCCTTCCCTCTTCCATCACCCCACACAACTAACCCCCACCCCCAGATTCTGGATCGCCCAAGACACTCCTAACTGGTACCTCTGGGCTCACGAATTCTCCAAACACGCAACCTGTTTCTCCACCTTTGATACCCCCTGCTACGGTCCCTCCTACAACAGTACCGGTACTCCCTCCAGCGATCTCATCTCCTTCTACACCACCGCTCTCTCCTATTTCTCTACTCTCCCCACATATGATTATCTCTCTAAACATAAAATCATCCCGTCAAATACAACTACATATACGCTCTCAAAACTTCAATCGGCGCTGAAGAAGGAAGTTGGTGCTGTGCCTTATATAGGGTGTTCGGGACTGAGGTTCAATACTACGGCTGCGGGGAGGAATAGTACGGATAGTGGGTATACGGTTGTGAGTGAGGTTTGGTATTATTTTCATGTGCTGGGGCGGGTGCAGGAGGGGAGGAAAACGCCGGTGGGTGCGGATATTAATGGGGGGAGTGTGAGTAGTTGTGCGACTTCTAAGGGGGCTTTGAGGTATTTGGAACGGGCTCCTGGGTCTGTGAGAGGGTCGAGTGGGAGTCATGAGTTGGAGGGAGTCTTGGATTCATGATTTACTTCACTAGGAATATAGCTATAGATCGTATATACATTTAAAATTCGAAGATGTGTCAAGTTTTTATATGTTCTTCGTAATCCCTGGTTCAATCTCCTCCAATGCCTCCATAACCTCTGCATAAAGCCTCATCTGAGCATTCATTCCCTTCTCACTCCTGACATACTTACTCGGCTCACTGAACGCACAATCCACCATATAAGCCCCATGACTTTCCTCCCCAGCAGCAGCCGCTGCAACTAACGTCCTACTACCTACCTCTGCCGTTCTCGCTAATAATGATTTACCAATGCAAGCAAAGATGCTTAAAGGGAATACAGCATAACGCATAAGGTCGGAATGACAGAATCCAGGCGTAAGTGTGTTGAGTATTACGGACTCTTTTTCAGATTTAGAGAGTCGGGGGGCTAGTTCGCGGATAATGAGGATCTCGAGGAGTTTAGAGACATTGTAGCGGTCTTGTTGGAGTTTCGGGTTTCTGAGAGCGGGGAGGATGGAGCGGGAGTGTTGTTCTTTGAAGTGGGCCTAGAGGGTTTGTGTGTTAGATTTGGGATGTTTATGAATTGACCTAATAATGAGGTCGCAGCTTCAGACGAGATATCGCTCATTTCTCTTGCCAATTCCAAGCATTGAGTATCTCGATCACAGATGAAGGGGTATGAGTATCATACCTGTTCGTGTGCATCACTCGCCACAATTGTTAGTCTCGGCGTAATATCAAACTTCGCAGCACTCTCCCGCAACTTCGGTAATACTAGCAGTGCCATTAAAAATGTACTCATTACATTGACCGTCACCGTACTTTCCATCCCCTCAAATTCCTCATATTTCGGGACTGCCAAGCCTGCATTCTCGAGCAGTACATCTAACCGGTCCAGCTGGTTTACTTTGGCGCAAAACTCTTTGACCGAGGCATAGGAGGTAAGGTCCACGAGCCATACTTCAATGATCGATTTGTGATTGGGGAGAGAGGCTGTGATGGAGGCGACTGCGGCTTCACCTTTAGAGAGAGTGCGGCAGGCGAGGATTACTCGCGCAGCATTGAGTCGCACAATGTGTTTGGCGGCTTCGAGTCCAAGACCGGTGTTTGCGCCAGTTATGATTATTGTTTGGCCTGCAAACGAGGTATCTGGGTATGGGAGAGTCTTGAATTGAGACTTTAGGAAGCGGCCGAGGAAATCGGTTGGACTGAAGAGGGAAATATGTTAGAGTGCGGAGCTTGAGCAAAGTGAGGAAATGAAGGGGGTTTGCTTGACTTACAGATTGAAGTTTCCACATAGAATAGGCATGACTGTTGTATTATAATATTAATGAATCTGGTATGTTAGTATCTAGAAATGAAGCAACGGGTATTTGTAGCAATATTTTGAGCACATTTTGGTGTTAATGATTTGACGTTGAGGTGTGAAACAATGGTGAAGGTCTCCAAACACTTCCTCCGGAGCTTGAGTCGGAAGAGGTGGTCCGTGACAATTCTGCTACCAAAGTAACTTTGCACCAAAATAGCGCTCCTTCAACGTCCTGCATGAAAAATCTGCAAAACCGTACATAATCACCATTTACTCTTCAGAAAACCATCTAGCAATCATATTCCTCATATAAATTAATTTTGTGAGAATCCGGCGGTCCTAAATCTGCCGGAAAATTTGAGTTAGACCACTTTCTCATATCTTGAAATTTCGCATAGATATGCAACAAAACTTTTGCATTATTTAGTGTGAAGCTACTCCGGACTTTCATCGGCAAACTTTTTATATAATCTGTACACTACCTACATGATAAAGGCATCCAATATAGGTGTTCAATCATTCATTACAGGAAGCTTGGAAGGGTGCAGTGGTGAACTTTATCCTATTTGATTGTTGTGAACATACAGCACCTGTGTTGGGGTGGAAAGTTCCAATCCTGATACAGTGACTGCGGATGTTGATGTGGTCAAAGTGTGACACTGTCAACGATGTCCTATATCATTTAACAATACTTATCGGCGAGAGGAATGACAATAAATGCACGAAATTCGTACCTAGGCACATGCTATAAAGACTCGGGAAAGGAGGCCTACGTGGTGCCAGATGGACGCTGATAAAAATTGGCTGCATGCGTGACAGCACAGGGGTGTACTTTGAATCGATCCCAAATGTCTAATTTGGCTTTCCTATTGTGTCTTTCAAGCAGCTGGTGGAACGTCAATCAATAAATATGTCATAGAACATTGACTTTACTCCCGACAATGTACTGTTTACTGTGCGAAGTTTCAGTATGAACGTGACACAAATCAATCCACGTATCGAAGTTGGAATCTGGGTATACATTATCGTTGCTTTACCTGTACCTGCTGCTTCTATGAATTTGTCTGGTTAAGGAAGTGATCACAGTTCAAAACTCAAAGATAGCCACTAGCCGGACACTCCGTGATTTGATGCGAGTTGTCACATTGAGGTATACAAACACGAAATTTCTCTGGATACTTGAGAGTTTAGATATACAAATTGATAATGGTAATATCTTATCCGTTATGGCACAAAAGTATAGTCAAGACAAAGTCGTAGCAACAGTACATGCCTCGAGTCTGACTTGATGCCATTTGTCAAGCCGTAAAGCATTATTCTGAAAGCCATGCGTGCCGAGGTGCGATAAGTCTCTATAACCTCCTTAGTAGTGGCCAAATACGAGTACTGCCAATTTGTGTATTGCGATATTGAACGGAGCTTTATACATTTGGCTCTCCATATTTTCCATGTTCAACTTGGACAGAGACGTGTGTAAATTGATGTACTCTTTCGTGGAAACCCAGTATCGCAGAGAGTGGTGTCAATAAGTGTTTTGAATAAAAACAAACAAGTACTACCATCCTTGAGACTCGAGTTAGCCTCGTCTTGAAGCGCTGTTAATGTGTAATCATATCATACCTTGTTGTCGCGCCCTCCTCGTCTACCTCAATGTCACGCATATTTAAACGAGTGAGGAGTAGTAAAAAACAACAACAACATCGAGGCCCACTTTTACAAGTACTCCCACCAGATACAGAAGTCTATCTAACAAGTAGCTGAAGAGGATACAAAATACCAAAGGTAAAAGAAACAAAAAGACAGTTCACTGGCAAGCCGGCTACATCTGCCCCAGGTGTGCAATTCCTCCCCGAATGGAGGATTGGAGAGCCCGGTCGCATTTTGACATTGGAGGCACTACTGCAGTGCGCCACTTTACCGTTGAGCCACGAGGCCAAAGTGGCCTTTCCCTAGACCACCGTTTGTTAGTGACGGGATTGCGTTGTTGGGATATTTATGCTGATTGAAGGTGAGGTTGGTAAAGATGAGTTCTGCTAAGTTGCTTATGACTACTGCAAGGTTGTTTGTTCATTCTGATCATACTCGCATGATCAAGAAGGTATCCAGAATACTTGAGTTGTTGTTCGTCTATGCGAATTTATGTTTAGAAAGCTCATATGGACTTGGATGAAGAGTCTCAGAGTCGGGTTTATCTCTAGCTTTATATAATATAATGCTACTGCAATATTTGGTCCAACTTAAAACGTCATTTGGTGTGTCACTCACAGGATCATATAGCGAATTTGAGCCGTCTTCATTGGGTAATGTTACATATCTATGTAAGATAGTTGACTGCGTATGACTCTACATGTCTAAACCTCTTTCTGCCTCGAAACAAGATAATAGTCGTTAATACCTCGGGCCACGATATTGATACCTCAATTACTTTTCGGCACCCAAACTTACTCAGGCGGCGCCATCATGCTATTGAACCACTCTACTATCTTCTTTGGCGCATTGTCCTCAAAGATATTCTTCATATTCATCTCTGTCTGCTCAGCATTCTCTTTTGCCCTCACAAACATCTTCATCTCATACTCTTTTACGGCATTCGAGATGGAAGTGTCGTTCTTCACCGCCGAAATAATCCCCTGTGCCAACTCCAAGGCATCTAACATTGCCGAATTGACACCCTCTCCAGCAAATGGCGTCATGAGATGTGCTGCATCCCCAACTAACGTCGCATAGGCTCTATGTTCCCACGTATGATCTGTAGGTAACATACAAAGCTGCACAAACTGTGCAGTTTCCTCCTCTTTCAGTCCCCTCGCAAGCAATTCCTGGGCTCCTTCGCTAAAATCTCCAAAAGGTCCAGATTCACCAAGAAGCTTCTCTTTTATTTTTTCAACATCCATGGAGTTCAAACCTGCATCGTTGCAATAGTTGACCTCCTCATTGCATATTGTAACATACACCCTCACCGAATCCATTGAGCTCCTTTGGGTCATAATTGCCCTCTTTCCACCCAGCGCCGAAAAAGTCCCAGTTCCAACCATCTGGGCCATGTTCGGAAATCTCTCGGTAACATTAACAATCGTCAACGTCATCCAGTGAATACCACTAAAAGTTGGGTTTATCTCTGTCAGAAGCGGCCGAGCCTTCGACCATGCTCCATCTGCCCCTATCACCAAATCGCATGTATGAAAGCTCCCATCTCCGAACGTGATGATTTGCTCTTGAGAATTAGCGGCATGGGCAGTAACGGATAGGACTTTATGTTCCCATTTGATGACATTCTCAGGGAGTGAAGATAGCAGTAACTCAATCAAACTATTCCTCGAAATTTCAGGTCGATCACCACCATGACCCCTAAGCTCAATTTTCATGTCGCCGAACCTATCACAAATGATATAATCTTCGCTGCATTCAACAGCGAGTGAACGGAACGTTTCCAGGAGTCCACATTCCGAGAGGGCGAGCTGACCGGATTCGACGTGGAGGTCTAGGGAACCGGATGGAATGTTTATGAGAAACGGCGAGGGACGAGATCGGAGGTCGTAGATGGTGAAGGGAATTTGGTGACGGTAGAATAGGGATGCAAGAACTAGACCGGAGGGACCAGCTCCAATGATGGCAATCTTTGAGGGAGGCATGTGATGGGTCGTGTTAAGAGTTCTTGTTCTTTATCACTTCCAAATCGTGTTTGATGGTTCAAAGTACATTTGATAGAATGAAATTGTGTAGAATGATGGAGTCCTCGTGTTGTATTATATACTTTTTTGCCGGCTAGATTTACGTCAAGTTACATGATCTCCTTGCAGCGGCCATCTCGGTACAGTATGATGAAATCAAAAGGCTTCGAAATGGGTTTCCACCATCTGACTGTATTTGAGTCCAGGCACTAGGTCTGACAAGGTACAAAATTGTTGAAGAGTATTCCACGACAACAGATTCGCATGGTGAGGAGGCCATTTGCGCTACGTTGTCGGTTTCCGACAATTTCTCGGACCCGGCTAATTACCCGAGATCTGGCTGACCTAGGAATCTCGTATATTGCACTTATTCTTGAAGGGGAACGAGGAAACTTATTGAATGAGATTTACCAATGCCCCAATCTTACTATAACAGGGTCCTAGGGGACCCTCTTATACTTTAGATATGGGCGCTAGATAGAGGTATAGGTGGGATATATATTTATTGATTAGAATACTGATTCTACCACTTTTATCCGATTTGAAAATTAAATAATAGACTATAGACTTTTAATGAGGTTTTGTTATATATCTATAAACTATTTAGGTTGCTTTCAAACAAAGTTATTTAGATCAGGTCATTCAAGTCATCTTTAGGCTTGATAGCCTCATCTTCAGGCTTGATAAGTCTAAAGACATTGATATGGGCGCCTTTAGGTTTAAGACGAACTACACTAAACCTAAAAATACTTTAAATATAGTGGGCATGATTGTGGTCCCATATCTAAAACTCTAGAGACAATGGTATTGTCAGATGCAGCTTAGATTGCCAATGCCCCTAATACATAATAGTGTTATAAGTTACCACCAAGTAAGTTTCTTTCGAATGGAACTGCAGAAACTTGAAGCCTGTTACCCTGACAACTACACCTTTACATAGATCAAAACCTTTTGCATTTCCTTTTCTCGTTCTATACTCCGTAGTAAGTTTGAAGTTTGAGAATAAACTGATATCTTGATTCCTTGCCATGTAAAGGGCTAGTTATATATTTACTCATTCGTATTTTAGCAAAAGCCTTCGAACAATCGCAGATCATATTTGTGGCCCGAATGAACCTCGGTTCAGGGGTCAAGCGTGCGCACCTCAACACTACCATCTGAACTTGAGGTATTCATTGAGACAATGGATATTCCAATCCGAAATGTATGATTAAAATAAGAAAATTGCTATCTCAGCTTAATCACAATGACAGGTCCACCACCATTAACAGGAATACGCGTTCTCGAGTTCGCAGGTCTAGCCCCAGGTAAGCTACCCCGCACTTCCCCAGATTCTAATCCTCTTTTAATCAATATCAATTTTACAGGACCGTTCGCAGGGCTTCTTCTGGCAGACAATGGAGCATCAGTTCTTCGCATTGATCGCGCAGTCCCCAACCTCACTCACACTTCTTCAATCCCTCCACCAACATCCGATCTCCTTACCCGTCATAAATCCTCCATTGCTGTCGACCTTAAATCGTCCGCGGGGATATCCTTCGTCAAAGCCCTGGTCCCGCACATCGATGTTATAATCGATCCATTCCGCCCAGGAGTGTTGGAGAAATTAGGACTTTCACCCGATATACTCCTTCAACTCAATCCTCGCATCATCCTTGCCCGGATGACTGGGTTTCGCCGTGATGGGAAATACAAAGATATGGCAGGGCACGATATTAACTACATAGCCGTCTCGGGAGCTCTATCACTTCTTGGGCGTAAACATGAGAAGCCATTACCACCAGCGAACATTCTGGGGGATTTTGCGGGCGGCGGAGCTACATTGTTTCAAGGTATCTTACTCGCTTTGCTGGCGAGGGAGAAGAGCGGAAAGGGGCAAGTTGTAGAAGCAAATATGGTGGATGGAAGTGCATATCTTGTAACCTTTCCGAGGATGTTGATGAAGACCCCCATGTGGAATAAACCGAGAGGAAAAAATACATTGGATTCTGGGAGTCCTTATTATGACACTTATGAAACAAAGGATGGGAAGTACATGGCAGTGGGTGCTCTGGAGCCGCAGTTTTTCCGAGAGTTGATCAAGGGGCTGGGATTAGATGGAAACGGCATTGAGAAGACGAGAGAAGATAGAAGAACGTGGTCAGAGATGAAGACGACTTTCACGAAGTTGTTCAAGGCAAAAACTAGATCTGAGTGGGAGACCATTTTTGATGGAACTGATGCCTGCTGTACGCCTGTTCTCGATTATAATGAGCTGGAAAATGATCTCAACAGAGAGGGTGATCAAAGGCCAATCGTGACTCTCAGAGAGACACCATCTCTTGCAATATCTACAAACAGCAGTAGTCAGGACCCTTCAATCGGCCAAGGACCTGGTGTCGAAGGTGGAAGCTATACTGGAAGCTCATTATATCCCGGACAAGGTGGAGAAGCAATACTCGATCAGTGGCTAGGATGGAAGAGAGGAAAAGATTTTGATGTTGAAAATGGCGGTCTGATTGGGAAGCAGCATTCGAAATTATGATCTACCATTATAATTAATCCCACCTCGAACATGCCGCATATCTCATCCATTACCCCTCCTTCCATTCTCCTTTCTAAAACGCCCCCAAACACAAGTCTATACTCCAAGAACTAGAATCCCCAAACCGTCACCACCTATCAACCTCAGCCCAACTCCTTTCCCATATCCCCGACCGCCAATAATTTGCTCCGAAATGGAGGCAGCAAATTCGTGGTTAAACAGAACGCCAGCTCAAGGTTCGAACGCACTGTACATCTTTGGTAAAAGTCAGTTTAGTGATCTAAAATCATGAGCTATCATTGAGTCAACTTACAATTCAGATTCTGAAATCGTCATCATCTAGCTCAATAAGCATCGATGGACTTGGAGGAGGGTTTGGAGGAGGAGATGGTGGATCATCTCTTGACATATTTGTCGACGAAATGCACTCGGCTTTCTGATGATGAGTAACTCTTCGGTGAGGTGCTCGGACTTGCGGGGCCCCGAGTGATAAAGCTGGAGGAGCAGTCTTACGTTGACGTTGTTGAAGACGTGAAGACGAAAGATTTGCTTGAGCGACGGCCATCTTGTCTTATCTGATCCGAGAAATGGCTGGAGAATTGTATGGGAATTAGGGGGAAGTGATATGGAATTAACTCCGAAAATTCAATATTGACAGGTCGGTTATCTGTAAGAACTTCTGGTGCTCAAAAAGCAAAATCTAGGCAGGCAAGCAAGCCACTCTCGGAGAATTAACTAGATTAAAGCTGAAAGTCTCTAAAAAGCTTTGGGATAGAAATCACTTCCTTTGCCGACCTTCCATTGTACTTAAATACCTGTCCTGTTCCTCCTATTCTAGATCTATCATAAAAACCCCAATGTTCCATTGGAGCCCTCGATATCCGCCAAACCCATCTACCTCACGCTTTTGTCATACCCAAGCCTGTCTAGACCCTACATACAACACTGCTCCCGACGGCTCTCGAAAGCTTCGAGAGGATAGTGACATTCATTCGGTCTTGGCTCTACATATGACATTCATTCCTCGACTCATTTCCAATAGATACCAATAGATACGTACTCGTTGAACGAAGCCTTCTCAAACTCGGGAATACACACACAGGAAACATCGGCAACATCCTCAAACTAACCCATCCATCATATTCATCCGGGAAGCGGCAACCAGCCAAATCCACAGCCTTCCACTTCCAGAAAGGAAAGCAAACAAAATGCGCAATCCCAATACGACAAATCACATTTCGCCAATCTCTCTCAAAGCACACCGGGGTTTTATAAAAACCGATATCGGCAGAGGGATTAAAGTCATCGCATCGCTTTGTGTGGATGAATCGATGGATGGTAAGTAATGTACCGGTAATGAATAAGTACGGAGTATGTCTGCATATCCAATCCATGAACCTACCAGAACCCCCAATCTGCCCATCTCCCTCGGCACGTTGCACCCCTGATATGTCTGGGAGCTCGGTCCACCTTTCGACTTTACGCTTACAGTATTGGAGTTAGGTATGTATTAGAGTCGGTCAAACACCTAATCCATACACCTAACCTATCGGTGTACATGTACCCCCAGAAATACCACCAGCGCGGTACTTGTAGTACACACCCCTTCCATCATCCACCAGACCCCATCCATCAGACTCCTCCATTCACCAGATCCGTTCCATTTCCATTACATTTCACGTCCAAGGACTCGGACATGACTCCGACTAGTAAGTAACACATCTTACCTTACCTTACCATACCATACCATTGATAACAATTGGTTATTTATTGATTTATATATCTAACTCACCGCCTTCTCTCCTCGCCAAACCCTCACAAACTCACCATCCAACCATCTAGATCTCTCACTGTCACTCACACACTTACACTCACTCACCAACCGAGACAAACCTCACCACCAATACCAGCCTCAATTTCCCCGTTTCCCCATGTCCCGTTTCCCGTTTCCCGTTTCCCGTTTCCCGTTTCCCGTTTCCCGTTCATCATGTTTTAGATGCTAGATCTTGTGTACGATCTGGAGATTCTCCCGATACGCGGATGTAACGACCATTCCCCATCTCGAAATCGGACTTCACTAACCTAACTAATTTAACTAACCTCGATATTCCTCACCCATTTGATTTGTTTCTCTTTTGTTCTTGCAGTACGGAAGGAAAGGGGAGAAGAACGAGGCGAGGCAAGGCAAGGCAATAGAACATTCTTCAAATATTATTATTCAAGAACCGGGTTACGTGCAGACAGCAGCAGCAGCCCAGCCAAACATACCTACCTACCTACCTGTTTGTCGGTGTATGTATGTATGTATGTATGTCTTATGTCTTACGGAAGGGAAGTTGATGAAACACTCGCACTCGATACGAGGAAATCTTACGATTGTGTACTATTCCGCCGGTGCGGTAGCGCGAGCACGTCATGCATGCATACATGCAGTGCAATGTCCCGCTGTAAGCTAAAGAGGATTGGTAGGAATTAATTCTCTCTCTCTTTCTTTCTTTGCGAATGGGGCAACTATCTAGATACTAGGTAGGTAGGTAGGTAGGTAATTGTCGAAAGCTAGCTAGCTGTAGGTACCAACAATAATTGGCGGGAAAATTGAAGAAAAAAACTAAAGAGTTACAACCTTTTCGCTGCAAGCAACAAAACTAAAGCTTGCCATTCATTCGATCGCCTTATGCTTCCAAAATCAAAAAATCTCGAATCGGTGTAATGTCGGTACCATCTTGCCCATTTCTGTCCATCGCCGTGTTCGTGTATTCCACACATCATTATGCTTCATGTGAAAGAAGAGATAGGTATCGTATGTGGTTGTGAAATAGGGAAAAAAAGGAGTCTAAGGTAAATGGACCAGCACAACACTTGCAGTGAGTATCTATAAACGTTCCTCGGTTGCTCCCCTGCCTCGCACTTTAATTTAACCCTTCCGCGGAAGGGACGCAGCGTTCAATCCTCGGACAGTAGCTTTATTGCACTTGACTAACAATCTCGCTCGCTTTCGAAAGTGATTCAACCATTTGTTGACATTCTTTTCTTCTTCGAACAGTGTAGTCGCTTTCTTTCAGCAAATCATCGAGAGTATCGGTTCTATACATATTCTCTAGAAGCTCTCGTTGCATTTCATCTTTGGTGTATCTATAATAGGTTAATTAAATGTCATTGCGAAACTATCAGGGGTTCTTACTGGACAAGGTTGAGCATGATGGCTTTTGGTACCATATCGATCATGGTTCGCTTTACAATATTGTAATACGAGTTAATGAGAAGCTCTAAATAGAGTTAATAATGATATCACACAAAAGAGGACTGAGATTTGACCTACTAATAATCTCAACTTCTGTTCCTTCTCTCTCTGACAAAGTTCCAGAAGCCTTGAGAATCGCCGGTGGAGCTTCCATGGCAGCCATCTTCTTCTTGTTCTTGGATGCAAAGAAACTTCCGAAGAAACCTCCATTAGGACCATCACCCATTCCATCAAGTGTTGGGCTTGCGGTACGTGCAGGTGTTGATGGGATTGGCTTTCCAGACTTGGGGTCAACTTGGATAGGCTTCGCTGCATTATGCCTTTCACTGACGATAGCCATGGCCTGTGAACTAAGTTAGTAATGTTTGACTTTTAGACGATCAACATCAAACTTACTCTGTGACCATTGAGGAAATCAGGGTGACCAGTATTGATATAGCACGATTCCATAGCTACCAAATCTCTTACAAGCTTATTGGCAGGGTCCATGGCTTTCTTAAAGAATGCAATGACGACGGCATGAAACTTCTCCTTCAGTGAAGGATATCTGCGAAACAATGGCTTGGCAAGAAGTTGAGTAAGAATTCTGACCAGTTCGTCGTAGACCAAAGAAGCACATTTCAAACTTGGCTCTTCCAGGCGCTTAATTTGTTGCTTAACAATTAGCTCGAAAGCAGTGGTACCAACAAACAGTGCAGGCGAAGAACCCGAAGAGTTGTAGAGAATAGTTCTGATGTCAATATCCTTAACTTGATCAAATGGATCCACAGCCTTAACACCATTGGAATAAAGTTCGTGGAAGACGAAACTGATTCTAGCACCTCCTGAAAGTTCGATACTGGAAAGCTCCTGGTTGTTACCCTCTAGGACCGTCCGCCATTCATTTGTGAATTCTGTAATGATATTGAGCACAATATTCGCGCTATTTCCAAGCATCGAATCTCCAAGACCTGTCAACTCGGCAGTGTACTTTTGTAATGAAGCCTGTATACGAGCCTTGATATCTGGGAGAGTTTGCTTGATGTGCATCATCAAGATAAGGTTCAGTTTTCTGGCCAAATAAGGAGTTCCGCAATATGAGCTCTTGTTCTTATATGCTCGGTGATTCTCGAAGAAGTTTTTCTCGTTTTCCAGCGCCGCAGTAATCGCCTTCTTATTATCGATATCCCTTTGACCTCTGTTGACGACTGGCACGTAACCTAATCTCAGGGGAATGATTCGTCCAGCCAAAATATCCACCACATCGGTTCCGTCGTCCATCAAATCGACCTTAGTCAAAACACCAATTGTTCTTTGACCTTCTGGGTCGACCTCTCGCGCAAGCTTCAGTCCATCGGAGTTAGCCAAATCGGTATTGGCACCTGTAACAGCAAGAATAATAGCATTTGGTTTGCTAATTTGTTTGAGGACCATCTCCTTAATCTGTCTCTCAATGTCCCTGGGTTGATCTCCAACTGGAACCTTAGTCAACCCGGGCAAATCGACAAGGGTAAGAGTAAGAACATTTGGGGAGTATATGCGGAGGTTGATGGGAGCCGGAGAGATTCCCGCATTTCGACCAGTCTTCGCCTCTGTTTCCTTTGTAATCTCATCTCTAATCTTATTAAAGTCATAAAACTTTTGCCCGGGAATATGAAGAAACTCGCCCCATTCATCGGCATTGGCTTCTTTATCACTTCCAGCGATCAGTTCCTCAGTATCCTGTACCCCATTTGTTTTGGCGGCAGGCGGACGGTTAATAAGTTGTAGCACGAGCGGTCGTCTGGTAACAATACCAGTTCCTCGAGGTAAACTGCGCATCATCATAGAGTTAGCATATAATAACACAGCGTTTACGTACGTGGCAGACTTACAAGTCTCTCCCAACTATGTTTTCCAGAACCGAACTCTTTCCACTCGACTGACTCCCCACCACTACTATTTGAGGAAGATCTATTGGGTTTTGTACACCGACAGTTGTGAATACATCTTGAAGCTTGTTCACCAGTCTGCGAGATGTGTTAGCTACATGGCGCAAACAAATACAGCTTAAGGAGGTCCTAACGTTATGAGACCGGGGTCAGAGATACCGCCTTGTGCGGCCATGATTGATTGAGTTTGTGTGTTGATTTGAGAGGGGATAGAAAGATTTCGAGGTGCAACAGAATTTTCGGTAAGCTTGACTCTCGTTGGAGTGTTGTGCTTTAAGAGAGTGGGAGTTGGAGAAGCTCTTGTTTTAAAATGCGACTCCCGTTGATATTCTGTTGTTTAAGACCAACGAGGCGTGCGAGGCCAACCTTCCACGAGGTGAGTAAGGCTAGTCGTGACGGCCCGTGCGCAGATCTCAGCCACACTAAGATAGAGTTCCCTGGTTGGTAGAAAAGCGTATGAATCAGACAGAACTACTCGTATAGTTAGTTATACGTATCTTCTTGACGACTAAAAGGTTAATTGTCCACGGGAGATATACTAGCAAGAAGGGCCCTTTGTTCTTAACACTCAGTGAGTTCAAATTTCTAAAAATATTTCAGTGTATCATAGAATATCGGGTTGTTTCTATGAATCCTATACAACGAGACAGCCTTCAGTCCAATGGGGGCGGGGTTGATACCTAAGGAGGACTCAATGGACAGCTCATATATACTCATTCAGTCAGTCATATTCAAACATTTACTCATGTATTTAGTTTCTAGAAGCCTAGAAACATCTCAGTGAATCTCTTGTCATACATACACGATAAAAACAAACCGGCCCTTACGCTTCGTCATCATCCTTACGACGCACCTTCGCCAGAGCATCAATTGTTAGGCACCTAAATTTCGAATACAAGCACGTGCCCAACCCCCTTTCCAATATTTTCGAATACGCGGATAACTTCCACCCCCCAATCAAACCATGTCACCCAAAATCATAACCGTAATCGGATCTCTCAACACCGATCTCGTAACGCTTACTCCCCGCGTCCCCTCTGGAGGTGAAACCATAACCGCTACGTCCTTTAAAACTGGTCCCGGTGGGAAAGGCGCCAACCAAGCCGTAGCATGCGCTCGCCTCTCTCGACCGAATCCCGCTTCCACCCCGTCTTATACTAGCGATGTTCTGATCAAAATGATCGGTGCGGTCGGTGACGATGAGTAGGTTATCTTTCGTATTGTCGGTCCTACCAAGTCCCTATTTCAGTTATCTTACGACCCAAATGGTTTCGACTGTTAAAATATATGCTTTCTTTGAGTGGAGAATGTGTCACATTATTTTCACTCCAACTAATGCTTCCCTAGATTCGGCCCATCCCTCATCTCCTCTCTCAAAGACTCCCTCATCGACACAACATCCATCCAAACCATTCCATTCCAATCAACCGGCGTAGCAGTTATCCTCGTGGAATCCGAGAGCGGCGAAAACCGCATCCTATTATCCCCCGGCGCCAATCACGTGAGTATAATCGGGTCTTGAATCACTCACTCCTCGCTCTCAAACTCCTACTTTGTATCTCATCTTCTGTGTCCTCTTAACCCCCTCATCTCATAAAACTTTCGCCTCTCATTTAACTCAGAGCCTCTCCTCTCCTCTCCTGATAGGCAAACACTAACAACCCCCTCAACCCCACAGTCCCTCCAACCCAGCGCCTTCACCCACCCCACCACCCTCGGCACCCCCCACCCCTCCCTCCTCGTCCTGCAACTCGAAATCCCCATCCCCGCCGTCCTCCAAATCCTCGCCACCGCCCAGAAAGCCAACATCCCCGTACTCCTCAACCCAGCGCCTGCCGTGCCCCTCCCCCTAGAAGCCTACCCCTCCATAACGCACCTAATCCTCAACGAAACCGAAGCCGCCATTCTCAGCTCGCGCTCCATCTCTGTCGTCGAAGACCCCTCTTTCGATTGGCGCACCATAACCAACGAATTCCTGTCCCGCGGCGTGAAAACCGTCATCGTAACTCTCGGTTCCAAGGGCGCCATCTTCGCTACTGGCGACGTTTACGAACATGTGCCTGCGGAGGAGAATGTAAAGGTGGTTGATACGACTGCTGCGGGCGATACATTCGTAGGAGCCTATGCTGTTGAGTTAGTGCGTAATGTAGATGCTGATGCTGACGTTATGCTTGCTGCAGTTGCGAAAGCGTGTAAGGCAGCTGCGCGGACTGTGGAAAAGGAAGGGGCTCAGAGTGCTATACCTTGGGCTGATGAAGTGGAAAGATAGACAGTCCGGAGGATCAATACATGTAAATGATTCGAAAATATCAAATGTTGCCATTTCATTCGCATGTACTACATCACATCTACCAAGCCGTGCATTTGCCTTGCCATCCAAATCATACCTTCCCTCCCAACTGCCCAACTTACTTGCAATCAGTCTATCCGTGTAAGAGTAGCTTTGCGTGAGGGTCTAGAGAGCTGAAAACGATTCGCAAACGCAAATTAAATATAACTCCAAGCCGCTACCATAAAACTTTGTTCCCGAACACCATAGAATGCCTTCCCATATGCAACCCTTCCTGCTCTCGGCCCGATTCTCCTAATTCGCCGCACCAAATGTGTATGTGATGTGAATAATGATATATGATGACGAGAAAACAATGAAAATCGTGGTAACATTGCTGATAAAACGCTTATGTATTCTTGTGCACTGGCGTGAGTTTCAATCACCAGCCGTTTGGTTCGCGCTGCGAACCATTGGAAACGTTCAATGCTACCGATTTTGGGAACCCCCCTTGAGTATTCTCGCTCGACCATCTGTTGTACTTATTAGTTCTATCGAACGAATTTTCCGAAGGGGTTGATACTTACATCCGAATTTTACCATCATCACCTGCGGAAGCGAACATAGCTGGATTCGTTGGATTCCAGGAAATTGCATTACAGCAGCCCTTCTTATGCCCTTCAAGCTTTTCTACAACTGTTCCGTTCTCTCTGTGGTATATCACAACGTTGCCCTCTATAAGTGGAAGTGTTAGTAACGCCGATAAGCCATCCGAAGTATTATTCATAATCATACCTTCACTTCCGCTAACAACAAAGCTTTCATTGGCGCCGCCAAAAGAGCTTCTGATAATAAATTCACCCCCTTTATCTCCTGATACAAAGGATCGAACTGTCTCGCCTGTCTCTATATCCAACATGCGCGTTTCTCCAGTGCAGCAATGGACCAGCAAGTGCCTCGAATTCTGGCTGATGCTCACCGAGCATAGCTGGACTTTGAGGTCCAGCTCATATTCAAGCTCTCGAGTTCCAAAATTATAAACATACAGATGGGTTAATTGCTCGATAGCCGCCAATCGACTTCCGTTCCGTGTGACTGCTATGTCTCGAATACGATGGTCTCGAGCCCAATCATATATAATATCACCATCGAGGCTCCACTGGCATAAGTTCTTGTTGATGGCTAAGCTGCCTATGATGAAGGATTTTCCATCCGGTGTCCATACACAACAGGTCACAGGCTCACTGAAACGAGGGAGTGTTTTCAATAATTCCCCAGTCTATCAAATATCAGTAAAAAAATTTCGAATATGGACTTCTGACTTACTGCAGTGTTCCATAAACACGCACGATTATCACGGCCACACGTGACCATTCTCGTATCATCAGGACTCCATGCAAAAGAACAAACTCCAGCTTCATGTTCAGAAAGGACAACATGAACATCAAAGTCCGGGACGTTGTAAACCACGACCACTCCATCACTCCCACAGCTCGCTAACAGAGTTCCATCGTGTGAGAACTTGGTATCCCATATCTCACCAGAATGTTTGTCGAGTTCTACAACAGGCCGTAATGGAAAATTGCTTCGGTCACATGTATGATCTTTATACAGTGAAGGTGATGCATATGTGTTGTGATAGATACAGGTAGATATTTGGTGTTGTTTGACTTGGTTGAAGAGGGTGGCTAAACGATTCTCGGGTAACATAGCTGACGGTGATATGCATTCTAGAAGGAAATTAGTATAATACACCAACTAAAATCATATCAAAAAGAATCTCACTTGACAGTTGCGAGAGAAGTAGTTGTCTTGATATTCCAGTGGCACCATCCCAATTAGCCTTGACTTTCAAATCTTCAGGTGTACACATCAGTAAGCTAATACAAATGATTAGTACCTAATCCAGATAGTGTCTCGTACAAGCATATCGACGGAACTTAACTCACCTTGACAGAAAATGTAATTTGGCGGTGTCCTGATACAATGGGGTGAGTTCGGATCGCAATACATTAATTGCTCTGCCCATATCCTTTTGCTCAAGTAGTTCCAAGAACTTCTGTTGGCGCATCCAAAATCGCATAAAGTTTTTGTCCACACCATCTCGGAGAGCCAACCCATTACCATAAATGTTTACTGCGATTTTCTCCGTGGATCCTCCGAAAAGGAGCTCTTCGGCTTCCGTCCACTCGCCCTGTAAGACAGCATTTCGAAAAGCTGCCACCGTTGGACTTTCTAGATCATAACCACTTTCCTGACTTAACGTTCCAGCAGCACCATTATAGCCCAAGTCCGTCAAAGCTTGAATTAAGATCCTTGTAACTTCCTCCCTATCATGTCCAAAGTATGTAGATACTGGCTTGATACCCGAGTCTGAGTGACCATTTGTACTTGATCCGTTCATGGCTAACGAGAGAGAGTGTGCACCGTTGGCAGAATTTATAGGGGCTGCCTTGTGTAGAGGGGAAGGTCCGGCTCCATTTGAAACTGATCTCGAGTTACCATTCGAGTTACTGCTCTCTCCGTCAAATCTCATAGTAGCACTTTGTCGTTGTCGTTTATGACGATGTTCGATTTCTGGATTCGAAGGATTCGAAGAGTCTCCGGGACTTGGAGGAGTATTTGACTGTTCCCCTCGGTCTAGAGTATAATCTCGACGTCTACGACCGAGGACTTCAGCTGGAGTACGTCTCGGCCGGAGCTCAGCTTGCGGGGTACTACGAGTTCTGGTACCTGCTCTTCTTAGGGGTTCTATGATATCTCTGCTGGATGTAGGAAGAGAATCAGATTGTTCTATTGCGTATTGGTAAGGTAATAAGATGGGCTGGGCTGAGGAGGCAGTGTTGGTTGATCTTGGATGGGAAGTCGGGGTAGATGGGTCGTCGGGATTGGATAAGGATGATATTTGACGATGGGGGGTTTCGTCTGCCAGGACGAAGTCTGCGGGAGTGCCGCTTCTAGAATTTAGATTCAAGAGAGGGGGCCTCAAGAATCTTAGAATTCCCTTAATCGAAGTTCGAAAATGGAAGTTATTGTAATGGAGGTAAGAGATTAACTGAGTATAGAAGGTTCAAAGTTGTCGTGCTTGAATGCTTGCCTTTGCTTCTAATGATGACGGTACTGACACCGGTAGAGTGAATGAATAGAATCGGTCAGGTCAGGTCAAAGAGAGGAGAGGACAAAACTTGGAACAAATTCGAATGATATCGGAGTTGTAGTAGTACGGTATTGTTTTGAATCACAAAGAAGCCTTTTTCACATATACGAAAGGGGATGATTTATTAGAGAAGCCATTAAAGTAAAAGGTCTTATAACGATGTCCGAAGGCAGTAGCATGTATGAGGCCCAAGAATACGGTGGGCCATTATATTTCAGGTCACCACCCTAGCTCTTATCCCTATCGCTCTTATCAATATCAAGCAAGCACCTGGTATTGAACTGCAAATGGAAACGTTTGATTCACAATGAAATTCAAAGTGTGTGAAGAAAAAAAGGTAAGAGGAAGCAGAAGAGCCTAAGAGGAGAAAGAAGAGAAATGAAATGTAATTAAAGGAAATATATACAATATAAATTTAACACCTAATACATAATCCTTGCGCCTTCTCCCATATACCATTAACTAGTATCGGTGTGTGCCGCAATTTAGCTTCAAGCTTCGAAAGATTACGAGTAGGTACAGTCAGTCAGTACATATAGTACCAGTGTTATTAGAAGCTCCTTCAAGCTCCTTCCCGTTGACCGATATCCCCACTGCTATTGCTACGAAACTAGCTATCTACATATAGAAACACTTGCTACTCTCACTCTCACTCCCACTACCTACTCTACTCTACTTTTGAACTTTAGTTGATTGGTTGATTAAATGATAACTTCCTTGTCTCCATCTTTGATCTTGATCCTTTTTTATGTCACTTGGTCTTCGTCCTCGTTTGAAAGCTCGGCCCTCATTTTTAGACTTGATCCAAATTCAACATATTGATACCTTGTCAATAGCTCCAGTTGAGCTTAATCAAGAACCATTACCACAACTGCCACTATCGCCCCCTCCAACAACAATACAATTCGCATTTTCGAAATCAAGTAAAGAGATTGCCAAGATGGCTCCCCAAAGAGATGCTGATGGAGAAGAACAATTTGGTTGGTCTTTGTTTATTCCTCATATCCTACCAACACAATTGCTAATGACAGTCCTCCAGGTTCAATCTACTCCGTATCAGGGTGTGTGCAAGAGCTCATCAATATACCTTTACTTAACTAATTATCTTTAGTCCTGTCGTGGTGGCAGAGAATATGATCGGAGTAGCTATGTACGAGTTGGTAAGTTTGTTTTGCCCAAACAGCCAGCCATTGTGTTACTAACCAACTTGTAAATAGGTTCGAGTCGGTCACGATAACCTTGTCGGTGAAGTTATTCGAATCGAAGCGGATAGAGCGACCATTCAAGTATACGAGGAGACAGGTATGGAGAAATATATGGCCTTGGGTTTGAAACTATAACTGACTTTATGGGTAAAAAGCTGGTGTTACCGTTGGCGACCCCGTTGTGCGTACTGGAAAGCCTTTGTCGGTGGAGTTGGGGCCAGGTCTTATGGAAACAATTTACGATGGTATTCAAAGACCTCTCAAAGCTATCGCAGACGTTTCCAACAGCATTTATATTCCTCGAGGTATTTCCGCGCCGGCTTTAAACAGAGAAAAGGATTGGGACTTTAAGCCTATTATGAAAGTTGGAGACCACATTACTGGCGGAGACATTTGGGGCACAGTCTACGAAAACTCTCTCTTGGATGATCACAAAATCCTTTTTCCACCGAGGGCTAGGGGTACCATTACACGCATTGCCGAAAAAGGAAGCTACAAGGTTGACCAGAAGATCCTCGAGGCTGAATTCGATGGCAAGAAGACCGAATATAGCATGATGCACACTTGGCCTGTACGTGTGCCACGACCAACTACCGAGAAATTGGCAGCAGATAAACCATTTATTGTTGGTCAACGTGTATTGGATGCTCTCTTCCCGAGTGTTCAAGGAGGAACCGTCGCTATTCCTGGTGCTTTCGGATGCGGTAAGACTGTTATTAGTCAATCTGTTTCCAAGTTCTCGAACAGTGATATTATTATATACGTCGGATGGTAAGAAACTCTCTGCTTCAATCACAACGAAATTATGTTAACAAAATATGTATAGTGGAGAGCGCGGTAATGAGATGGCTGAAGTTTTGATGGATTTCCCCGAGCTCTCCATTGAAATCGATGGACGTAAAGAGCCTATCATGAAGCGTACGACACTTATTGCCAACACCTCCAATATGCCTGTCGCCGCTCGTGAAGCTTCTATTTACACGGGAATTACGGTAGCTGAATATTTTCGCGATCAGGGAAAGGATGTTGCCATGATGGCTGATTCTACTTCTCGTTGGGCTGAGGCTCTTCGTGAAATTTCTGGTCGTTTGGGAGAAATGCCTGCTGATCAAGGTTTCCCTGCTTACCTTGGTGCCAAACTTGCTAGTTTCTACGAACGTGCTGGTAAAGTTCAAGCTCTTGGTAGTCCCGATCGTGAGGGTAGTGTCAGTATTGTTGGTGCCGTCAGCCCCCCTGGAGGTGATTTCTCAGATCCTGTGACCAGTAGTACTTTGGGTATTGTGCAAGTCTTCTGGGGTCTCGACAAGAAGCTTGCTCAACGTAAACATTTCCCTTCCATTAACACCTCGGTCAGTTACAGCAAATATACCGGCGTTCTTGACAAATACTACGAGAAAGATTTCCCCGAGTTCCCCAGACTTCGAGATCGTATCAAGCAACTTTTGACTGATTCGGAAGAATTAGACCAAGTTGTACAATTGGTCGGAAAGTCAGCATTGTCTGACCCTGACAAGATTACTTTGGATGTAGCAGCGTTGATCAAGGAAGATTTCTTGCAACAAAATGGTTACAGTGATTATGATCAATTCTGCCCTATCTGGAAAACCGAATGGATGATGAAGGCAATGATGGGATTCCATGATGAGGCTCAAAAGGCAATTGCACAAGGTCAAAGTTGGAACAAAGTACGTGAAGCCACCTCAGAGCTTCAATCCCAGTTGAGAAGCATGAAGTTCGAGGTTCCAAGTGAAGGCGAGGAGAAGATCACAAAGAAGGTATGTTCACATTTTTATTGCTCGGATGGTGTATTTGTCTAACTTTTCTATAGTACGAGGATCTTGTTCAAGCTATGACCGATAAGTTCGCTTCAGTCACCGACGAATAGGAGTAGTATGATAGGAGATATGATTTTGAGAGAAGCGGTATGGCGGTCTGCATTTCTTGCTTTAGCTTGTAATAAAGTTCAGTTGGGTGATAGACACGAGATTGTATGCATATAACGAGCGGATGGACTTTACAAAAAAATGAATATTCTTCGACAGTCTCCAATGATGCGTATATAACTACTACTCTAGCCGTGATTGAAGCAGATCTTTGAGGGAATTAGTTTTCGGAACTGCGGCTTGCTCATGATACACTGACCGCAAATGTTGAGGTCTTCATATGAATGAACTTTAAATTTATACTAAGCTAACACGTTCGAGAATGTAACAAAACCCCTTTTTTCTATCAAGAACTCGGTTCATTTTCGATAAATTTCTCGAGTTTTCTAATTGATTAGGTGAGGACGCTTCTATAATCTAATGGCTGAATAATCACGGGAGAATCTCGGCAGCTGTTGCATAGAAGGAAATACTTGTAATGTAAGCAAGTACAATACTTTCATCGAACGACATGATGCCACGCTCGAGAATTTTTTTTGGGAGCTTAAAAGATTCCTATCTGTAAGATCCTCGATATGTCGTATATCAGCATTTGCAAATTAGTAAGACTAATCAATCATTAGGTCATCCTGAAATCTCTTCTGAATAAATCGTCAGAAACTCATCACGCGCGCGGAAGTGTCTACAGTAGAAAATGGGAAGCACCATTCCCGTACCCACAATAGATCCTTCGGATCCCAAAATCCAGCGTTGGGAAAATGGATTAGCACTCTACTTAGACTTCATCACTCCCACCGAAGAAGCCGAAATCATCGCTTCCATCCTCTCAGATGACCGATGGTGTGGTATCGGCAAGAGACAAACGCTGCATTATGGGGCGCATTTCGATTATACTACGTTTGGGGCTTCGGAGGTGGTGACGCCGGTTCCGGGGTATTTGGAGGGATTGGTGGAGAGGTTGCCGATGGAAAGGGAGACTTGGGAGAGGCCGGATCAATTTACCGTGCAGTATTATCCTCCCGGTACGGGGATCCCGCCTCATGTGGATACGCACGCGGTGTTTGGGGAGGCGTTGTATAGTTTGAGTGTGGGGGGGAGGGTACCGATGGTTTTTAAAAGGTGTGGGGAGAATGAGGCGAGGAAGATGAGGAGGCCGAAGAGGTCGCTGCTGGGTGATTCGAGGAGTGAGGTTAATAGGACGAAGGTGGTGGTGGGGGTGAAGGAGAAGGAGAAGAAGGAGGGGCATGAGAATGAGGGAGAGAAGTGGGAGGTTTGGTTGGAGCAGATGAGTTTGTTGATTATGAGGGGTGAGGCTAGATATGGGTTTACGCATATGATTAGGGGGAGGAAATTTGATGAGGTGGAGGGGGAGGGGGAGGGGGAGGGTGGGGAAAGAGTTAGAGTGAGGAGGGAGGGGAGGTGGAGTATTACTATGAGGAGTGTTAGGAGGGGGGCGGATGTAAGGTGTGAGTGTAAGTTTCCGGGGGTTTGCGATGCGAGGATTAGGGAGGAAAGGGAAAGGGAGGAAAAGGAAAAGAAAGACGAGAGTAATAGCGAAACTGTACTTGCACCAGAAACTATTCCCAAATAAATGATTAGATGAGTCTTCGTAAAAACCCCATAAAAATATCTTGAAAACTTTATACATCGCTTGTTTATCAAATAAGTACTGGTACCGGTAGTCGGAAACGAAAATTAAACTTTGAAAAGGAATCCGAGAAGAATGTGAGAAGCGAGGAAGCATTGTGCACATCAAATAGCTACAGTAGCGACCTGTCAATCTGCAGCTCTACCTATGTACCCTCTCTTCAGATTATCAATGAATTAACCTTACATGATCTCTACATACAGATACATACACATACACACACCCCACACCTCCAGACTTCTCCCCCTCAATCTTTTTAGGATTTTGATAAGAGTAGTGATAGTAATAGGGACATAAAAGTTTTGCGGTTCAAAAGATAGTAATAGGAATAGTAATATAGAAGTTTCGCGGTTCAAAAGAGGAATAGAATATTAGTTGAGAATGTACGTGTGGTAGCTGTTTACTCTTTTTCTTGTTTGTTTGTTTATTTGTAGGGTTTGGAGCGGTTTGGTTTGGTTTGGTTTGTAGCGGTGAGGTGAGGTGAGTAGTTTGATGATTTGGGTGGGTGGGTTGAGGGAATGGTAGAGGGGAGTAGCTGAGCTAGAGTATGAGAGATTAGATTGGCTAATGGGTGGGAGATAGCTTTGTGATATGACGGTTTGATAGCTCTTTTCAAATTTGCAATGAAAGGGAAGGAGGGGAGATTAGATATATGATATGATGGGAGTGGATGAGGTGGGACGCTCGGATGAGAAGTAAAGTCTAGAATGGAATAGAATAGTTAAGTATGGCGATGATAGTGAATATAACAAGATTAGCGAGAGCTAGCCCAGACGTGGACCTAAAGTGTTAGGATGATAGTCCTGAAGAGGTGAGATATGGTGTTGTATGGATTGATGTATGAAGTGTAGTTTCGGATGATCTTCCTGGTTTTGGGTTGAGAGAATTGGAAGCGAGACATGGTAGTTGTTGAGAAGCATGAAGATAGAGTGGGTCGTGGTAGATAGTCAAGTAGAAGTGAAAGGTGATGAGAGTATGCAGATGAGAGTATGCAGATGAGAGTATGCAGATGAGAGTATGCAGATGAGAGTATGCAGATAGAAGGAGTGTACCTAATATAAAGGGTGTGTGCGAGAGTGGGACATGGTAGATGGGGTTGTGATAGAGAAGATGACGATGATAAATGAGAAATGAGGGAAGTGTATTGATCTATGTGGATCTATGTGGATGATTGGTATAATAATACTTGAATGAAGGGTGTAGACTTATATGACATTAACATCCGACGTCGAGGACGATGAATTATAATGGTGATGATGATGAACAAGAAATGATAGAAGAGCATTGATCTATGTGTATGATTAGTATAATAATATTTGAATAAAGAGTATAGACTTATATAACATTGGTGATCAATATCAGAAATGATGAATGATTTTTGATTATGATGATGATGATGATGAAGACAGTCAGGGACAATAACAACGACAATGACGATGCCGATGATAAGAAGGTACACAACGTAAGGTAGACGTCGAAATGTGTGAAGTTATGTGATATCGATCCGAGTAGCGACGATGATATGATAAAGGTAAACCAGCATCATGCAAGGACATCGACGACAACAAAGTAATTGGCGACGACGAGCCTTTTGTCACTCAAGAGTGACTTTCAACACCATGTCATGGTAAGGCTCATGTTGAACTCCGAATTCCTAGAAGCAAATTTTGAGGAATCAAGTTAGCAAGAATTCGAAGGTCAAGTTTGGGAATAGAGTCATCAACCTACCAAGATAATTGAAGAAGTTGAACGGTTTTAATCCGTCAGCTCCTCACTTGAGGGTTTCCAGCCAGAACGACGAGGACGTGAATCAACTGGCCACCCTGTGCACAGTCAGAAGTCAATGGGGGAAGGTCATACATACGTTTTATCCAGTATCCAGGGAAGGTCGCCAATGTGTCAGGTCAATTCAAATCAATTCGATGTATCCAGGAAGTTAGTAGTTAGTAGTTAGTAGTTAGTATCACTAGCACTGTATCTGTATGTTGTCAATAAGATGGGAGTGGGGGATATATTTACCATTTCGAAAGAAACTTTGGAGATATCATTGCAGCTGCAATAAGTCCCCAGGTGGCGACTTGTTTGATCGTCTCTTGGTGTCGGTGGATCCAGGATTGCTCTGGTGGAGCAATGGTAATCGTCGATGGGGTGGTATCTGGCTCCGGCATGGTCTTCAGTTCTGGTATGGTCCATGGCTCCCGTATAGTCTCTGGCTCCGGTGTCGTCTCTGGTTCTGGAATGGCCTTGGGGTAGTAGCTGTCGAGTGAGGACGGATAGTCGGCTGTCGTGTTAGTATCGTCCTCGATGGAGGATGCTTCGGAAATTTCTGGATTAAACTCTGGCTCCGGTGTGGTCTCTAGTTCTGAAATGGCCTTGGGGTAGTAGCTGTCGAGTGAGGACGGATAGTCGGCTGTCGTGTTAGTATCATCCTCGATGGAAGATGCTTCGGAAATTTCTGGAATGGCCTCTGGTTCTGGAATGATCTCTGGTTCCGGAATGATCTCTGGTTCCGGAATCGCAATTTTGGGGCGTGCATCTGTAAACCTACCACGAAGCTTTCGCTTCGGTTTTTTGGGGATTAGCTGGGGGGAAGGGACTGACAAAGGAGATGGAGCTAATGACGTGGACATCATCGAACCTTCACTGAAAGGCCAATCTGGAAATATTACGTTTGGTTGAGACATGATGCGATCTTCTTTGAGGGTCAACTCTAAAAACAGTTCACTAAATGTCTTCTTTTTAGCTCTCTTGAAAAAGGGGATTTGCTTGTATACTACCGGTTGCTGAGGGGAATTATTTCGTGAACCATCTTCAGCAACGACTGAAGAGTCACAAGATAAGGAGTGTTGTGTCGCTGTACTTGGGGTGTCAGCTAACCTGTCAATGGGGAGTTTGAATTTGAGGAGTGGGGTTGTTGAAGGAGTGTGATGATCGCAAAATGGATCGAAGGGAAAATTGCAAACAAATGGAATGGGAGTTGGAGTTGGAGCGTAGAGAACGTGGGCACCAGGTAGAAGGTCTACTCTGATGCAGGGAGAATGAATTGGAAGAAGGTCGCTCGACCCGGACCCTTCACTAGAGGTGGCCCATTCTTCAGTGGTGGAGTCGTTGTACATCGTAGGGGACCGATAGTTGTCCATGGGATTGTTATGTCGCATATGTGGTTTGATTTCGAGAGCCGACCAATCGATCGACTCGTATGACAGAGAATCTGAATAGTATGATGATGTTAGCGAAGATGATGGTGACAAAGGAAAAGATTCTTTTGTATGTTTGGGACTAGATGTTGATTGGAGGGTTGAAGGTTCCAAGGAGGGTCCGGTTTTGTTGTCACACGCGAGGACGCGGAGAGGACGGATGTGTGAGGTTTGGAGAATGGAAAAGGTTTGTGGAACTTGATATCCAGGACCGCGGAGGGCCGAAATGTTGGAAGTAGAGTTGGAACCAGCAGCTCCAGGGACACTGCGGTTGTAGGAAGAAGATTGGAAGCGAGACATTGGAAATGTGGAAATTTGGAAATTTGGAAATTTGTGTGTTTGTAGAGAGTAGAGAGTATGTGAAAGTGGCACGAGGAAAAAAGAGATCTAGAAACAGAGACTGAAGGGACATATATATAGGAAATATCAAAATTTTGGTGATCTTTTGGCATGTTTCCTTAGACTCAGATCGCGTCTTTTGACTTTACCATGGCCGAACAGAGAGGAAGGAGCGACATCAGTACGCGATAAATCTAACCCAACCAAGCTGTAATCATCTATCACGCGAGTCAGAAGAATATGAAATCATGAAATAGTTGGAAAAATAAGTTTAAATACAAGTATTATATCATTTTTACAAGTACCTAGAGGAAAGAACACCCAATCTAGCAGGTCCTACTACCACTTAGCAGGAAACTCTAACTGTCAGAAAGCAATAGGTCCGGAGCATCACAGGAAATAATCCACTAACCCTGATTGGGGAGACAGCTTTGGAGGATGTATAGGATAATTAATCACATCATTGGATAATGTATAATGTAGATTCTAGTGCGTGATTTATTTAGATCACCAAATCCGGAACCTCGACTTTAAATACGCAGCTCCACAGCCACAAATGGGACGCATAGCCTGCACCAGCTACATTCCTCGCAGTCCGCATCTAGCAGCCACGTCCTCCTCTATCCTCATACGATCCGGTACTGAAACATGACAGACTTGAACAACGATATAAGCATCCAAAACTTCGGATAATAAAGAGGTATACCTTCACCAGCTCGCGAATGCTGTGATTATTATGACAAGAATCTCTGCTCATGATGAGGACTTCGAGATCATAGCGATTCGCAAATCATACAACTTGGATTCATAGACGACCGTATATGAACGGAAAAGCGACGGGTTACAATACAACGAGGGGAGATACTATGTGCGAAAGGAAGGCTTTCGTTTGGATGTCAAGGGGTAAGTGTGGAGCAAATATTTGATGCAGCTGAACTACTTTAGCACACGCGAAGACTTTCACACCATTTCAATCATGCGTCTACATCTTGCGGCGTACCTCACGATACATGATCTCGGATGGAATTAATATTCACTGCAGAATTCTGGCGATGTCTCCAAGCACGTCTGGGAAGAGTGAGATCTCTCATCTCATGGTACTACCACAAACGAGATCGCGACCGGCCGTTTATTCGTCCCAGACTCTTAACCTGACCAGAACTTCAAAATGAAAAGAAACAACAAAAGGCCGAGGGTGCGACTTGATATATGTTCAATCATCGTGTCCGAAAACTTTCGGCCTTTTCTGGCGGACTGCAATGATAAAAGGTCACAGAGACAGCTTTAGGTTTCTAGCATAGGTCCCGTCGCATCTTCTCCAATCCAATCCTAACCAACCCTAGCCCATCCATCCATCCATCCACACGCAATACATGCTATGCTGGGCCCACCCATATAACCAAAAGGAAAGTTCCATTCTGTTACTTCCCCGTGCATCTATACCAAGTGATCCAATCCAATCCCATCCCATTCTAAGAAGAGGGATTTCACACAGCCACCAGACGGTCACGCTGCAGACGAAACGACTCAATCATCGTACCAAGTGTAGTTTAAGCTTAAAAATGGTGCAAAGTTTTTCAAGGGAATAGGTATATTGTGCCGATAGTTTGACATCACGAAGAAACCAGCGTGATGGAAATGAACACGTAACTTGTGGGTGGCCCATAATTACCCCATATCAGCTATTCCCAAGACCCGATAGCTCGTGGACCTAACTAAGTACAAGTGCACATTGTTCTACTCGAGTACTGCACTCGAGTAGCTACATATCCAACATAATTTTTCGAGGGAAAACAATGATATGGATAGTGTCAGAGAAAAAGTGGGAGGAATCGTAACTAAACGGCGAGATTTTGGGCTATTTAAAGAATTGCAATATATGATCAATTGTAATATATGATCAGGTGGTTCCAGATACGGTCTTGTCATCCCCTCATTGACAATTCACTCACATTAACAAACACGCTTAAAGTCACAAATGAGGAAGGAATGGTGCTTTAATGGACTATTCGCTAACGTCTTCGAGCTAGTATCTCTGGATACTTCAACGAAAGGGATACTTTGATGATATTACCCCCGACCTCCCCAGATCCCCTCTGTTAAACATGGAAACCAAAAATTATCTCATTCCCCCCCCTTTCTTCTTTTGAGCCCCAGCGGCTTCTTATTCCCTCGTTGTATCCTATTCCATTTATTCTCATCACTGTAACAGATCCTCTGCTGTGTTACCTCTTTCTTTCGATATACTTCCTCCAAGTAGCTTTTGCCATCCGCCCCTTGCTCGCTTAGCTTCCTGACTCGCGTGCTTTTTCAGAGGAAAAGTTGCTTCAGTCATGGCTTTGGCTTTGGCGGTGCTGGTGTGAATATAGGTTTGAGTTTGGGAGTGGAAGCAGGAGCGGGTGCTGGAGATGTTGCTGGTATATTAGTGGTGTTTTGATCATTCGAGCTACGGCCATACATTATCAGCTCCTTCGAAGTCATTGAGCGCGAATCAAACGAACTGGATTTCCACTTGACTCGACATCTTCGTAGTAAATTGATGGTTTGGCTGTAAAGTTGATCTTCTACCGAGATGAAGGTATTGGAAATCGAACCCAGATGTGAGGAACACTGGAAAACTGACGAAGGAAAAGGGAAAGAGTGGGGAGGAGGAATGGGAGGGTATAACACACTTGATTATTCGGCCAGGTTCTCCAACACATCAAAGTGTTGTGTTCTATTGCCGAGTGGGAGTGAATATACAAGTTTTAAGCGAACGAGTAGTGCTAATGTCAGAAATACATCAAAGGTGGCGATTAAAGCTAGAGTGAATACTGGAAGATATCGCCTAGGAGATCCAGAGATCAGTGGGTAAGTGAAAATCTAATTCCTTTGCATGCGGTGGATATATACAGTGCGACTAGCTATATATGTAGGAAACTCTGGGGAAATTGGGAGCGCAGAACAGGGACAAACATCAGGTAGATAACAGGCCGCAGTGGAGCCTCACAAACCATCTGAAGACGGTGGTCCTTTGTACACTATATTCTGTCAGTACATGCTCAACATTATTGCGAGCACAAAAGCTTACCTTTCCTAGCGTATATTCCATACCAAATCGCCGCAATCGCCATAAACCCTACCAGGACCACACTTGCATAATTCATTGTCACCTCTGTGACCGGTAACGCCGTAGGCATACTAAATAACACCACCTCAAAAGTAATCCATACCAACGCCACCACATTCACCGTCGTTCCAACAACATGCCCACAATTCCAACGCGCTTGAGAGACTTCTTGTCGTTTGTTCCAAAGTAATGAAAGACTGATTGGTATAGCGTAAGATATTGCAAGTGCCATGACACCTACTGATACGAAAGCCGTGAAGGCACTGCTGCTGCCGAGATTGATGAGCCCGAGGAGCATTTGCACGATAGTGACGAGTACGAGGGCATTGACTGGTACGTTTAGGGACTTATTGACAATAGAGAATATTTTAGAGCCCGGCAATGCCTGATCGCGAGCGAAGGCCCAAGTGCAGCGTGACGCGGCCACTGTGATGCTAATGGAGCAGAACATGGTAATACCGAGTACAAGAAAAGTAAGACCTAAACCGCCTCCTGGAGAACCCATGACCATATGGAAAATGTATGGGATTGCTTGGGCACTGGGGGCGCCAATGACGTCGGCGAGAGGGGGCATGGTTACACAAATGGGAATGATGAAGAATAGGCCAGCTGTTCCGCCAACAGGAACGCACAGGGCCATTGCTTTTGGGACTTTGACAGAAGGGTTGGAAACCTCTTCGGCCATTGAAGAAATCATGCCGATCGCAGAGAAAGTATATGCAGCAGGTAATAGACCGATGAAGAAAGTAAACCCTCCCCATCCAGCAAAAGAGGTATCGTAATTACCAAGGGAGTAGCTAGCGCTGTGTCGTCCTTCTTTTGCCGATACTGAGAGGGCAATGAGAATGATAAGAATACTGACGGCGGTCCAGGCAGCACAGATTGTATCAACCATAGGCAAAAATCGGTTGCCGAATGTGCATATAACGAACGTTATGAGACAAATAGCATAGAATATGAGAGTAAGTTGCCAGCTAGATGCTACAAAATTTGGATGATATATGGCGATAGTTGCAGATATTAGCGATGCAAAGCCAAAGTTGACGGACAATGTAATTGTCCAGTTTCCAATCAGCCATACCCAACCGGTAATGAATGAAAGAATGGTCTTGTGTCTCTTTGCGACCTACCATTCTCGAAAATTAGCAATGGTCGAGACTTCTGTTTCAATCTCTTATCAAAAAGAGTCAACTTCTATTGAATATGATGAAAGATCCTGGAAGATCCTCACCTGAAAAGACCAATAATAAGGTCCAGCTGATGTTGGGTACCTCGAGGCAAGTTCGCTCAATGATAGAGCCACACATTCATCCAAGACAAGAACCACAATCCAACCGACAAAGATGGAGAGTTGACCACCTCCATATATAGCACTAATCAGTGGCCCCCCTTCGCCATAAGGTATTGCTGCAATTGCAAGCGATTGGAAGAGAAGAGTAAACAAAGATCGATTTCGTTTAAGCTCGGCGGTATATCCAAGAGCTTCAAGGTTATCGACCTCATTAGAATCTGGTGGGGAAGTTGTGGAAGGAGTTGTCTTCTCGTCGTTGATGATCGATGTGCCCATTCTTGCGGAAGGGATTCGAAATTTTCAGCTCTTGCTATTTTTTTCGAAAAAGATATTCGCAACAAAGAGTTCGAATTAATCGTTGTATACTATTTGAACAAGCGACGGAAGTCCATTGAAATAGGTTCATGCGCGATATAAGTTTCCTATCGAAGACAGATGTCGGAAGCTATCTACAGCGATTAAGTAACATAGGGACGGCCCTTCCAGGTGATCGGTACAACCAGCCTTCAAGATAAATTAGAGCCGATAGAGAAACGGTTTCCAGCATTTCTTGCACAACTTTGAGGCGAGGAGCAATTAAATTCTGATATCCCATTGGCTCAACTCAACTGTGGCTATCATAATGTGATAAGGTTTTACTTGAGTTTCTTCCAGGATGAATTCGATTACAAACGAATTCAAGGTAGCTAATCTCTTAGTAGAGGTTCATGCCAGGTGGGATGCATTGAAGTTTCCTTGGCTCTGTTTGTATAGTACGGCTCGGGGCGAGCTTTACTCAGCTGAAGAAAGATTGAAAACAATTCGAACTCTCGAGAACTCAAAGTCCTCGAGGCCTTCTCGTCGAAGTCATTGCGCAGGGATTAATATTATCGTCAAGGTAACTGTGGATCATGGTTGGGTGAGAGAGAGGGACGGGTGATGGAAAAACGAGCTGTTTTTGGCAACGCGGGGAACTTGACAATCTGCAAAGATAAGGGTCCGAGCGTATAACACCAGTACCCGTACTCCGTAGAGGGAATGTTCATAAGGAGAACTGACGATAACGTAGAAGTGCATATATAGGTATAGTTCAAGATAATTTGAAAAGGCTGCGAAGATAGATTAACGGATACCAGTGAGAAATAAAACTACAAGATTGTCACGTGTTCTCACGTGGTATTGTGGGGGTTCGACGACGTTCCGTGACCTTTGTCTACGGGGCACCTTATATAAGGAAATTCCTTATATAGTACATGGAGGCTTTCCGTATATAAGATACGGTCGCGAGTATAATATACGGAAATCGGTCATTTTTGAACATTTTTGAAAAGCGCTATTTTGAGATGTATTGAGATTTGAAGCTAAGCTAGTCCTCCGATATCGATGGCCTCCCCCTCCCAGGCTTCTCAATTATGACCCCCTCCTAGACTCCCGAACTTCCTCTCTCTCTATCCCTCTCATTTTCCTATTCTCAAGCCACATCCCAAACCTCTCCCTATTATCACACCCTCGTCGTCGCACCCTTGTCGTTTCTAACCCTTAATCGTTTATATAAACGTTTGTAACCATTCAAACGGATTTAGATTTACTATGATACGTTGAATCATTCAAATTAACTTACTAGTATTGAAGCATTGATATCATTTAAATTGACTTGAATGAGAGTTGTAAAGAGATAGAATGATTGAAGTGAATGAATGAATTTGAAATCATTCGATTAGTGTGAAAAGCTATATCTAATTAGGTTTAAACCATAATTTCAGATCTCAATACAAGATCTCAATACATTTCAATATATCTCAATACATGATTTCGTACAATAGTTCCTTATACATAAGGAAATTTATTATATGAGGTGTCCGTAGGGTTTTCCGGAACACCCCCCTCCTTATTAACCTCAATCAATCATCGTCTAAACAGCAAATTTGCGTCAGAGCTCTGTCCGACCCGCAGCCCCAAGTCACTCGAATAAATCTTTATCTGCATTCCAATTCCAAACATCTTAGCCAAAGCGTGCAAGTCTCATCTTCGTCTGTTAACTTCATTTTGGAGCTGGGTTCGTCAGAGGCGAGAGTTTTGGGTCTTAAAAAGAAGGCCGTCTTTTTAGACTCGAATGATCCTCAAATCAGAAATAAAAATGACCACCACAGTGCCAGATGAAAACTTCCTGTGCAAATATAAGGTCCAAGAGTACATGACCAAGCCCAGCAGGGATGCAGTAATTCGCTCCTTGGGAGAACCAACGACTCTCTGGCTGAAAGAGCACAATTTTTGGTCATTCAAAAATACAATTGATTTCAATACCAAAGCTAGCAATCTTGGCCGGAATGATCGAAACATCAAAGAATCTATTTGGATTTGGGCTGACGACGAATCCTCAGACTTTGAGCATACTAGCGAAGACGTCAAGTTCGCTTTTCGGCAAGAAAGCAAGAAGCAAAGAAAAATATTCCAAATCTGGCACGGACTGGCATCCTCTCTTTTTTTTCAACAGCAACCTCAGAACCGAATCAACACCCGCATTCAAAATAGTCCACTAATCACCTATTACCCAAAGATCTTTCTCTTCTCCACTATTGGCTCAGATTGCGTCATTCTGAACTCGTGGGGTTGAAGGCAAAGGCCGAATGACTCAAGTTCTAGAAGGATTCCAGAAACCCCTTAAGAAAATTTCTGCAATACTCTAGAAGAATTCTACAAAGATTCTGAAAACTTTCCATTCTACTCTAAAGTAGACGAGATTCCCGATCCCCGAAGAAGTTGACATCGAAATATCTACCTTTCATTGATATGGTCAGTTTGAACACAGAAAGAATACTCACTTGCTCGCAACACCAAGGAACTAACCTGACCGGTCCGTATTCGCTTTGAGTATTGAGGCTGGCAAGAATTGTCGCCAGAGACCATGGAAATTATGCCTATATTCCCTGCGTTGCGGCTTATTAAAACCTTACTGTAGCTCTTCTTTAGTACCACGAGAACTGTCACGGTCAGATTGTGCAGTGTCGTGTGTGACAGGACTTTCACAGCGGAACTTGTTGGTCTGATTGGCGGCAGCTTAGCACTTGTATCCTACTTTCTACGGTATTTAACAATAGCCTTGAGATCTCGAGCATGTGATTCAGATAATTGGCCATTATTTGTCACGGTGGTAAAGTTCAAAATACATCTGCTCTTAACATTTCACTGATTCTTCCCAAGTTCTCATGATTTTGACTACACCTATCTCGGTCACTTGTAAGTCTCTTGTCGACATGCTAATTTTCATCATAGAGTTGCATGTGTGCTAACGGGATAATTAGTGGCGAATCTTGGCCTAGGCAAAGATATATGGGCATTGTCACCTCAGAACATATCAGATATTCTCAAGATTTGTAGGTCAATATACTGAATTTATCTCTTGACTAATTTCTGTCAGTTTGATTACACCAGCGAAGTTCTCTATAACGCATCAATATCAGCGATCAAGATCTCTTTATGTCTACTATGTATCCGGCTCTTCCCCGTAAAGCTTTATCTATACTGAGTCTATAGAACATTAGCACTTTAGAAGTCAGCTTTACAACTATAATCTCTTTTCAATATATCCTCGTCAGTTATGCATGTCATTAAGTAGTGCGACGAGTTGCACAAATGATTTTGCAGCAACTTTTATCTCCAAGTATTGATAAATGCATCCTTCAACTTCGCTCTGGAAATTTTCATCATTGATTTACCAATGTGGAAACACAGCCAATTGATGATCGGCTGGCAGAAGAAATTCACGGTCATGTGCATGTTTTTATTAGGATTATTTTGTAAGCCTATTGGACCCTCTTGCAGCTCCATATTAATTCGTTACAGCAGTCAATATCACGCGACTTCCGACTCGCGCGTATGTTGAACAAAATCCTTGTTGCTAGTCAATAGTATTGTGGGTGTGGCAAGTTACTGTACAGTAGCGAGGTGACTAAGCACATCGCTTATTCCTGAAGATCCCTCCCCTGAATTACTGTACTGTCACGGTACACTACGATGCGGCACGAGAATAACCGGTTAGCGAGCGCGACAAGGTTGTGAAGATATGTATGTATGTGTATGTGTATCTTTGTATTCGTCTCTTGAGTCTTAAGATACATGGTAAAGTCTAGTCCCAAAGTAGAGCTGAAGTTCCCACCGTGACATCAATATTCAACAGCAAATCTCAGCAATAACTTCCGAGTCAGTTCCTTTCCAACCGTCCCAAATCCATGTACCTTAGACAAACAACAAAAATAACATTCGATTGATAGAAAGCCATGCAAGAAGATCGATTGACTAGCCAGAACTCCAATGCCAACCTCGATTCGTGCAAAGGAGGCTAGAGATTGAAGGTGGTGTATGAGAATCGATCCGAAAACAATTGTGGAAAGAGTGGATGCGTATTATAGACCGCCGTCTAAAGCCAGGCAAACATGTGTGGACCCCGAAGAAAGTATCGAAATCGAAAAATAGATGCTGAGTGGGTGTTAAAAAGGAACTAAGGAGTGGCATAAAGATGTTATGTTGAAGAGGACAACATCCGGTGGAGTCGGTTTCGGCTATAGGGTGCGAGAGGTGAGAGGGATATATTGTCGAATTTGGAGTGGAGTAGGACGATGAGGTTGGGTCGAAGCGAATGTAGAATGTTGAGGAGAAACCGGATGTAATGCCAATAAAAGAACACTTTAGGCACGCTCACTCGCATTATGACGGGGGTCGTGGCTGGGATGTCTCAATTTATTATAATCTTCAGGCCTTGCATTGTTTGAGAGCTTCTGGGGCGCTACTAGTCCCTGGAGGACAACAGTAAAGGTCAAATGTTTTCGGTCGGCCACATGGTTGAGTATCGGTTTCAGGATTGGCCTGACAATACGCCGCACCGGAAACATTGACGTTGTTGCACTAGATGAATTATGTTAGATATATATTGTTAAGTAAGAGAGGGGTAAGTTAACTCTAGTAGAATTAATAGAGCCATCTGTCTCTTCAGAAAGCCATTTGTATTGCCATGGTCCTGCCGTCGTTGGATCTTCAGCCTCGAAAGCAGCGCGAGTAGCAGCCCGATTAACAACGTAGTTGCGGACACCTGTCCAAGCTGCGTTTTCTTTCGCAATATTTATTGGCCCCATGATGTACAGTATTCTCTTATTCACAACCTCTATCACCGTCCCAATCCGCAAAACAAAAACCGCGAAAGTTTTTGAAAAATGCGCAAAAGTGTAAAAGTGTAAAAGTGTAAGAGCGAAAGCGAAGTTTCTCGAAAAGTTGTGGATTATCGAAGATTTGTGTGAAGATTTGTAATGTTTCTGATTGAAGGATTTTAATCGAAGTTGTTTTGATTGAAGTTGTTTTGATTGAAGTTGTTTTGATCGAAGATGTTTGATGCCAAAAAAAAAAGTTTACCAAAGGGGGGAGAGCAGAACTATTTAAGCACATTCTGGCCGAGCCAAGAGTTCTCAAAATTCATGTATATGAATGTTCAAAGTTGTATTAATGAATCCTAACAGTCATTTTGGGCCTTTGAGGAGGAATTATGCGTCAGAAACGTGGATTTGAAATTCATTTTTGGAGGTTTTGGTATGTATCATACCCAAACGACCGTCTTTCAAATAAGAAACATGGATTTGAGAACTCACGAAAAAAGCTCCCCCATTAAAATCATAGGTTCAGAGCTCATATAATTAGAAAATTATTCATACCAGTCAGTACTCGGTACATATAACAGTCATTCCATACCTATTCCAAAAAACAGTTTCCCAACCAAAAGTTCCAAAATTATAGATTCAGAACTCACATCACCAGAAAATCATTCAAACCAGTCATTACCTAGTACATACATACAACATGCATGCTGTTCCATTCATACCATCCATACCCTCAATAATTAATATAACCATAACATTCATTAATTCATCAATTTATTTTCAGCCCTCGACTCTCGACGATGACTGCGAACGTGAATCCCAACCGATCAACAAGTCATGAAATCCACAAGACATTTTCGGTAGTCAGTCAAGTTATATCATTTATGTATTCACTTGAATATGGGAGTGGGGAGCTCGACATGATGTCTTTCTCATTAAAAATTCCAAACTCATTAATGTATATATATATACATGCCCTCGGATCAAGATTTCCTGAATTATTTACCTTACTTACCCTATCTTACCTCAATTTATCACCTCTTACCATACCTTACCTCACCTTACCTGACTTTATCACCTCTTATCATACCCTACTATACCCTACCCTACCTCACCTCACCACGCCTCACCTCACCACACCATATCCCAAAACACACACCCACCTCACCCAAACAATATCAAAACTATTTAGCGAAAAAAAAAGGGGGTTTCAACTTTCCGGCATACCATATTTATTATACAACGAGAATAAAGTTCAACATTCACCATTCAAATTCAAATCCAAAATTCAAAATCAAAATCCTCTACCCTCTACCCCCATCACCCTCATCACTCACCTCACCCAATCAGTCTTATCATTCGACTCTACCCAACTAAATCATATCGTTCGTCTAGCTTCGTTGTTGTGTTCTGTTATAACTGGATTTGGGTTTGGGTTTGTGCCATGTACAATTGAGTATATACGAGTACATCGTTATGTATGTATATCATTATTTCTTTCTGAATTATGCCATCTACTACTCGAGTATTATTGGTTGGTTGGTTCTGAAATGTAATCTTATTACTTACTATCCATCTGACTTCAGACTTGAATTTTCAATTCCAAATCATGTAATATAACCTAGCATTATCATTATATTTCGAGTTGCAGAACAAATTTGCTGATGGAGATTTTGTATTTGTAAACAACGAGAAGTTAATTCTGCAGATCTAGATCTTTATTGATTGGTCATGCAAAAGAAACATTTCCACGAATCGTTCTGGAGTATGAGCCCAAGTGATGAGTATGGTATAACAAAACTACCTTGGTGAACCAAAGAAATTTAACCCTTTCTCGTTTCCTCGGTTTCTCCTGTTTCACGTTCCGACGCCTAGACTTACCTTCAAATACCAATACGCCAGTGTCCAGGTCTCTCCAATTCCATATCCATAAATACTCCACCACTGGTAGCCGTGTGCTCCGAACTTGAAAGGAAAACCCGGACGAAAAGAGTGTATCGAGCTCTCAAACAAGAGTAGGTCTCTCTTTACTGAGCCCTGTATAGCCTATTTTAACGTCCCCACTGGGGATAGGTTGCGTTTCCGCCCGTCTATTTTCACTTCCATCATTGATCATTTTCACATCCTGCGGAGTAGCGGTTTCCCTTCCCTCCCGCTTCTTTCGGCCGAGCTTTTCACACCATTCTTCCGCACTAACAATCGTTCCGTCTAGAACGCCTGACACTTGGGTCATCATATCCAAACCCTCTTTCGCCAATACCATGACTCTCTGTGCACCTTCCTTAGCATCGCTATCTCCATCTCGATGACCTCTGTTTTCGCCATTTGAGACGGAGTGTGAGACGGAATTTGCGATTTGAAATCGACGAGGTAAGGAGGTCAAGTGTTTACGCACGAGATCTCTCGCATTTTCAGGTAAGGCACCGCCAGCATATTTTGAAACAATATCAACCACCTCCTTCAAAGTCTTTAGAACGTCCTTATTTAATTGTGCAATCTTGGCGGTTAAAGCTGAACGCTGGTCGTCTGTGTGAAGTACTATCTGTTGGTGTTTACTACCATTCCCTTTGTCGGAGTGGGAGGAGTCAGCAATGGTGCCGGAATTGTCGTATTGCTCTAGAGCCGATTTCAATGCCGCAATAAGTTTACCTATGCGCTCGTTTGCCCAGCGAATCCAACTGAGACAATATCTCAGGCTTCGGAGCGACTCCTCTGACATGGCAACACTGAGTCCCGAGGTAGAAAGGACGAGACGGGATTGCCATGAGCTGCCAGGGGATGTGGGCTCATCGGATCTTTGGTGTGATGGTATCAATGCTTGTTGCGTGGCTTCGTAGCTAGGACTACGATGGTCATCATATGCAGGAAGGCTATCCGTGGTGGATACTTGACTGGGACGACGACGGCGCTGTTGATCAAATTGTATTTCAAACTGCAAGGGCTGACCTTCAAGGTCGGATGGAAAAGAAGTATTCACTTTCCGACGTTTATGAGAAGGGGATTGAAATTCAGTGTCTGATGGTCCAAGATGACTCGGCCGACGACCACCAAGGAACCAACGCACGCCTCCTTCAACTCCAGTAATGCGATTAACGGAATTAATTGTATTGACAACTGGAGTAATCCTTCTTTCGACATATTCTGCACTGGATTTGAAGCGAGGACTATAATTCTTGGAAGCAGAATATGCGGACAAAGAGCCGCCTATCGCGTTACCAATGAGGGGGTGAGATGTGGTAAGGAGTGAGAGGAGGGGTTCCGGCTGTGTAGAACCGCCGTGTCGGAATCGAGGCGAGTTGGAAGAGGCGTTATTGTGAAGATGAGGGGGAGACTGTATGAAATCTGCCAACGGAGTTAGTATAAGATTCTTCGAAAACTCTTTACAAAACATACCGGCGCGGAGATCTCCTAATGCTTCAGCAGCAAGTCGCACATCCGGATCGTCTATAGATAGCACACTCCCTCCCCGTCTCGCTCTGTTATCTGATAGATCCAAGTCCATACCGTTCGGCGAATCTGTACTTCTTCTTGCCATTATTTTAGGCGATAGCTGTGAGGGGCCCGGTTGATAATATGCAGTCAAAGGATTGGAAGACGGCCATATCAATGGCGGTTCTGCAGTTGATTCTTGCCGATATTTTGTTTCTGTTGACACAAGAGGTAAAGGAGGTAAGACTCGCTCATGATGAATTGGTGGGAGGTCTGCGGTGGGGATCGAAGGTAAATGTATGGTTTGAGGATCGTGAGATGCGTAGGATGGGGGGCATTCTTCTAACATGTGATCGCGCTCCATTTTGATAATAGACGCCGACGATTGTGCGAATAACGTTAAAAGTCGGTGGTGAATGATGAAACTAGGCAATTAACAGTTGGCATATGTGTACCGCTGAAAATAGTAGTAGCTGCGGAGGTTTGTAAAGGTTGTACTCATTGAGTTAATGAACATTCGGGGATTTTTTTGCTTGTGATACGATAAGATGATGATTGGGGGTCGAATGTTGCAAAAGAGGATCCGTAAGGCAAACCAAACCAAACCAAACCAATTAACTCTTTGATAGTATAAACTTTCCACAGATCTAGTCGAATTATATTTCTACTTACCTTTTCCCCATTCTTTTAGTTGTATATTGACAATCGAAAGGGGACCAAGGAAAGGAAGTAACGGGGAAGTGGTGGTAACTTGGAGAAAAAGCATTCACATGTGACCCATCTTGATTGCTTCTGGCTGGCTCGGTAAGAAAAAGCCATTGTCGTGGCCGAATCAATATGATTGGTAGCCCTATGATAATATTGAAAAAAAAAATGAAATTTTGATGCTTTTGATGAATTTTGGTCAAGTGGCAAGTAGGTAGAGGTAGGCAGGATGAGTGAGTGGTAGATTCTGATATCTAGTAAACTGTCTCTTGGTAGGTAATGAGGCTATTAATATGATACGAAAGGAATGATATATCTTGCATCCGGAATTCCGTAAGTGATAGATAATATTATTATATTAGTCTAGTCTCTATCTTCAAATCGTATCGTATCAAATCCTCCCAGACAGATATCAATATCTTCAAGTAAAAATATCGCAGTTAATGTCACAATAGGTAAATATCACATTTGAGCAAACAATCATATTTGGTTTAAAGTCATCTCTTTCAATTTTTTTCATATGTATGGTCCCTCTGACGCCGCCCAGGCAATCTGTTGTCTAAAAAGACAATGCCCGGCCAGCTCTTATGGTACCTCTGATATCCGTTTCCGCGCCACGAAATCGCTAACTTCATCAATGGGAAATAAGTTAAGTATTGACAGAAAGTCAATACAAGTTATATTTATGTGATTGAGTTGCACTGTCTAAAAGGGCGCGTTGAAGAAGAAAAGAAAAGAAGTTTTCACGAAAGTAAAAAGATATTTATGCTTAAAAGATTCTGCCATCTGAGAGCTAGTATCTTTTAGGTTTAGTTAGTTATTTAGTACTGTTTAGTAAGGAAGCCAGTTGACCGCCTAGATTCACCGGGTGATTTTGGGATCTGGATCTATCTATCAATGGATCTATCTCAAGGGGGAAGCTTGACGTGGGGCTGTTATTATTCAAGTGAACACACCTCAAGTCAACCCAATTCCAATACTCTACAAATAATTAAGAGGATTTCATACCATCTTCACGAATTATACGGGTTCTTTGAAGTGACACACTTTCTGTCATCGACATTATTATCATCTCTTTACTCTCTTTGATTACCTGGCAATATGGCATCTGCTGTCTTCTTTCTCGATTTAAAGGGCAAGGTATAGTATACTTTCTATGGTGATATGACTTCTGGATAATGTTGACGCAATAATACAGACTCTTCTTGCCCGAAATTACAGAGGAGATATTCCTATGTCCGCAGTTGAAAAGTTCCCAATACTCTTGAGCGAGGCAGAGGAAGAGAGTTCCGCAGTCCCACCATGTTTCTCTGATGAAGGGATAAATGTATATGCTCCATCCTGTCTGTCTGCGACCGTCATTCCTGACATATTCCAAGTATCTGTATATCCGCCATAACAACCTCTACCTCTTAGCCCTCACCAAACGCAACACAAATGCCGCCGAAATTCTCCTTTTCCTACACAAGATAGTCGAAGTCTTCACCGAATACTTTAAAGAACTTGAAGAAGAATCCATCCGAGACAACTTTGTCATTATCTATGAACTTCTGGACGAAATGATGGACTTTGGATATCCACAAACCACCGAATCAAAAATCCTTCAAGAATACATTACACAAGAATCACATAAATTAGAGATCCAAGCCCGTCCACCTATAGCCGTTACAAATGCAGTATCGTGGAGATCGGAAGGTATTCGGTACAGGAAGAACGAAGTCTTCCTCGACGTGGTCGAATCACTCAATTTACTGGTATCGTCGAATGGAAATGTTCTGCGGTCCGAGATTCTAGGTGCCATAAAGATGAAATGCTACCTGTCCGGTATGCCTGAACTACGATTAGGTCTGAACGATAAAGTGATGTTTGAAACTACTGGGCGCGCGACTCGAGGAAAAGCCATCGAAATGGAGGATGTGAAGTTCCATCAATGTGTCCGTCTTTCACGTTTCGAAAATGATAGAACCATCTCCTTCATTCCACCCGATGGAGAATTCGAATTGATGTCTTACCGTCTGAACACTGCCGTCAAACCATTGATCTGGGTCGAATGTATTGTGGAATCGCATTCTGGATCGAGAATTGAATATATGCTGAAAGCCAAAGCGCAATTTAAGCGCCGCAGCACAGCTAATAATGTCGAAATTACAGTTCCAGTTCCAGAAGATGCCGATTCTCCACGGTTCCGTACAAATATTGGATCTGTACATTACGCACCCGAAAAGTCAGCGATAGTATGGAAGATTAAACAGTTCGGAGGCAGTAAGGAATTCCTTATGAGAGCAGAGCTGGGATTACCGAGTGTGAAGGGCGATGATGAGCATGGAGGTGGAATGACAGGAGGATTTGGTGGAAGTATGGGTGGTGTTGGAGGTAAAGGGGCAAAGAGACCGATAAGTGTGAAATTCGAGATACCATATTTCACGACAAGTGGCATTCAAGTCAGATATTTGAAGATCATTGAGCCAAAGGTTAGTATTCTCCATCAAAACCTTATAGTGCACAACCTAACACCTTCAATAGTTACAATATCAATCCCTCCCCTGGGTTCGCTACATTACTCAATCAGGAGATATAGCAGTTCGACTTCCAGACGTAAGCTGAGATAACTTCAAATCGTCTTGGCATCAACAAATTCCCAAACCGCAAAATATTTCTCAGGATGGGAAACATTAGATAGACTTGGAGGTAGGGAGGAGCGTAGCATTCTGCATTAACAGGCGCTAGTGTTACAGTCCAGGGATTGACTTATTATTGATGAGATAAATACTATTTTTCGGCCAATTCTAGGCCTGTTCCATTTTTGAGATTATCTATGAGAATCTTTCCTTGCCTCGTGTTTTGCATTTTTTTGCTCTCACTCACTTCCTTTGAATAAGCAGAGAAGATGACAGGGACCAATATCGGCATGTTTGAATCACAAGTTCGCAAAGATACCTCTATCTATCTATCTATCCATCAATCTATCCATCATTTCTTTCCAATTCAAACATCCCAAATAAAACAAAGTATACATCATTCATCATTCATCATTAATTAGATTAAGTAAACCTACTCGAGTACAGACAGACAGACAGACAGACAGATAGATAGATAGATAGATAGATAGATAGATAGATAGATAGATACGATTCCACAAATACATATTCCACCCCGCTAGCTAGCTAGCTAGCTACCCACCCTTCCTTCTCTCTCTCGCAAATAAAGAAACCCCTCCGTTTAGTCCAGTCCAGTTCACATATATTTCTGACGCTCAAAGTTCATTCCCAAATGGTACTTAACATCACCGGAACCTTCGTCTTGGTGCGGGTGCGGGATGGCTTTGGAGTGGTGCTTTGGGGTGGTGCTTGGGGTGTTGGTTGGGGTGAGAAAGGTGAGAATGGTTGTAGTAAGTAGTACTTGATGGAGTTTGATGGGGTGGGTGAGTAAGGCGCTGAGGCACTGAGGGTGCGGGGAGGGTTTGATTAAAGGGGTTGGTTTGACTAGAGGGGATGGTATAGGGATGTTAGGGTAAATGGTAGGGATGGGCTTGGTTTGGTTTGGTGTGAGGTGTGGTGAATAGAAGGAGAAGTAGAAGGAGAAGTTGAAGTTGAAGTTGAAGTTAGAGTGTTTAGTAGAGATAGTAATGTGCTGAGGTCAGGGATTCGCAGGTAAGTAAGTGCGGGTGCGGGATGGCTTTGGGGGCGGCGGAATGATTGCGTGGTTTAGGTGGTGCTGGGTGAGGATGGTGTGGCCGGCATGAGCGGCTAGATTTAGGTGTTTTCTAAAATTGCTAGATTTAGGGGTTTGCTGTGGATCTGGTTGTGGATGTGGATGTTGTTGTGGTTGTGGTTGTGGTTGTAGGGGTACAGGATGTCGAGTTGGGAGATGGAGATGGCATGTATTGATTTGTAGTCTATGTATGTAGGTAGGAAATTCTTTGTGAGGTGAGGCGTGGTGAGGCGTGTATTGGGATTGTTGTGAAAAAGTCGGGGGGTACTAATGTCGTTTATCGTTGTTTCTTTTAAAGTATTAGATTTTGAATGGGGTTGAGAATGTGGAGGAGGATGCTGATACTTCTGAGGAGTTTGAGATTCATACGACCAAGATCTCTCCACCGAACTTCTTCTTCTCCCGCTTACTCATTATTCAATGACCTAGGAGCATGAATATCGTTCGCAGACGGCACTGGAGATTCTTCCTCATCGTCCCCCACCCCCCTTTCAACCAATTCCAACATTTCCTCGCCCTCCCTATCCAGACGCCGCATCATCGACCCCCGTATTCCCGTATTCTTCCTCTGGAGATACACGAACATCGATATACACCATAACCAAAATACGACGAACACTGCGATGTTTGGTGATGGTGATGGTGATGTAAGAACTGATGGTACCGTTTGAATTTTTCAGGGAGAACTTGTTTGTTCGCTACAGAATAGATGGGGATGGATTACTGTGATGTGATGTGAGTCTGTGTTGGTGATGAGAAAAGTGGCGATGTATCGATAGTAAGGGAAGCGAGGGGGTGTAATCGATGGAGGTGTACTTTTAGCATGTAAAACTAAGAGGGGCGTACTCGAGAGCTGCTTGTGGAGTCTGGTCTGGTGGTGTTAGGTGTTGGGGATGACCTTCTGATGGTTATGGTTAGGCGAGCGAGGTTGGTAAGGAAAAAAGTAACATTTTATCCAATATGGACAGATAGTCTTCAATCTCCTCTTTCAGACTCCGTGCGGCCTTCGAGTCCTTGGACCTCCACACTAGCTTTTTAGATATATACATCTAATAACCTGAAGTAGCCCCGTCACCCAAACTGGGTTCCAAGTTTTGGCTAATGGCGAGAAACTGTTTTAAGAGGACATGACCTTATTCAAACTGACGATGCTGTCGAGGCCTTATGCTAAGACATATATGATGTGCACCACTAGGTACTGTGCACACTGCTGGATAACGCGCACGCCGGTCCGACCAAAAGAAATAGCGTCTAAAGGCTATATACACCTATCCGAGAAGTTTTGGGCAGATCAGTAGACTAGCTAAGGCTTGTTTTTATAATGGATCAACTATTGTGTTCTTATTACAGTATTTAAGACATAGACAACATCGCGGACAAAGCCAAGTTTGAGTTTCGACCTGAGGATAATGGCAAGACTTTGAGAAGAAGGCTGATAAGCTCATTGACCATCACATTTTTCAAATAGCCTCCCTTAGCCAACTGGTACATCATCAGGTTTTATACAATTTCCCAAACTTCCAGTAAGAGAGAGGTTCATAGATAAGCCAGCACTAGAAAAATAGAGCATTAGATCCATACATCCCTAGAAGTCTAGAAATTGGAGGAAACTGCAAATCAAATTGCAAATCAAAACAGCAACACAACATATCATCGGAACCGGAAAATGTGAACCGGAAAACATATCGCCAGCCAGTCGATTGTCGAGAAATATAGTCACAGAGACACCAAGGGCAGGAAACCGTTTCGAGCATGTGAGAAGACTTCGGATGATGAAAGGGAAGCGAAGTGACGAGATATCGAGATATCGAGGGTACGGCAATACCTATACTTCGCAGGATCGAGTTTTAGTAAATCATAGGACCGTCTTCCCATTCGAGCCGATAAAGCGTATCATTGGTGGAGCCGTTCGGGTTCTCTGGATCCAGGTAGATATTGCCCACAACTCCTCTCTCATGAAGCCCTATTCTTGTCAAAATTGGGTAAAATGCTATCGCCAGATGTTGAAAGCTTACTTCCATGCTCTGCAGTATGAGGCCTCCATTGCCTTCGCCATGCCATATGGTTAATCAGAACGTTGTATAATGAGCGATCGTCATGGCAGGAGAATGCAACCAAGGCCACAATGGTGCCAAGATTACCTGCGAGTCCGTTTGTTGGTCGATTTCTGCGGTGTCGATACGATTGAAGCCCTAGTTGGCCAACCCAAGCCCCATCTCTGCCAGCAAGGTATTGTTCCTCGAGTGCAGCAGATACCCGTGAGAGTGCCCCATCATATAGAAAAGTCAGTGGGTACCATCTGTTGTTTGGAAAATCCGAAGTGGCAACGTCTAACGTGGATGCATCTACCTCCATCATTTGAAACTGTGTGAATTCATTACACCAAAATAAGGTTGTACTTCTGTAATGCTGGAGCATTTGATTATCTGAGTTCCAGCCATCGCCGCCGAACCATCGATATTCGTACCCAGCATCGGTAATGTAACCGTCCGCCCATCTGAACATTCGCCCGGGAATCTGAGCCAAGAAGCCAGCTCTATAAATGGGCGGTATCCATCGTCCATTGACGTTTGCTCTAGGTGCGACCCCCCCATTGTCAGGATCATCATTAATAGGTAACTCGTTCACGTTGAAAAGGAAGCTGGTATAACGTCGATGAGCCATCGCATTAGAGGCTGGCGTACTCGGGGTTGTATATCGTCGCGAGGGTCTCTAGCCCGAACAACAGATCAGGAAAAGTTAGAAAGTCTATAGAGATAGCATACTTACATGCATCTCGCGAGCCAGTACAAGCACTCTTTCAAGATTGTCCTTAAAGCAATCGTACCTAATGATAGTAAGATTTTAGATTAGAACTTCGTATCTTTTGAACTTGTAGATAGACAACTTTGGTGTGGAGTTGCAAAACATGCTGTTATTCTGGATAATAGTCTAAAGATGATTTTGGGAGGGGTAGCAAAATCAATATACTGAGTTGTTGCATAGTCCTCGTGACGAACATTGATTGGATGTCGGCCTCTTGTTTGAACAATAATCCTGGCCAACGATGCACATTATATGCAGAGCTTCTTCATGGGATGATAGCGACGAAGCATCTCGAAACATAGTGATTCAATTTCACCTTGAAGCATTGTGATATTAAATTTAATAAGATAATTGATAGACGGCACCTTGTGGTCTCCAAAAGCAACGAGCTCTTCTCTTCTCAGACTTACATTTTTCTGGGAATGTCTTCCAATTCCAACGAGCGAAATGGAAGTAGTGATAGCTGAACCATATAATTACTCCACAGCGTCCACTTAGACGAAAGGACGGGCATATGACGCCATCCTGGTAGATAGTATGTTTAATTACCGATGTGGTCTTAGTTGCGGATATGAAGCCTATCACGAACGAAGTGGCTGCTGTAGAACATCCGCAAAACAAACACCGACGTTTCTCATCTTGGCAAAGGATGTATTTTGCCACCCATTTCTAGAATGCTGAAAGTGCTTCGAAAGGCGATTGTCTGAAAATTGTGTGAGCAATGTAATAAATAGTCTGCTCTCCATGGAACGGCCGCCTGGCTCCCAATCGGGGAAAGCGATTGTCCCCCTTCGAATTGTAAATTTTGCTGGGAAAAGTATTGCTGAGTTATAGAGCTATGATCTACTATCAGGTGAATATACCGTATAATATCAAAGTAGGACAATCGCTTTCCCCGACTGGGAGCCAGGCGGCCGTTCCATGGAGAGCCGACTATTATAACTTGAGAACTTTCCCATTAGTTAAATTGCAAACTTTCCTACCCATGTATGCAAACGGCTATGATTCGTTGAATCAGATGTAAGGAGCATTTAGGTAATTGGTGGGTACGTATACATACCATGGGGAAAGGGGGTATCTCAGATTATCTATATCTGAGTTCGCTTCGAGTCCAGTCAACATCTTTCGAGGTGGGTAGTCCGCAATATATACTTTTTAATCACTGTACAGTCATGGGTCGGCTGCTCCTTACAGGTAACATGTCAAGAGGCCTTTGAGCTAGGCTTTGATTATCCCTTTCTCGTTAGCATGGTTGCCTCCTTTTTTGGTCACAAATTTGCCTCGTTTCAATGAGCTATAAACACATTTCTGGTGGATATCAGCCAATTGAGGGCCACTTCTGTGTCCATTTATGCATTTACAATGCAGTCTGCGCCTGCAAGTGACGAGGTTGAGGTATGCGTCGTTCGGGAGAATAAGAACGCGGCTTACCACCGTAGAAGCAGAAGCCGAATGATGAGCTGTGACCTGTGACTTATTGTCAGCTTTCAGTCAGAAATATGAGGGACAGATATTGGAAAGCGGTCACATATCCCTGAAAATTAGAGGGCAAGGTCCATTTGATCAAAACATTTGCTTCTTGGCCAAGGCCATACGCAATATTTGACAATGCCAGCCAAGGATCGAAAATGATACCTCGCGGAAATTCCTACTCGGTGAGCCTCATTCGCCGTCGTTGCACAAAATATCCAATGGATTCTGGTGTCCATATGTTACCCTGGAATATTGATCTGAGTTGACTGCCGAGCATAATAAAGCTTTTTGGAACAGAAAGTGAGTGATTTATGTAGTGTGCAAGGATCGCGGCTAGTTGTGTATACTTGTGACAGAATGGGTAGTAAATCAAATACCCGTATAACAATCATGGTCTCGAAAGTATTGCAAACAATTGGAAATCTTCTTTAATGTTCGTACTCGAATAGTTTCAACTCGAATAGTTTCAACTAGAATAGTTTCAACACCAATGAGAGACTAATAAGTTATTGTCACGGTTCGCTAATCATTTAGGCCCATATGCTTGAAATGCTAGCAAAGTACCTAGGTACCGCTAATTTGTCATGGCTTACAGAAGAGAAATCCTGATTCAATGTTGAATGCTCAATACTCAAGGCTCAATTCCAACATCAATATAAACATCGGTAGACTCTGGTCAAGGAAATGGGAATGTCTGGGGCCTTCAAATCCAATATCCGCCGGTGTTGTCTGTCGTCTGCTAAGCTATATGGACGAAGAGAGCAAACGAACGGTATGAACGCATAGACATCCAAACAGGACAATACACCAATCCCGACCGCTATACCATGTATACACGTAGATGGACGCCGTAAAAGCTTCCGAAGCCATGCTTACATCAAGACTGAATCTCTCTCCTATTTGCCGCACAAACGATATGGCCCAAAGGTTTTGCATGGCCAGCGATACTCTATACAAGGAATGAATATAAGTATGCCCAAAATACATTTAAAAGTCCTGACTCAAGAGCTTTATTCGCGAGGTCAATTTTCTCGAATAATGCACAGTTTTAGGCCTGTCTCCTTCACGATTCTCTACGCATTATCGATTCGTCACATTCATTAAAACAAATTGAGTATATTTTGATTCTCATATATACAGGTGAAACATAAGTTCGCGGGGATAATTTCATATAGTTACATTTTCTTAAATTGTTGCCTCTCTCTCAACCTTTGTTCCCGGAACTCACCATTCACGGACTGACATCAGCTAGGGGGATTTTGTTCAACGGGATGGCCCTAGAACAAAACTCCTTCATTGGTTGGCAGACAGGACTCGAGCCATCAGCATCAAGCTCCATTGCACCTCGAAACACCATCTTGTCCGTCAAGTCGCAGTAGAAAAACACAAACAACGGATCGCATTGCCCGAAGGTTGTCGGTGGATGGTCCATTGCGCAAGCATTTTCCAAAACACCGAGACAAGTTGCGATTGCCACGGGATCAACACCACTGTGCGTACTTGTAGCTTGAGCTGCAGGACGAGTCTTCGTGATTGATTGCGTGATAGAAGTCGTTGTGTTAAAGATCTGTGTTCGAGTGATGATGCGAGTGTAATTTGGTGTGGAGTACTGGGTGACATTGGCCTGAATTGGGCATTGTTTTCCTATGACACCTGGATTAGTTACCAAGAAGGCGATCATCCCTCCAAGAATGGCGATGATAACGATCAAGATCAAGATGGGTATGAGATAGCATCGTCTTGCAGTTCTCTTACTTGGCTTGTAAAACTCAAAGTCGGGCTCTGTTCTTACCGCCTCGTTTGCGGCCCCAATTGGACGCAATTCGATGTTCACGAACTCACTTGGTGAAGGCAAGGATTCCTTATAGTTTGGTGGAGGAGCGTGAGACATGTTTGCGGTTAGTAGTTCTACTTCGGCTTGCGAGCTTAAGTGGAATTGAAGATTATTTCTGCGAAATTTATCTGAGATTTGTAGAGTATGCTTCTAAAACCACAAGATTTGGACAGGTTAATGAGGAAAAGTTTTAATCCCAAATGTCTTACCTTTATACACTGATCTCAAACATTGTTCCCAAAATCTGAACAGTTCTTCAGTAGTTTCTCTCCCTAGGAAGCCGATGGCCAAATATCTATTCATCTTCCAACAATAAGAAATATTGTTGTGTCGGTAACACTCTATTCTTTAGTTTAAAAATACAAAGAGAATTGCTCACAAACAAAGAAGAAAAAAAGGCGTCATGGCCACTTCTTGGTCAAGCACTACTTCAAGATTTACTAGAGAATCTAAAATCTTCAGATCCCTAGATGACAAGTAAGAAATAATCCATGTCTCCAAACCAGAAGATAAGATAAACCTCCTTGAAGTCTTTTAATAATTCATCATCACTCATCAATAATCACCGGCATTCAGTCTTCTTCTTTCTCGTCTTGCACGGAAACTATCACCAACATACTCAAAAGTACTCAATAAGCCAAGAACAAGCTCATCAAAATGCTTCCAAAAGCAAACCTTTGGGGAAACTTCGAGCACAACAAGAGATGAAACTCCGAATACAAGTTAGACAGAATATCGAGCTTGATATCTTTCGGGCAAGAGAGGAAGTGGAGGTAATTAAGGGTTGAATACCTGATGAGGCTGGACTTTGTTCAAATCATCCAAATATAAAAACTCAGCTTGTGTAATTACTTACTGGTCCCACCACACAATCATCAAATTGCGACTCTTAAATTATGTCATCTTGTCTTTGTTATCAGTTCCGCATGCATCATCCATCTCCCAATTTCGTGGTATCTCAATACAAGTAATTTCCCTTTGTTCCATTGAGCTTCATCGTCAATCATCAAAGTTAAATTTCCATAGTCTCATAGTAATTATTAGGTAATAAAACCTGTAGGAAAATTTATCCAGTACCCTCCCAAAATCCATCAGCATGTCGACCATAGACCCTCCAGACGACCTCGAAAGAGGAACACCACCTCTCGAAGGCGAGGACCCCCTAACGCGCCCCCCAGATTCCCCACCTACTCCTCCAGGCCGCGATAACCTCACTCCAACAGGACGGGCAGTGGAAGAAGCTCTCGATGACCTAACTAAGCAACCCGACTATGAAGATATCCACGGCCCTGGCACCTCGCAGACCTCAGGCTCAACATGGAAGTACGTTCCATCCACCCGTCCCAACTCCGAATTCGATCCCTCTTTTGAAAATGTCCGCGAAAAAAGCCAACCAATACTTGACGACCGAGCCGAAAGAATTTTGCGAGAAGTGCGACGCGATTTCGCGGATAGAATGCGCGCATACGATGTCCCAGACTCAGATTCATCGGCATCACCCGAAGAAGAAATGGCCACTGATATCCGCTCTTTCGTCGAGGCTACGCGCAGAAAAGACGCCAGAGAACACGCGAAAAACCATGGGAAATCGGAGGAAGCGGAAGAAGAAGAAGTAAAACGTTTTGATATCGCTTCTTTCAACGTTTCTCAGCGTAAAAGACGCGCTCGGAAGGAGGCTAAAGCTAAAAGAAAAGCAGAGCGGAAAGAAAAACTGAATGAAGAGATTCTTGCTGAATGGGCCAGGAGGCTGGGTAAACTCGCTAAAGAAGAAGAATCTGAGTTTTCTACTTCGGAAAGCGAGGGACGAGACCCGCCAAAAGCGGAATCCAAAATAGCTTCCAATCTCGGGAAGGGTGTGGCTAAGAATGTAGCTGCTCCCACAGAAACGACCCATACAAAAGTACATTGGCTCGATGCACTTGATGCCCAAAATCTTGCCCCCGCAGACTACCAATCGCGGCTCGACGAGAAAATCGGAGAGTACGACAATCAAATCGGTAGTATAGAAGAGGAAGGACGTAAAGAGGAAACAGGATCTAAAGCTACACCGAGCCGTTGTGCAGAAGCAAGAGCGGCTTTGCGGCAGCAAATTAAGCGAATGAAGGCGAAGCTGCAGGGGCCAAACCAGGAGCAAGAGGAGCATTTGAGCAGACAAAGAGAGGAGATGTTGATACAGAGGGAGTACGATGAGGCCTTTTATCGGAATCAAGCAGCGATGGACGATTTGTCGTCGGGGGATGAGTCCGTGGATGCGAGAGATGAAAGGAATATGTTTGGGGTATTGAGCTCACGTTCTTCTGCTAGACGGCGACCCATTCAAAATGAACCTAACAGACCTCGGAGCCTACCGGAGCAGCTCCGGACACAGAGCGAGGATACTAAACGTGTAGATGTGGAAAATGACAGTGATAATGCGGACAGCGCGGGTGCGGGTGCAGCATTAAATATAAGTTCTTATGCTGGCGGACGACGTCCATTTCATAATGAACCTGAACGTTCTCAAGACTCGAGTGAGCGGCTCCGAAAACAACGCGAGGATTCTAAACGTTCAAATGCGAAAGATGATGATGCTAATGATAGCTCGGACAGCGCAGGTACGGGTGCGGGTGCAGCACTGCATAAAAATCCTCATGCTGGCGAACGACGTACACTTCATAGCGAACCCTCAAGTGCTCACGACTCGTCTAAGCAGCCCCAGAAAGAAAATAAACATACTACATCCAAACCATCTGGAGACGAACAACATGGGGATACGAAGTCCGAAAAGCCTTCTGTTCCTAAAGTATCTCAAACGTATCCAGTGAAGTTCCCGGACGTTGGTGTCCATGATTCGAATTCTCGGAGTCAGGAGGCTGTTTGGAGTTGGAAACGTATGGCAATAATTATATTGACGGGAATGCTGTTGGGAATTTTGGGGGTGCACTTGAGGAAATATATAGATGACAGGTGGTATGATATTGAGGATTGGATTGGGGAGAGCGATTGAACGAATCGTCGTTGCCATGTATATATACGTATTGATTCTGGTAGAACTCATTCTATTTTAGATATAGGAAATAGGAAATGAATACATGGTCCAGTCTTGTTATGCTCACTCAAGCCACGAACGAGAAGGTTTGTTCTCAAGATGTAATCAACTTATTGGATTTTATATTGCAGGTCTCATGAAGCTTGAAGCAAGACCCGATCGTTAGACAACCCAGCATCTCGGAATCGAAAGGAAGAACAAAATGATAACATCTTCTAACATTATTCATCATGACTCAATCATCCCTCTGTCCCTCCTTCTATCTCCTATCGTGATCAATCTACGTAAGCTAAACACCACCAGCACCAGCCCCAATTAGCCTAGCAAAAGAAGTATATCCTACAATAACCTAACCTAACCTAACCTTTCAACAAGCTTACCACTCACCCTTTATAAATCCAAATGTTGGCATATCCAGTATTGCTCATTAGTAAAGACTGTGCCTTTGGCGCAGTGGTTATAGTACACCACTTTCCCCCGGTAATCAACCCGTGGGGGGTGAGCAGATGCGGAAAAAACCCGGTCTTCCGGGTTTCCTGTCGCCGGGCGCCCCTCCCGTGGGGCGCCCGGCGGTCAGGTTTTGCTTTTTTCTTTTTTTTCTTTTATATTTTGGTTGTTATCTGTTCGATTGATTTTCGGTTTTTGTGTGGGGGCGGGCGAGAGAGTAGAAGTGGGTCCATAGTGAATGCTGAAGGACAAGCGAGTTGTTTTAGCTATATTCGTGGAGCGGAAGAGAGGCGCGGGAGCTACCGGCCGAAGAAAGGATTGGTTGCCGCAAATAACACTATTTCGTCTTATCTTGACAGACTCGTTTTCGGTATAGGTACGTCAGGATTATTCAACAGGCCACTAAGGCTAATATATCAAATCTCCATCATGACACAAAGGATAACAGAGCAGAAGCAGAACAGATGAATGGAGGTGAGTACGCTTCTGTTCATTTCACATATCTTCGTTACCTGAACGCCAGTTTCCTTCGCGCCTTACATACGCAAGTTGAGATGTTTCACCATCTCCCTTCACGCTCCCAAGCCACTCAAAAAGCAACAAATAAACAACGCCATGTTCGTCCCATCATGTTCATAAATTTCAAAGGCTGCTGGAGACATGATTGTCATAAACAAAAAGTAGGTGTTGTGACTCTCAAAATTCTCCTTCAGTGCTCCCAACACCACTCATGGCCTTACTCCCATACTTACCTACTAAGCCCCATACTCCAACTCTCCACCCTCTCCATAGTCCCTCAATCCCCTGTCCCCTCTTTTGCAGTTTCTTGACTTTCCTTGATGGTTTTGCTGTGCCTACACTGGCAATGGGTTCCGGACCAGATGATTCGCCCTCTTCTCGGGTAATCGACCACATTGTGCCTACTACACCATTGTATGGACCAATATCCACGATTGTTTTAAGGTCCTGCGCTTCGTTATATTGGAGCGAGGTTAGCACCGCCGCTTGTCCGCGACGTAGAACGGTTTCAATGGGTAGACGGATGAAGATTTCGAGTGTTTGAGCGAGGAATGTGAAAGTTGTGTAGCTCGTGGGGGTAATGATAGGATCGATGGCTAAACGGGTTCGAAGGAGCAGTGGAGTGCAATGGGAAATAGTGGGTTTAATTATGGAGTGGAGAATGGTTGGGACGAGGAGTAAAGGAGGACATATATAGGAGGGAAGGGTGTTTAGGTTGTGGGTGAGCGATCGTTTAGGATCCGAAGTTGGGGTGAGAATTAACCTGCTTGGATTAGTATTATGTCATCATAGGAAGTGATCAGTGACTTACTTTGTCCGTACGAGATCCAGTGGGGCAAGAATAAGTCCCGCAGTAGCAGCTGCTACTATTGCTACACTCAAGGATGTCCACGGATTAGGAGAACCAGCTACATCAACTTGTACTCCCAGTGTTGCGAGCCCAGGGTCCGGTATGTTCAAACCCGCCGATATCATGCTACTTAACCAACTTTCCATAGTCTTCAGTAGAAAGCCGTATATGAATGTTGCATTGGACCCCTTCCATACACCCCAAGCTCCCTCCTTTGACCATTCTTGTGATATCACCTCCATTATAGAATCTGATCGCTTGAGGATCAGTTGGTGTGCTGGTTTTGGTTTTGGCGAGGTTGCTTTAGGAGTGGATTTGTCCTCCCACTCAGAACCCTCACTGCTATAACGTCGCCTCGATGGGGAGAATGATTTCGCAGGGGGTGCCGCCGATGTAAAGTAAGCGGTCTCGTCCGCATCAGAGTCGTCGGAGGGGTAATTCTAGATTCCAGTTAGCTTTACAAGCTCGACCCCTCACATAGAACAGCTTACCTCGTTGTAATCTGAGGGAGGTCTTTTTATTTTCTCCACTACAACTGCTGGCGTTGTCTCATCCTCGACATCCTGACTCTTCACTTGCAGCACGGTTTTGGCAATCTCAAACGGTTGCCCGCATAATATCCCTGCATAATTGGTGAAAGTCTCATTGATGAATTTCTGAAGGGAATCAATGGTAGATGGTGAGGTATCCGATAAGTAGTCACTGTAGTCGATATCTGAGAAGATATCTCGAGCGGAAGATGCATAGGATGCTGCACTCCCATTTTTTAATCCTACTCCATGAGTTCCAGAAGTTGTGATGGGTATTTCTTGAGGTATTCCAATAGAAGGTGGAACATAATATGGCCTTAACGGATTTGGACCTTCTCTTGAGGTCGACATCTTGTTGTATGTTGCATTTAAGGAGAAAGTGGACAGGAAGTAAATTTCAAAAGAAACCTGGAAACCTAGGATGTCGTTGTCGTCGTCTCTTTGTTTTCCACGTCGGTTGGTTCAATGCAGGGTGAAATGAAAGTACCTTCCTTGTAAAGATAATCAAGCCCTTTTCTTTACGATATGCAATTGGAGAGTGTGAAAACAAGGATTATTTATTTTGGCCCAAGGCTGGCTGAACTGATATGCCTTATCCGTTGAACAGGCTTGCTCGACCCGTCCTGACACCCAGCATTTCGGAGTAATCCCAATACACCGATTGGTTGTGTGATGATTTACGAATATTTTTATATCAGCACAGTACATTAATGAATGATTCAAAGAGTTTGTGTGAATAGTCTTAACAATCTCAAATAATACCAACATTTACCTATATATTAAAGGACTTCTTTTACATATCCAATTGTTAGAATCATTAGATCTGAGAAGAAACAATTGAGATCCAATACTCTCTTCAGGCAAAAGAAGCCTATATATTTCCTACCGACCTACCTACCCAGCCCTAATTGACTCCCAACTCCGGATCTTCCTCACTTTCTCACCCCACTCACCCTTTCCAACAATCACGATAAAGACGAGATGTCTGCAGTACGAAGTACAAGTCGAGCCCTTGCAGGCATTCGCAGAACCGCAACTCAATCTTTACGAAGAGAGTTTGCGACAGTGGCCGATAGACCTATTCGATTTGCTTGCAGAACCCCCACAGCACCCGCCCTATTATGTCCATTTTCCATGCCAGGATCGCGACCTAGTACCAAGCAAATGTGCGAAATCAGGCAAAATAGGAGATCGACAGCTGCTCGTCGAGAGTTCTCTGCTACTTCCAAATCTTTGCATGGTCATGTAGAACCCCCAAAGCCTGGGGAGGGGTATGTCTTTCAATTATCGACATTTGAAGTTCAACCCATATTGATTGCGTCGCAGGTTACATGTTACGTTCTTCGATAAGGAGGGAGATGAACACACTTTTGAAGTTTCGGCAGGAGACAACCTTTTAGATATAGCACAAGCCAATGATTTGGAAATGGAAGGTCAGTTGCTGATATTGGTTTATCGCCCTTCGTTCATATACTGATAACCTTTCCAGGAGCCTGTGGAGGATCTTGCTCATGTTCAACATGTCATGTTGTAGTCGAAGATGAAGCATTTTATGATAAAATGGCCGAACCAGATGATGACGAGAACGATATGTTGGATTTAGCGTTCGGCTTGAGAGAAACTTCAAGATTGGGCTGTCAGATTGTGATGTCAAAAGAGTTAGATGGGTTGCGTGTAAGGCTTCCTTCCATGACACGAAATCTCCAGGCTAGCGATTTCAGCAAGAAAAGTTGATGCGAATGAGGGGCATGACTTGTTACTTGTACGATCATGAATGGCTTGCAACGTTATCCCTCAAAATAATGGTGTAGGGAAGCATTGCATTTGGGTCATAGGATGGACATATTAAAAAGAGTATCTGTCCTTTGTACATATAATTCGTACCATGATGGACACGGAGTTGGTGGATACTTTGCTTGAAGAAACCCTTTATGAAAGGGTACAATCCCACCTCTAACGCCATACCATGCATAATATAATTAGAAAACTTTCGAGCCTCTTCAAGCCTCCTCGATCTCTCCTTTCCTCAATCCACCTCCACCTGCAATCAAATCCAAAAATCCCTTCTTACTCATCTCGTTGATTTTCTCTTCTCTCCTTCCCTGTCCCACAACTCCTTTTGTTCTCGCTTCTTTGGCTGCCTCCTCGCCTTTAAGCTGTGCTGCTCTGACAGCATTGAAGAGCTTGACAACACCCCTCTGAGCAGTTTTCCTCAATCGCTTTTCCAACTCCATCGTCTCCTGTACACTCGGTACATTCTCTCCAGTCCCATGGCCATTTCTTGCGTCAAATGCCGTACTAGCACCTAAAACATCCTTAACTCTTCCCTTCTCCATCGCAGCTTTTTTATCCTCCCTCATCTTTTGCTTTGCCTTCTTTTCCAAGGCCAAATCCGTCATTTCTTTACTAGCTTCTATCGCCGTCTGACTCCTCGACAAAACCGGATCGTTTCTCTTACTCGCCGATAGCTTCGATCCCAAAATCTTGGACATGGATGTAGCAAATGCCTCTGGGTCATTGCGCTTTCGTGCCTTTATTAAATTGGGGTTTGAATTTGTGTCCGAGTCTTCTTCATCCGAATTTTCTGGATCGGAATTTGAGGCATCGGTGACTTCTTCTTCTAACTCATTGTCTGCACCATTGAGATCCGGCTCATCATCCTCATCTGATAAACTGCCTGTGATTGCATCATTGGCCCCATTCTCCTCTTCATCTGAATCTTGTAAATTGACCGCTTGGAAATTTTGAGCTGTTGTGGATTCTTCTTCGTCGGATGAGGATTCGTAGTGTGTTTGTTTCTTGAATTTCTTGACCGGTCTACCAGTTCTTCCTTTTATTCCATCTTCCACCTTGCGCTTCTTTGAAACATTTCCTACCATTGTTGCGGTTGAATTGAAGATTATTGTGTTGTGGATGATTGCTGATACAAAAATAAATCTTATCGCAGCCAGGAAATTTTTGGATTTCCCTTCGGAGCTCGGAGAAACCTTTCGGTACACTAAATTCCCCGCCTTAATCTTTGTCCCACACTTCGAGCTACATTAAGTGTATCCAGAGCAACTACATTCGAGAATATTGAACTTTCCCAGAAAAACTGTCGGATAAATTATTGGCAAGATGGTTCTTCAAGATCTAGGTCGGCGCATCAACGCCGCAGTAACAGATCTTACAAGGTCTAGCAATTTAGATGAAAAGGTCAGTATCAAGGACAAATGTCAAGATCTCTAGATGTAACCTCATTCTAATATCAATTAGGCATTTGATGGCATGATCAAGGAGATCTGTTCCGCGTTACTCGAGGCCGACGTAAATGTACGATTAGTAGGGAATCTGCGAAAATCTATCAAAGCATCAGTGAATTTCAAAGAACTTGCCCCGGCTGTTAATAAGAAGCGACTCATTCAAAAAGCTGTATACGATGAATTAGTCAAACTTGTGGATCCCCATGCCGAACCTTTCAAGCCAAAGAAAGGCAAAGCGAATGTTATCATGTTTGTTGGATTGCAGGGAGCTGGAAAGACTACGACATGTACGAAATTGGCAAAATGGTATCAGTCGAGGGGTTTCAAGGCTTGTTTAGTATGCGCGGATACCTTTCGTGCAGGTGCTTTCGATCAGTTAAAGCAGAACGCTACGAAGGCTAAGATACCTTACTATGGTTCTCTCACACAAACGGATCCCGCAGTAGTGGCAAAAGAGGGCGTGGATAAGTTCAAGAAAGAGAAGTTCGAGATCATCATTGTGGATACCAGTGGAAGACATCGACAAGAGGACGCATTATTCCAAGAAATGGTGGAAATTCAAAAAGCTGTGAAGCCTGATCAAACCGTGATGGTATTGGATGCCAGTATAGGACAACAAGCCGAGGCGCAAAGTAAAGCCTTTAAGGAGACTGCCGACTTCGGTGCTATTATTATTACCAAAACTGATGGACACGCAAGTGGAGGTGGTGCAATTTCCGCAGTTGCAGCAACTCATACGCCTATCGTATTTATCGGAACAGGAGAACACATGCTTGATTTGGAAAAGTTCTCACCCACTCAATTTGTTTCCAAACTACTTGGTATGGGAGATATGCAAGGACTCATGGAACACGTTCAGTCTCTCAAATTAGATCAGAAAGATACTATGAAGCACATCGTGGAAGGCCTTTTTACGGTTCGTGACCTCCGCGATCAATTATCTAATATCATGAAGATGGGACCTCTTTCAAAAATGGCTGGTATGATCCCCGGAATGGGCTCCATGATGCAAGGGATGGACGATGAGGATGGCGCCATGAAGCTCAAACGTATGATATACATTTGTGATTCGATGACAGCCAAAGAACTCGATTCCGATGGAAAGATGTTCATTGATCAGCCCACTAGAATGACAAGGATAGCTTGCGGAAGTGGTACAAGTGTGAGGGAAATAGAGGACCTATTAACTCAACATAAAATGATGGCAGGTATGGCAAAGAAGATGGGTGGAAATATGAAGAATATGCAGAAAGCACAAGGGGCGATGGGAGGCGGAAACAAACAACAACAGATGGCTGCTATGCAAAAGAGACTGGCCTCGATGGGAGGTGGTCCAGGTGGTGCAGGTGGAATGCCAGATATTGGTAGCATGATGGTATGTTATGTCGGATCTTCAGGTGTCGACCCATGGCTAACAAATGTGATAGAAGATGCTAGGAGGCGGTGGAGCTGGAGGCATGCCCGGCGGTATGCCTGATATGTCCAGTCTTATGGTATGCCTCACATTTGTGTGTTCCAATGTTGAATTTTTCGCTAACTATTCTTCAGAAAATGATGGGAGGTGGTGGCGGTATGCCCGGTATGCCAGCAATGCCTGGTATGGGAGGTACTCGTCCAGGAGGTAAAGGTAGAAGATAATCTTTCGTATCGACTATATATCGTTCAACGAAACGAAAGGAAACGGAAGGCAAGGAGAAGATACCTATGTAAATAATGTATGCATTAAGCGGCGGCGTTCAGGTAGTGAAAACATTGAGCTGGGATAGATATCTGAGGTATCGGCCATTGGAATATTGACGAGGATTTTATGTTTCCCACGAGAACTTTCATACCCATACTCTTTCAATCTATGACCCGCATTGTCAAGAAGTACTTGAAGCAGATGATTGGATGTCTGTATATTTATTTCAATTGAATAATATACTCTTTCCATACTACTTACATTTCATTGATATAACCTCAACATCAAAGATCGACAATATCTTTTTATTTCAGAACTACATGACCAATCAACTATTTCCCACCAATGCAGTGGCGCAGGTGATGAGGCTTAAAGATACAGACTGGAAGATTCGCACAGTACAAAATGAGAATATACACAATCGAGTGGATGTCACACCAACGATATAATTCGATCCAGTCATCAAGCAAAGCTACTATCTTAACTAATGATCAATGTGTGTAATTATATTCCATATTAAGTTGTCTCTCGAGAAACCATTTGTCTCGCCTAGTCTTATATAGCCCTTTTCCTTTTCCTGTTCAAAGCAGTGGTATAAAAAAACGCCTTGCCCCGATATCCCTGATATTCATCCATTTATAATAATGCCATCTTTTGATTTAAGTCATTCAAGCCTCTCTCGCAACAGAAAACTCCGTCTTCGCCTCTGGACTCCTCAAATCCCTTATTATCGCCTCTTCCTCATTCCCCCTAGCTCTTGATCTCTTCCTTTATCCTAACACACTCCTTTTCTATTCCTCTCCCCCTCCCTCGCACTCCTCTCTTCCCCGCCTATTCCCAGTCCAGAAATATTGAGGGATCTGCCTACTATATATCTACTCGCCGTTCGGCGCCATGCGGGAATCGTTGTCAATTCTCATCCCGTTGTTTATGATCCCACCATTACTATCATCACCATTCACGAAATGATTCACAATACCCCTCCCCATCACAGTCCCCCAACTCCCCAATAAACTCTCACAAATCGTCTCCAACCACGCTACTTCCATCACCATTCACATCACCATTCACATCACAGTCCCCCAACTCTTCGTTCGATAAACACCCCACCGTCTTCAACCACGCTACTTCCTTCCAGCAAAATCTAGCACACGAGACAATTGGACATAAAGATAGAGCGCTGATGCAGAGAAGTGCGGTGTTGATTGAATCAATGATTATTTACTCGTACCCGAGTAGACAAGATGCAGAACAAATTGATACTGTATACCCGATTCCCGGCGACGTTTATTCTATTATTGATATAGATATAAATAGGTGCCGTACTATAGGTAACCTAGGATAGATCTCGAGGAATACAGTACAATACACAACATCTTCAAGAATCAAAATAAATTACAAACAAACAAATGAAATTCATGTTATAAAACACTAGTTCCTAGAATCCTAGCCAATCAAAACGCCTTAGTCATGCCTTTCCTTTTGTCAAGAGATATTATATTATAATAATAATTGTAACCCTATAGACTTCACAAGCTCCTCTGAAATACGCCCTACATAGGCTCACTAGCTAGCTAGTATATCATTGTATATACCATGAAGCAACTATAGACCATACATTAGATTAGGCTTGCGAAATCATTATAATTATTAATTTTACAGCCATTTATGTCCAATAGATGGATTTAGACTCTAGAGATGTAATAAACAAACTAGTTTTCTCTCCTGAATATTGAATATTACTATATAAAATAATACCGGTATATACACTATCTACTCGTATTATACCAAAAGATAAACCAGGGTCTCAAAAATCATATAGGAAACTTAATCTAATTCGGAAAATCCTTATACCCTATACACCTTTTCTATAATTATCAACATACTAGCTAGGAATTAGAAATAATATTGTTATTAAGCAAGCCCATTTCTTCCATCCACATTAACACAACTTCCGGCTAGATATAGCTTAAGTATAAACAAAAAAAAAGACCCCAAAACGTGCTAACTCTCGCTTCTACTTCGATATATTCAAGATTGCTCAAGCGAGCCCTCAAAGCTCCTTTTAATTACTCAGATCTTAGTCATTAGAGATAAACGATTTATTGCATATTTTACAGAATAAGTCCCTCCAATACATTTCGGATAGCAAAGCTCGGCTTCTCTCATAAATTGCCTCAGGTGCAGATATTTGGAGTGGAGTTTTGGAGAAGAATATTATCAAATAAAAGGGCGCTACAGCGGGAGCAGGCTAAGGGATAATTATACGGTTTAGCTAATTACGGCAGCCATTGGTTTGGTTGATTAATATACTATAGATGCCCAAATACCCGAACCAGGATACGGATCCTACTAGTAATGGAATTGAGAAGTCAGCTAGAAAGTAGTGTATATTATTAGTTCGGGAAAACTTGATACAGGGCAGTTTTAATGGATAGCTTTGTTCGACACTATGGAAGGATGCTACACTTCCATTGAGGTTTCCTGCGAGAACGCATGGGCTCCTTGAACTGGAAAGCAAAAAGTGACGAACTTTTTCTGCTTTAGTTTGTTGAGAAACGTCACATTTTAGTGATCTACATACTCCATCATGAGACTATTCCAGATTGCATGATCATTTTGAAAAGATCTAAATCTTTCCTCGCGTCACTGACACTTGTCTTGGGAGTTTTCCCATTGACAACACAATCGTGGAAATCCAAGAATTCCAAAGTATATGGGTCCTCGTATGTTTTCCTCACAGTTCTTTCCTGATATCCTGATTCACCAACTCTTTCCCTGATCGTCATTGTGACGGGAAGACCTTTGACGTATGGAGTGTCATAATTGACACGAACGATCTTATCTTCCGAATATACTTCTATGTGAGCATCGAAAATTGGGACGTTATTGACACCCGACTCATAGGTCAACGCAAATCCGTCGAATTGGAACAAAACCGTCCAGAATGGTAGACCGAGAGACGACCCCAGGACTTTCTGGGGCATACCCCCACCAAGTATCTCTCGCATTGCACTCAGGTCATGGGTAGCGAGACTAGATGAATTAGCAAGTGTCTTAGTTCATGCTGGAGGTGTACGGAAGTGTTACATTCCAAAAAATCCTAGGAACTCCTTAGCTGATGGGGTTACATCTACCCCATACTCTGTCCCGAGTGCGTGCGTAATCTGTTCATCTAGAACGGTTGCCATCGCTTCCGAGTCCTCTCGCTTGAAATCTGTGAAATTTCTCGGGTATGTCGCCGATTGACTTACGAAGTGGCTATTATGTCCGATTATATCTCTAACGCGTGCATATTGGATCTTGCCGAGGCCGCCTATTTCCTCTACAGCGTCAACGAATGCCTGAGCATATCGTCTCTGATATCCTACAAAGATTTTGCCTGCCGATCCTTTTTCCGCTTCTTCGAGTTGCTCTATATCTCGATAGCATAACGCCAATGGCTTCTCCACTAGCGTGTATTTGTCATTGTGTAATGCCAATATAGCCTGGGAAGGATGAAAGCCGTGTGCGCTGCATATCAAAACGACATCGACATCGGAAGATGAGCAGAGTTCTGCTGCATCGGTGGTCGTTTTCGGAATGTTCCCGGTGACTTTTCGGGAACAATGTTCAAGAGCAGCAGGAGAAGGATCGCAGAGGTATGTGATGGTGAAGTAATCGGAGAGGCTATTTAAGACCGAGATATGTGAGACCTATATTCGAGATGGGAGGTTAGTTATGTTCGCCGCAGACGTTCTTGGATGAGGGCACCTGTGCGATCTCCCCAAGCCCTATGATTCCAATTCGTAGTATTTCACGCATCTTTAGAAATATATGAGTATTGAATGATCTGCAAGTTAATTGATTGGAATAATTGTTTCAAATGACGAAAGAATGTGAGCAAAAAAGCTATCAGAATTTCGGGTCGATGAAGGAAAGTTCTACTCGATTAGTTCAATGTTGTATTGTCGATCAGACAGCTCACGATGATATGGGGAGTCCCAATATTTGAATGCGCTGAGCTTTAAGAAGTGAACATAAATTGCACTTGGTATCATACAAAACCTGAGGAACCGGAAGAGTAACGGAAATGCAGTATCGGTATACCGGTAGCCATCATAGGTACACGATAGTGGGGCATTATGCCTTCGACCCCGCCATAGAGCTTGAATTTGGGAAACAATATCTTATGTCAAGTCAATAACAGCTCATTCGATCTCTTTACTTCGAAGACTCGAAGTGAATCAAGTCTTGAGTCTTTGTTGCTCATAATATCAATCAAATTGCTATGATTGTATGAATGAGATTCATTAAGATTCATTACTCGAGTAAATACTGTACTTTTCTGATGGGTGGTCCGTGCCCAACAACTCGATGCTTCTCCAATAAGACAAGTTTTTTTTCTAAACCACATCATTCATATTGACGACTATATACCAGCAAATGCACAGTTCAACACTGATATATGCAAACTATTACAGTAGGATGTCTTTTCCAAAACAAATAAGGAAAGCTCACACCATACACCAAGTTCATCTCATAAAAAATGTTCCTCACCACTCAATATTAATGCTCCCTGTGAGCATTTCATAAAACCGCGAGAGGACCCAGACTCATCAATTGAAAGAGATGGCGCCAAAAGCATTTTCGTAAGGTTAACTGCTTCATACCATTCAACTCACTATCTTGACGGACCAATTTCTGCTTCGTGGCTCGGTCTCTCCGCCACACCATTTAACTCCACTCCATCCGCACTCAAAGAATTTAACGCAGTTGCATCCATTTCAGAGTACTGATAGCCTGGATCACTATATCTTTGATGGCTCGAAGATCTATGTGTATCGGTATTTGGCGAAACAGGTGCATCATCATCTTTCGGCGACTGATAATATTCGGGCATGGCGGGAGGAATATACACAGTATTTGCCATTTCCGTTGTATGTTTCACAGGATATGCTGCCTTTGCGATACTCGCACGGTTGTCGTAAAACGGAGGAGGCGGGTTTGAAGTTGGTCCTTGATATGGGTTATTCGGAAGAATCGCTGAGACTTGAGGCGGATGCGGAGGCTTAGGTGTTGTTGGCGTTGCATTTGATCGTTTTCTTCTAATGAAGAAAGCGATGGCAAAAATTAAGAGTGCGATTACCGCCACGCCGCCAATGACTCCACCGATAATTGCTCCTAGTGGAACACTGGATTTTTTATGAGTTGTTGTACTTGTGAGTGGAGTTGCCAGTGGCGATAAAGATGCCGAGCTGCGTGCACCTGCTGAAGTTACTGCATTCCCCGAAGCACTTGTTACATCCTGAGCATCATCTCCGTTCTGAACACTGCTTGCTGCTGAACCAAGACTTCGAGATATTGTGGCGACAGGCGTGCCGGTTATCGAGTCGGTACCAGTGACCGGGTAGTCGGACATGAGATAAAGTGCTGGAGACTGCACGCAACGGATCATACTCCTTTGAGGATCATCCCAAAGATAAGTCGCACAATATGGATATCCAGCATCATCACAACATCCTGTCAAGGACCCTGCCAGAGCACAAAGTGTCGAACTTGAGGAGTAGTCAACGCAAGTTGTGAAGATATCGCACAGGTCGATATCTCCTGTACAGCAACCGACTGCAGAGTACGAATTATGAGCGCAGTAACCTGCTCCGGCACAAGTAAAGGGTTCCGCTTCATATTATCAGTATCTCGTTTTGTTGCCTTGAGATTTAACTATGAGAGTACTTACATTCTACGCCATTGAAGTACCCGCAAGTATTTATCGCATTTGTTTGACGTTTCAGAAGCTCTAAAACCTCAAGAGCTTTATTCGGAGGCGCTGTAGGTTTGGGACTCCATCCTCCTTGTACGGGTGCTCGATCACTAGCAGTAGTCGTTTCAACCGCTGGTGTCCATGGAAGAGCTTTCGCCAAACCCCTCGGAAGAAGGCTCGAGCATACCAGAAACAACGAGAAAAACATTTTGTGCTATCACTATGGACGATGTGAGCGACTAGCATGCGATCTCTTCGTCTTGAGCATTGTTATTGTAGTCCAGAGGAAGGAGAGGAAACATTGAAATTTATTCAGACGGCACATAGCCCCTACTATTCTACTGCCTATTTATTGTACGACCAACACAAAATGGTCGAATCAGCTCACAGTTGTAATTGAAGTTGAGGCTCGAGTGAACCTTGACTTTCTGCAGCCAATTTCAGCATCATACTTAAAATAAGTATCAATTCAAGCCTAACGTCTGAATAAAGTTAAGGTTCTTCCAGCCCTTCGATGACCAAACCTAAAAGGATTATGTCGCGGGACGCGAATTTTTAATTGGGGGAAGCTTTGGCTAGTAGTTTTTCAGCTGTCACTCACTAGTGAACGCCACTAAGAATACGAGTCTGTGGTTTGTGAGACATTTTGGGCAGCTGGTGTAATCATGGGAGCTCTTCCTCATGAAAAAATTCAACCTGTACAAGATCATATGGCTGGGCTGAGAAAGACCCGAGAAATGTTGCTCCATAACAAATATTTTATCGCGGAGGAGAGTTTACGAAAAGTTTAGTATGTGTATCATTCTATGTATATCATTCCCTATCTCATGAATCTCAACCTTGTTTAAACAAGCAAATCCCACTTGCCGTAATTGCAAGTGCAAATGATTCATAGGTTCCCTCCCATTCGCAATGATTCTCAAATATGTGCTTTCTACCCTTCGCCGGTGCACCAATGACTAGAAACGTTTGCGCAGCTATCATACCAGATAAATGAGTAGTCTCACTGGTAGCTGCAATAGTAGATTCAGAATCTAAAGCCATTCGAATCGGCGACGCGCGCAAAATCAACCATAAGCTATTGTGTACGATGTGCGACGTGATGGCCGGAGAGGGAGAGTACCTTCCAACTCTAAGCTCATCGTCTCCTCGCGCCAGACATCATAATATGATTAAAGCAACGCAGAAGCACTTGGAATCAAAGTGACATGCAAGATGCACTCATGAGTGTCTTGATTCCTGACTGAGCAATTCTCGCCATCTCTCACACGCCACATCCCACCTTTGGACATGCGAAATTTCTTCGTTTCGAGGGTAACATAAATGCTTCCTTGAGCGACTGAGCAAACTTGAAGCCCATTACTCTTCTCCTTTAAGATGGAAGTTTCACGGTGTTTCAGATGAATAGTATTGAAATTGACGCCTGCTACATTGATACCCTGCGATTGACGCATTGGCGATTGAATGTAGTTGGCCGAAAAGGCAACATCTAAGTGGTAAAACGTTCATCAGTAAAAGTTTAGACTTTGAAAATTGAAGAATGCGACTTACTTTCCTCTCGCTGAGCATCCTTCTCCATGGGGCTACCAATCATTGCACGAATTTTTCCAGTGCTGAACTCCCAATCATCATCCTTGGGCTTAGGGTCAGATAGTTTGGCGGCTGATGGCCGAATGGCTTGCGAAAGAGGAACTGCTGCGGAGAAGGTAGGTGGTGGATTACTGAAAACATTGCCAGTTGAGCCACGTCTCATTCTGAAGGGCGAGGTTGGTGGCAAAATTGGAGTTGAAGTTATGGGAGAAATGCGGACAAGATTTGAACGATTCGGAGAAGCTGGTGGAAGAATGGGAGTCTGACCGTTGCCCGAGTAGGCTCGTGGACGTGGATGATTTGCAGTAGGGGGGAGAATTGGGCTGGAAGTCGGTGGTAAAATCGGACCTTAGGATCGAACTGGTAAAATCAATGTTCCGCGGGGAACTAAATCACCATTCATCTTCACTCTATCAGTTCCCGCCTCTTCACCATTGTGACTATGATCATCACCAAGTCCCTCAAAATGAACCGTCTTGTTGTTTCTTGACTTGCTCTTTTGCTTCTCGCCTTGCTTTTCTTGCATGGCTTTGGGCATCGTAGGTGTCGAAGGTCGAGATTCGCGAGCAGAAGGTAAGATCGGTTCGCCCAATTCCGCACTCATTTCTCCTAAGCCTCCACTCATCAATTTATCTTTTTGATGTGATTGCGATGGGTGAGAATGGTGTTTTGATCTTTGCTTCTTTTTCTTCTTTTCACCTTTACCATTCTGCTTTGCATTCTGCTGTCCATTCTGCTCCCCTTTCTGGTTATGATGATGGTTCTTTTTCTTTTTCTTATGCTTGTGCGCATTTTGGTGCTCGGATGTATTGCCATTGCCGTTTGCATTTCCATTTGCAGTTGGGCTCTTGGGGCTAACATCGTAAACATGATCTTGATCGTGCTCGCGCTTAATACCGTGTAGGTGGCGGTGCCCATGACTTGGGAGAACAACCATTAGGTGTGCTGTGAGATTGGAGTGGGAATGTTAGTTAGTTTGGCTTATTTTTAAGTTTTGTAAGGGCTGATTGTGGGATGGAATGGGGAACTGAAGTGGGAGAGAATGGGAAGTAGCGGCTGTAAACGGAAATTGAGTAGGAACAGAGATCGAAGTGGGATAGAAAGATAAAACTTACACATCTTTAATAAATTTATTGCGCGCGCTTGCATGCGATGCGATGCGATGCGATGCGATCACATGATCAAGCTTATGGTCGTTGCTGTTGAAGTTGTATATGGTTGTAAAGAAAACAGCAGAATAGAGTTCTGGGACAAGAAGAAAGAAAGGATATTCTATTTCAAGAGATTGAAAGTTGAAGATTACCAATAGTTTATTTTATTTATCTTATCTTCTTTTCTTTTTCCTCAAAAGTGAAGCTATGATTTGGCCTCGGATCCAAATGTGATCATTAATTTGATATAAACTTAATCGAGTGATATGATTGGATGAGCTTTATTTACTTCGTTTAGATCAGCTTAGATCTTTCTTTTCCTTTTCTTATTGTTTGTTTATTTGTTATTTGTTATAATTATCTAGATAGTATTTATATCTTCAAACCTTTGTTTTCATTATATATATATTTATCCCAATCCAAATTACTTCTTACGTATTCACAGCAAGATCTAGATGATCTTCAAAGCTGTTGGTGTATTGTATTGTTTGGCTTGTGTTACTGGGGTGAGTGTCCCTATTTATTTGGAGTGCCATCTATAAGGAAATAGGCAAAAAACAATCGTTTTCTGCCGAACTTCATTGCGAAGAGTCTGTATCCCATCTTCCACTACATCCCACTACTTGGCGCTTTCCTCTCGGATTACCTTTCCGGGGAGAAATAAGTACCTGTCAGGAAGCTCACTAGTCTTTTGAAGTCCTTTCTGTAATCTACCTCATATAACTGACAAATACACAAATCTCGACATGCTCTTTTTCTGCTTTCCCCATCTCCTCAAAATCATTGGTGTAAGACTCATAACAACTTTCTTTTCCTGAATTTCAGTTGATGGATGGAGAATACCAATTTTGCTAGACTTTACACCAACAGGATATGAATTGTCGATGCGTCCATCTAAAGGTTCAATCGCTCGTTATCATTAAATCAAGTCAGACCAGTTGCAAGGCGTGTTTGCAACAGTGAGTGGATTATCGTTGGGAAAAGATCTGCTTCTCGATTGTGACAGAACAGAGTATTTGGCTTTTGTTCTTTGAATCTTGTCACGGTAAACTTTCACCAGGTCACTTGTCCAACGACGATACTCTTTACAACAAACTTTGTTAACGTGACTGACACAAATCGATGCAAAATGGGTCTAGTCGGACTCTAGGATGTAACGCATTGATGTATCGTTCTCACTGTGGGCATCACCGAGTTCGTTGTAGAAATGTTGCAGGATCTCAGCGGCCCACTGATCGACTTTTTGTGTACTGGAAATATCTCCACAAGGGAGGAGCCAATTGCCACGTTGTATCCGATGATATAACTCGGGAGATGGAACACTAGGGGATTATTGGTATCGGGATCTTCTATGAGGAGGGCCAAAGTTGGTTGTGGTGCGGACGGACATAGGGTTTGTTGAAGGGGGCCAAGATTGGCTCCTCAGTAGACTCCTGAGAAGCCCTCTCAATAAGTGATATCAGATTCAGGAATTGGTTTCTCAGTTCATGCATTCCATTCTATCCGTCCAGACCTCGATGAAAGACTTGTTAGATGATTGATCCGTAGGAAACCCGACAGTATCAGCTGCTAAGCCGATCAAACCGTATATCTTGTCTCTTTGCTCTTCCCACAATACTTCCCGGTGGTCGTGCAGGAGCTTGCGAAAAATTTGGCTCCCAGAATACTCACCTATCTTGGGTTAATCTCAGATGGCCCTGTTGTGCAGAGCCACTACGATTATATCGATGAATTATTTCCAATCCATGGTTAATTGCCAAAACATACTTTAATCTGTTATGCCTGCGACCCCTCTTCACATATACGACAATACTTTGAATCTAGGCTTCTTGGCAAACATGACATTGACTAATCAACACGATAGTGAACCGCCATAATTCGTAGATGGCTCTATTAACACAATCTGACACGAGTCTGCATCTGCATCTGAATCCAGTGAATCGTGAATGAAGAATTTCGAAATTTGAGATTCAGTATCAATTAATACACTGAATCTCCGTCAGTTCGACGTCGCGCTTGATTTGACGTTTGATGACAGAAAAAAGCTTAAAGATACTCTTTTGCTGTGAGTCTATGCGTTGTGAACTTTCTCGTCAGGAGCAAAAATGCAAAGTCAATAGATTACTATATTTATATTTTTGTTCTACTCGTAGTAGCTCGGCAAGTCGGCTAAATCATAGTGTTATATAAAGGTTTTATTGTTATCAGATGAAAATGTATTAATCACCAAATAATCTGCTTCATTGAAGCAACTATCAGATGATTGGAACTGTAGATTTTGATTTTGGAAAAGGGCTCAATTCAACTAATTGGGTACTACTCGAATATATTGGGATAGAGGGAAAACAAAAGCTAAATAGACAATCACAATAAACAGTCAGATATAAATAATATAACAAAGGGCTAAGTAGCCATCTAACCTATATACCTAAGATCAACCCATGAAGAAGATCAGGTTCTAAACCATCAACAGCCTCTATTTCTATTTCTCTCGAGTAGCTTTCCAGAGAATCAATAGTTTTGTATACTCCTTAGTTAAAGATCAAGCCATCATTTCCTTGAATGAAAGTGCAGCGAGAGTTTTATTTTTAGAAGAGCCAGCTACGTGTTACTATAGATTCATTTCCTCTTTAACAGACTCATAGTAAGCATTTTCTTACATCAATGTTATCACCCTCGCGATGGGTGTAGAATGCGTTGTGTCCAGTCATATACATGCAGTCGTAAGTCGTAACTAATAGGAACAGATCAACTATTAGTCAATAAATTTCGAGAGGAGAGCTGCGAATCGAAACTTAGGAGGGAATGTACTCAGAGTGTATTTACTCGCTCTTGAGGAGACCAAGAGAGAGAGTTTTGCAGATATCTTTCCCACAGTTCTGATAGGGTTTTTGATAGTATAACCTTTATTTTAGTAGATAATAACAGGATACTTGTTATATTCTAGATTTCTGCTTCATGTTCTAAGAGTAGTCTTCTGAGTGAACTCCTTACAGGCCTACAAAGTATCATCAGTACCAAACACCATTTGAAAGCTTTCTGGGAATGTTAGTTTTTGGAAGATACTTACTGAGTTCTATGTTTTTGATAGTATCGGCGCCCAGTATAGTCAGTAATTTGAACCAGTCAGGAAACTGGTAGTTGGGAAATTGAGGTTTAATTGGCAGTTGAGGTACAAACTAAAACAACTGATGGAGCATCCAGGAGCCAGGACTCCAGGGAATTCCAGAACAGGAAGGTCTATATAAGAGAATAAGATTCCATTACAATGTAGAGCTTTGTGCTCAAGAACAATCATTACTTTTATAATATAGTTACGAGAATAGCAAACACGTTCACCATATTATCTTATCAACCACCTACTTGAAGTTTAGTCTAAACTACCTCGAGATAAGGACTCTTGCCACTTCCACGTGATCTAAGAGGCCGTTCCCGTAACAATGATCTTATGCGAGGTTGTAATGTTAAAGCTACCAGGATGCAAAGACTCAACGCCTGTATGTGGTGCATTCTACGAATCTCTAGCTCTCTTTTGAGAGTCTGCAGAGCTAATTTTGGGTCATTTGATGGAATTGTAGTAGCTGGAGGAGGAGAAGGAAATCGAATTGATAACTCATGTCTGTCTAGCTGCCGGATCCTGCAGGTTTGATACACTTTTTTATGCAGTCTTGGCCTCCTGCTTTCATAGTTGAATCCCTATTGATCATCTTATCCACTTGGCCCGTTTTATGTCACTAAGCCCATTGGAAAGTTTGAGCCAACTCAAAACCCCTTTGTAACTTTTTTATAAGCTCAAATGATATTTCCCTCACATTTTGTCGATTATATACAATAATTTTTAGATACACCACGATTTCTTTGATTCAAATCAAAATGATATACTTGTAGTTGTATATATTGGCCAACGACCCTATTGGGAAGACCAATGGCAATGTGCAACACATCACCAATCAACCACAAGCCACCAGCGAGAAAATCTGCAAACTCCTGAGGTAAACATAAAATAGGCAGCGAATAATAGCATCGCGTAATGTCTCTCGGCTTCTTGTATCAAGTTACACTGGTGAGAAGATAAACTTCTTCTTATAAAATCAGCTCCCAACCTTTTATATCATAAATGTTTCAACAAATCGCTTGACAATTTCTATATACCAAAATGCAGGCATTCCATTTGACTCACTATACATGGGCCTCAGAAGATAGCATCTATAATCGATCTATTATACTTGGCACATATTGTTTTGGTGTCTCATTCGATATCATTTACTTACCATGAAAATTGGCTGATTCACTATATTTATTAGCGCAATACAATGAATCTCTCAGTATTATAAGGGCTAATCGTCAAAGGAGTACGGATACCGAAAAACTTGAAGACTAGATCCGTTTGTTTAAGAAACCATTCGAGAAGCTGATAATGGATATCGCCTCTAAACAGTTTTCAAATAACTATTTATTTGATTATCTCTACGTATCATTCATAGCTTTCGAGGCAATAATCAAGAATCAGAACAGCAAAGTTATTCAATCTATTTTCAAAGGATCACTTCCCCGACAACTTCTTTTTGCCCCGGGTCAGTGCTTGACTGTATCGGGAAACTGGCTACAATCGATTAAGTCCTTTACATCCTGTCAAATCCAACTCATACCCACTTCATCGAATCTAGATCGGCATCCATGTCTCTATAGCCCATTCAAGGTTATTGCTGGGGATGGTACAATATGCTTTTTCAAGGAACACATTGATCAGGGTCTTATAAACAGAGTAGCACAAGGCCAACCATAGGTATATAAACAGATTGCAACTGTTTTCGAGACGAAAAGGCTCCGCCCCGATATACACATTTGTTGTTTACACAGTGTGGTTATTGACAAAAACTGTGATGTCTTACAGTATTACACTCATGTTCCCTCCGAAGAATTTGCCAAATGGAGTAACGACTTAGATTTTGGTTCAGCCGAATTCACTTCTGATTTGGAAAGCAACACCGACGATTTGGAGCGTATAATTGGTATCCTGCTTACCTATTTCGAAAACAAGGGTATGCTCTACAAGGTAGCATTCTTGGCGAATTGCACAGATGAGCAGCGACTTTGTTGGGCAGCCGAGATTGAAGGCCTTATCAGAGAGCTACACGCTGCTGGCCTGGTATAGAGTAACGCCAAGCCACATAATGTATTGGGCGACTGGGAAAATCGGCTTTGGCTTATCGATTTTGATAGCAGTTATACTACAGGTTGGGTGGACGAAGACAAAAAGGAGACCCAAGAAGGGGATTTGCAGGGGCTGGAGAGAATCAAGGATTGGCTGATCGGATATTGCAAGAGGCCTGTGAATCGTATTGCTCCTCAAAATAGATAGGAAGCAAGAGATAGCATCATAGGAACTAGTTAGATGTTACGTTGGAGAAAAGATGTAATTCGGTAACTTGAGTTTGTTATTAATAATGTTATAAAACGATGATCTACACCATATCTTTGTTCTTCCCTTACCCTAATAGATCCCACACACTGATTCCACATTTGTTCCAAAGATGAATGATATAGATTTATATCACTGTATAACAAAGCCAAAAACAATCAAAATTCCACTTCCAATCACAGGAGACTAAGAAAAAATAAGTATTTCAACATTCACCTCCACATAAAAAGCTAATACCTAATACTAACAATATTTGATAACATGGTGCACATATTATGAAACCAACAGAGAAACCCTACAGTTGCCACTAATCTTCAGAGAAGCTACCAATCCATAAACTACTAATACTTCGTTACTTGTGTTTGGGGTATACGATATAGATAAAACTTATCACATCCGAAATGAATTACCCAACTAAGTCTGACAGTTATTGCAATTTTTGTGTGTGCAAGTATATGTATTGGTATTCGCAGCAACTCGAGAGCTGCATAAGTGACAAGTCCAGCCGTGATCTCTCATGGCCCTAGTATGACATATATATGCATTGGTCCCCTTTCGCCAACTTGATATGCCACAGTCCCAAAGAGAGGCTGTTGTAGGATGTACGCCGCCGCACTGCTGTAAGATCCCGTGAATCAATACATTAGCATCGACAGCCCTTTGACACTCTTGCGGAACGGATGGATTCCACACACAGGTGTTTGTATTGTATAAGTTGACACATAGAGTTATATGAAACAAGAGATGTTTGATGAAGAGGAATGGCTGTATGAATGATTGACGAAAGCTGGTGGGATAACGTGGGATATCGTGTTTGCCATCCTTCATCTGAGATATGCGAAGGCAAGCAGCAAGAGACTAAGCTCGTTAAATTTCTGGCGACCTGAGGATAAGTGGTTAAGCGAGTGGAATGGCCGTATAAAACAGCAGGAGGAAGTCGCTGAAAACAGGGTGCAAATCACGAACATCTAGTTACTTGTAGTATTAATAACCCAGATATCCAATCCAATCCAATCAACTAACGAAATTAATTCGCTTTGTGAGGATATGGAAAATGTGAAATTAGTATAAGTATGAGTATGAGTATGAGTATGAGTATGAGTATGAGTATGAGTATGAGTATGAGTAGGAGTATGAGTATGAGTATGAGTATGAGTATGATTGTGAGTATAAAATGAGTATCAATACGAGTATGAGTATTAACTCCCAACCATCGCAGGTAAGTCGAGTCAAATCAAGTCAAATCAAATAAAGCCCGAGAGAGAGAGAAAAACGCCATCCCTATCCCCATCCCTTCCACCTCCAATCCTCACCCTATCTCCCATTCATCTCCTCATCCTCATCCACCTCAATATCCTCCGAATGACCTAACAACCCCGCCACACTCGCCATATCATAATGTTTCCGTCTCATCGCCTCAAACCTCTCATGTTTCTCTCGTTCCTCGGGCGTCATACCCAACACATCCGCATCTGCATGTCCCCCCTCTCCAGCAACATGAACTTTTCTCTCCTCTCCCTCCCCCTCCCCATCCACATCTCGCATTTCCCTATCCGGCACCGCCTCCTCCGGTTCCCCCAAACTCAACCCCGGAATTTCCTCATCCCTTGCCCCCTTGGCTCCACGCGGCGATCGCAGATGCGATCCATGTATCTTGTCAAATTCATCCACTACAATATCGCCCGCATCCAGTGTGCGCAGTTCGGCGTCGTCTTCCATCGGATCGTAATGTTTGGCATAGGGAGTTTTAGGTTCGTTGATTTTCATCGTGCTACTTTTTTCTTGCTCGGTCAAATATAGATTTGCTTCGTCCCATTGGAGGCGCATGTTATTGTTGTCGTCGTCGTCACTCTGGGCGGAAGTGGATGATTGACGACGGATAGGACGGCTGCCTGAGGAAGATCGTCGATGCCCGGCATTTTGAAGAGTGTTTTGAAGGGTTACATCTTTGTCGGAGGCGCCAGAGAGTGGAGAGGGATCGGGAGGGATCGCAACGTGTTTGGGTTGGGCGATGGGGGGTGCGGCGGTGGTTATTGGGGCTTGAGAGGGAGGAGAGCGGTGATAGGAATTCTTGAGGATTCCTTGGATTGATTGTTAGTTGAACTGTTGATGAGAGGAAGGAATAGCGGGGTAGATTTGTTGGGAATGTAGATATACCTTTTGGACGTTTTACAGTAGGACTTGGAGGACTGTGAAGAGCTGGTACTTCTGAAGAAGACATGGTGGTAGTCATTTCCAAATGAGATTTCTGTATAATTGAATTTGTGTAAGTTGAAGTTGAAGAGGAAGAGGAAGAGGAAGTATTATTTTGTTGTTGCCACCCACTTGAGAGAGTTTCTTATCGTAAAGAAATGTTCGTGTGACTTTATAGAAAGGAGGGGCAGCTGAGTTGGTGAATACAAAAGTGTGAGTGTGAAATATGAATGTGAATGTGAATGTGAATGTGAATGTGAATGTGAATGTGAAATGTCTCTGCTTGAATTTACAAGGGTTTCAAAGGGAGAATAAGTAAGGGTTGACGTAGAAGAAGTGGCTCAGAAGCTAATGGAAGCTTTCAAGGCTGGAGATGATAATGGAGGATGATTGACAATCCTCAACCTTTTTGAATGTTCATGTCTATTTGAGTGTATAATAAGCTGAGCTATTAATTTCCTATCAAATCGATAGATATTTATTAGAGATAATAAATTCTTTGTTCAATAGTACCCCATTTTACTATCAGCGGCAATCATTTCATTGTTTCACTCCAACATTATTTATTACATTTTCAATCCAATATAATTTCACGAGGAAACCGCGGCATCAACCTTATTAATAAGGTCTATTATTAAGATCTATTAATACAACTATAAAGTGTCAAGTTGGTTGTCAAAAGTGTCAGTAATATAACGTCATCTTACAGCAGATCATCTTGGGTATTTCTTTTCATTGGGCATTATTTAATCTCATCAATTAGAGAAATGAAGTACAAACTAGAAAGACGATCTACTTTTTGTATGGTTGGAGGATAAGAGTACAGTAGGTACATGACATGATGTTATAAGTCACATTACATTCTTTATACAACCTTCTCTTCAATTATTATTATATATATATATACCTAGTTATAGATATATATTATATGATTGGTTGATATGATATGATATGATATGATATTTATTAATTATATTACTTTACTCGGGTGATATCAACTCCTTGTTTCCTTTTAGTCCTTATTCTCTCACACACATTCATCAAATCACATATCTCTATCTAATCTACCCGAGTACTCGAGTAATCTACCGGTAATCTAATCTAATCTAATCTCCTCACCTCTCCTCACCTCTCCTCACCTCTTCCTCACCTCTCCCCCCCTCAATCATCCCACAAATTACATATCTCCATCTAATCTACTCGAGTAATCTAATCTTCTCTCTTCCCTTCCCCTTCTCCTCCTCCCCTCAATCATCCCACAAATTCCCCATTCCACTCGACACCCCCCCCCAAACTCAACCTCCTCAACGGTTTCACCTTCGTATATTCCACCTTAACCGCATCTAGCAACAACGTCGAATCACGATCATTCCGGGGCACCACTCCAACATTAGATCTCCCAAAAAGCTTTCGTTTAAAGGGTCGATCTCGGGGTCCACGAGGCGCAGGTACATACAGCGTCTCGGGTTCATCGACCGAGGATATTTCTACCGGTTTTGGGTTTGTTTTTGTTTTTACTTTTGCTTTTTCGACAGGTATAGCTTCCTCGATAACTTTAACTTTCCGTCGTAGTTTGAGGGGTCGAATACCTTGTGACTTTTTATGCATCATAGATTCTTCTTCTTCTTCTTCTTCTTGATTCTTGTCGTGGTCGAACGGTGTACTTTCGATGGACGCACCAGGAACCCTAATCTCGCGACTTGTGGGTCGTTCTTCTGGTGTTTCCTGTTTTGCGTAATCGACAAAAGCCCCTGGTATTCTGATCTCGGTACTTTTCTTCTTGACCACGATTGCGGTATTCGACTGCTTGGTTGGTTTTCGAGTTTCCGGGTTCTTCTTTGCTTTGAGAGGAACTTGCTTCGAATTGGTTGAAGATTGCTTGTTTTCAATACGACCTCGGGATATGTTTGGGAATATATCTCTGATGCTCGCAGTTGATCTTTCCATCTCAAAGCTTCCTCCTCTAATAGGTAGAGAATCCTTCCAAGACTTCAGGGACGGTCTGACTTCGGATGCTTTTTGTTTTGGAATTGATTTGGGTTCAGACTTCTTTTGTTTACTGTAAGCAACATTATTTGTTGTAGCTACATGCTTTCTTTCAATTTCGAAGCTGCCACCACTGATTGGAAGTGAGTCCTTCCAAGATTTGAATTGTTTAGTAGCTTTGGTTTCAATAGGTTTTCTCTTAAGTGGAGTAACATGTTTGGGGGGTATTGGTGAACGCTCCGTCGTAGGTGGTGGTCTCGGCATTCTTATTGGAGGTGGTACGGATGGTCTCCTTATCACCATTTCATTGAGCACTGCTATTGGCAGAGGTTGTGTAACAGGAGGTTTTCTAGGAGAAATTCGATCGAGTGATGAGGGGATAGTAGTTGGAACAAGTGCCACATCTGGCCTAATAGCTACATCTGGAGATTCCGCAGTTCTAATCTGATTAGCACACTTCGTCAGGTGGCTTTAACTTGGCACAAACCTCATTGTAAATAACGGTGATCTCATCGCAATATCACTTATACTACTACTTGGCGTGACATTTCTTTGCCTCGCCATTCTCTGCGCAGCCAAAGAGCTAGTCATCTGTTTCGTCGACGCTGAAGTTGCGCAACTCGCGCAATTTGCACATTCAGTGCTCAAATTCGACCCCATCGAGATCGCCGAATCAGAATGTGACAAGCACTTCTCATCCGTCCCCGTATCCCTCACAAGATACGACCAGTCAAACCCCCAACCCCTAAAATTCAATTTCGATTTCGATGTCGCTCGTGTCAAAGCAGGTGTAGGTAGAAGTGGTGTGATACTTCTTTCTTCTGGAAACTCCCCTGGAATAGAAGTCATCAAACTCTGCGATTCCGATTTTGGCAATGCCGATTCTAATGTAGTACCTGCTGGCACCGGTTTCCTCTTGATATTCGTCGTGCTCGTAATACTAGCATTCGCTATAGCAAGCGATTGATTCTTCTCCCACTCTTCTTTCTCATTACCCATAAATAGATAATCGTCATGAAACGACGCGATTGAATCGTTCGAAGTCGAGGGACTTATAAATTGCGCATGCGATTGGAGAATATTCGCAGCAGAGGGATTAAGTGAGGTAAGATTACTATCTACCAAATCATCTCCAAAGGAACTTACCCTGCAATCAATCGTATCGGGGAGAGTCGTACTAGTAGTAGGTAGTTGAAAGGGATATTGACAAGCTTCGAGAGCAGTCAGAATAATACCTATCGCAATACTATAACCAGAAACTCAATATCAGCCCAGCTCTTCTCCTCATATAACCATCACATCCCTTCTCACATCACTCCCCACTTCACTTCACTTCTCACCCCGTCTCTCACCCACTATCTATATCTACATCTACCAAAATAAAACAAAAGAAAAAGGTCAAACATACAAACCCACACCCTCAACAACAATCTCACCAATCTGCAAACGACAATCGCGCGTTCCCAACCGACACACTTTCGGTTTGGATATAATGATGCTAGAAACGATAATGGATATCATCCAACAAACTAGCGTGATGCGTGCGACGATAAAACTATATGCGTGAACCGCTAATTCGGGCGGTCGTACGAATCCTACTGGGGCGTTTTGGATGCTGGCGGTTATGTGGAGGATTAGGTAGAGGAGTGTGGATGTACACTTTGTTGGTGTTAGCTTGGGTTCTTCTTCTCTTATTTTTATTCTTCCATTTCCCTTAATCCCTCACCCCACACCTCCACCTCAAAAAGAAAGGAATAAAAAGAAGGAAAAGAAATAAACTCACACCCCCCAACAAGATCCCCGTCCCAGCCCTCAACCCAATCGGTAAATCCTTTTCACTCCCATTCCCACTCCTCTCCCCAAAGATCTCCACACTCAGCACAATCCCCGCAACAGTCGCCAACAACAATACAATCAACGTGATAAATACGATCCACGGGGTTAAAATACGTGCGGTGAGAGAGGGACGTAAATCGATGATGGGGATTTGGGCGCGGGGTGAGAGGATTGGGTAGGGGAGGGGTTGGAGGGGTTTAGGGGGCATTGGGTTTGTGGAGGGGATGGGGGAGTCAGGGGAGAGGGGAGAGGGGGAGGGAGGGGGGGTGTTTGTTTTGGTGTTGTGGTGTTAGGGTTGGAACTGGTGGTGGAATTCGTAATTTGAGGCGTTTTTGATGGTTGGCTTGGTGATGGATGGGATGGGAGGTGAGGTGAGGTGAGGTGAGTGGAGATGAGCTGAGATGAGCTGAGTGGAGGTGTCGAGCGTATAATATGATGGTTATGGTGTAGCGTGGTGTGGTTAGAGTTAGTTAGTTAAGTACATAGATGAAACTTTTGAGTAAAGTAAGGTAAAGTAAGTATAAGGACAACCAAAAACAATAAAAAGATATTTGGATATAGTATACGAGTAGTATAGTATAGTATAGTATAGTATAGTATAGAGTAAAGATAAAGAGTCTCCTCGGATCCAAATATCCCAATATCAATCAATCTATCAAACTATCTACCAACCACCAAGTACAAGATAAAAGAAAAATAAAGTAAAGATAAATCCCAGAACAGGAGATCCAGTAACATGACATGACATGACATGACATGAGAAACGAGAGATGTAAAATGTGAATATTTCCGCACTCAGACTGTTAGATAGGCACATCACGTTTTGTTCCGCCGGAAGAAGTAAAGTATCTCAGTATACCTACCTAGGTACCGGTATGTATGTTATTGAAGCGAGGTTGGGAATTGTGATTCTCATCTTCATCTCCATCTTCATCCTCATTCTCATCTTCATCGAATTTTCTTGTTCCAATCAAAATTTGTGCAAGGTTAGGAAATACATTTCTCACTCTTCCACTTCCAATCCATCCGTTTTGGTCTGCACAGCACGAGGCAAAAATTTAAAAGAAAGGCGGGCAAACACCACCCCAATCCTGATGTTTTTTTTTTAAAAAAAAAAGGATACTGCATTCCTAAAAATGGCTTTAAGAATGGCTCCAAGAATGGCTCCCAAGAATGGTGGTTTCACTTGACATTCCTAAGGGGGGGTTTTTGGGATGTGGTATTATAAGCGAGCGAGCGAGAAACATCTATATATCGGCTGGTTGGTTGGTTGGTAGTAATAATTCGTGCTCTATATAATTACCCCAGGCTACTAGAATCATATCCATTCTCTACATATATGTATTTATTTTGATTCTATTATTGAATTCCTTGAAGAAGTATTTATTGGATTGTTAATTGTTAATATATTATTACTCGTACTAGTGATCGAAAGATGAAAAGCACTTTAGAAAGAGAGTTAAACAGTACGTGAAATTGTTGAAAGGGAAGCGCTTGCAACCAGAGTAGCATATTTCTTACAATTAAATTAAACTTACACCTTTAGAGTACGTACACCTTCACAAAACACCAACAATTCAAACCCTCCAGCTGGAGCCTCTACAGTAGGAGTAATTCTAATATCACAAAAAAAAAGAAGAATAAAAGATCTAACCAATGTTCCAACTATACTCAGTAGGCTTTATTCAGTATCTACTAGTACATAGTATCTATCTAACCATAGTCATAGTTATAGCCGTAGCTCCCTCCATTACTGTAGAACAACCAGATATTCTTCGTACACTTGTAAGATTACTTACACAAGAACATAACATACAATTCAGCACCATAACACTATGATAATAACACCATAACACCATAGTGCACAATCTATCTGATAATCCTTTCCCTTACCACATTATCGCAAATTCTCTCCAATATGCAAAACGTATCGCATCAAAAAAAAAAGAAGTCAAGAAAGAGTGAGTGACATGAAGAAAAGAAATCTGGCCATTGCCATCCATTAAAGAATAATCTTACATTCCAGTCCAATCCAATGATGATTCTACTTGATATGTTCTGCAAAATATGCCACCACGTGTTGCCTAGTAAGAAATCATAAAATATCGATTCGTTTATATTAACAACCGCATTCCTCCGGCTCTATCATCTTGATTTATCGTATCGACCCCCCTAATTAATATGTATGTTACAATAGAAGATCCCCCATCCAACATCGCCCGTGATATGTTTCTTCCTAGGAGTCATGCGCCTAGTTCCCAAACACCTAATTTCAAAATTTCGCTCGATTCACTTCTCAATTCCTTATCCTTATCTTTTTCATATAATTCGTAAAAGCCAGCAATCACATAATAATACAGTCCTTTGACCTCTCCTGCTGTTGGGTATTTGATAAACCTTGGTTTGGGTTTGGAATCCTGCGCCCAGGAACTTGATCGATTAGTGTCTGACCACTTCCAGGAGCACCATAAGAGGTTGTATTGCGGCGACCCGTAGCATTAGCTGGAGGAGGTGGTTGACTATTTGAAGTTGTTGTGGAAGCACTTGGTCTCCTGCTAGGGTTTGCGTTCGGATGGGCAGGGTGATTGGTTGGGGGTTGATAAGCTGGTTGGGTGGAAGCTTGCTCGTATGAAGGAGGTGGTGCATCGATACCTGCTTCTGGGTCAACGGGAGCAGCGGTATTATTGTTATTGCGAGGTGGAATTGTAGGGCGGCCTTGAGTACTGGCACGACCACGAGTCGAGCCTCGCACAGGAACATTGACTCCACGACCGCTAGTACTAACTTGCCCGCTACCGCGGCGCTGGCCAACAGGGCCATTATTATTATTATTGCTATTGCCCTGCTGCTCGATGTACTGCTGTGATAGATCTGACTCTCTTCGCCTTCGAGCAGTTTCATTTCGGTGACGCTCATCCTCTTCTTCCTGTAATTGCATTGCTAAGGCAAGATCGTGATCTTCTTGTTCTGTATTCGTAATTTGATCGTGATTCTCTGACTGCCGCTGGTTTTCTGACGGTGTCTGATGCGAAGAGCCACCTTGATTATTGTTCCTACGGCTAGTAACTGTGGTCCAATTACCTTCCTCATTCCCTTGTGCCGTGGAGGCTCCACCAACCAAACGAAAGTCACCCGAATAAAACTCGGCCCTTTCGCCATTGACATCAATAAGGCCTTCCCATACAACTTCTTCGTGTCCGGCATAACCAGAATCTGTCACGAGCTGCAATAGTTGAAGCGTTGTTGGATGTCGGAAAATTGTGGAAAAATGGTCATTTCGAAACAAAATGGCTACTGCTCCTGGACTCAGGGATGTAGTTATAAGATCCAGGCCATGGGCTGTAAGTTGAGTTGCCGCGGAAACGAAGAAGGCTTTGATCGTTGCAATATCCTCTAGTATGCCCTGTTCCTGAAAACTTAGGCCTTCGGTAGCCAACTTATCTTCTAATTCTTCTTCGTGAAACATTAAGTTTTGTGCGTCTTCATATGATTTAGCAGATCTCCTGAGTGCCATATAAGCGGGCGATTCTTCTTCAGGTAGCCAGCCATGAATTAACGGTACCGAGAAAGTACCGTATAATTTCATTTCGCGAGTCTCTTCAAATGTGCCCGGGAGTGCGCCGTCACGTTGCGTAGGATTAATATGTGACATTGAGTTCCGAGGATCATTCGCTGATTGTGTAGGCGATGTGGGAAAAAATAGGGGATTCACATTCATTCCCGTGTGGAGTGTTAGCAGAAAGGAATATAGATCGCCCACATCTGGAAGCTCTTGTGCAGCGTCTCCACGTCTCCCGGACATGAGTTCATCAAAAACTGCATCAAGCAATAATCCAAGACTGACTTGCTCGCGTGATCGAAGCGTCTCAATTAAAGCGGTGTCCACACCAGCGGGGGTTGATAAAGTCAGAGCATTCACGAGAGCTAGTAGAGGACAAGGCCCATTGGCATTTTGCACCAGGATAGGTGAAACTCTGGGGTTATTTTGAGCATTAATGTCATGCCACGATATTTTCTTGATCTCGTAGGTCTCTTTCTTTTGTCTTTGAGCGGATGCTGTTGTACCAGGCGTCGAATTCGATGGTGTACTTTGGTTCGTCGCGTCCACGACTGGCCGTGGAGGTTGAAGAGGAGGATGTTCTTGGGAGTTTCGCGGTGGAAGTGCTGGAGGGTGCTCTTCGGAAGGTAATCTGGAAATCTCTGTGCCATCTACTCCAATTACTCCGCTTTGCTGAACATTATCCGGTATAATATCATGATCAATCAAGTTCCATCCTTCGGTAGGGGGGATCGAGTATTGAGTGTGCCCCGAGGGCTGAACTGGAATTGTTTGCGTTTGATTCAATCCTTGGCCATGAGTAGAATCCCATGCATGCTTATCTTCTAGTATCTCCTGCGTTTCGTGCAGAGGTAATGACGACTTCTTGGAGCTGGCCGGTATTGTCTCTTCCTCTTCCTCTTCTTCGTAATCGTCCTCGTCCCATGCCGGCGAGTCCGGTTCATCAATGTCTACCAAGACAGGCTGTTGCGACTGTTCGGATAAATCAGAAGATGTAATGACGTCGTGGGGATTTGCGCTTGACCAGGCTTCGTTTCCTGAATCTTCTCGTTGAAGATTGGACGTTTGTAATGGCTGCTTGTCATTCGCAACGGGTTGCCACGGGTTCGTATTCTGACCAGACACTTCCATATTTGACAGTTGTTGGGTTACTATGCCCGAGATCAGCATTGAGCATAAGTTACAGAGAAATTTACAAACCTTGAGGTACAAGGGGAGGAGGAGGGGGTGGTGGGTAGTCGGGGTGTGCGGGTTTCTCTGTAAGCTCATTCCAGATATCCGCACTACTTTCTTTTCCATCAGATACTGTACTGCGTGAAACCTGTATTTGTTGCCTCCTCAAGAATGGATTCGTGGTCGAGGGGTTTGGGTTTAACATATCCCGAGAAGGTTTAGGAGGGGTTCCCGATGACCCAACCTTCAAAGCATCTGGAAGGCTGCTAGGATCAGGGTGAGAATGTTCTTCTTCGTTCCAAATATTTGACTCTACATTGTTTGCAGACAACATTGCTTTGTAGTCATCTTCAGTGCGAAAAGTGGCGGGTGAATTCGAAGATACTGGGGTAATGGGGTATGGCGGCGAGGAGGATTGGTTGTTGGACTGATTTGTAGATTGAGGTACTGGCTTTCGAGTCACCATCGTGATTGATTATCGTTGAATGAATTGAAGTTTCGTTTTCCTCTTGACTCTTATTCTATGGTCGATTGAATATTTGAGGTGTATTAGGTGAATTAGACTTCTTCATATATTATCAGTGTACAATGAGGTCATATCCAATTCAATCCAGCAATCCAGCAATCCAGGTTAATAACAGTCAAACAAAACTTTGCTCTTTAACTTTATCCTTATAAAGCTTCGATAATATGGAAAAGGACACAATCGAACTCCTTTCAATGCTTTGAATATAGAAACCGTTCGTAAATATGGTAGTAGAGTTTCCAAAGTCGATTTGTCTTGGAAGACTTTAGTTAGTACCGACACTAATGATATCGATAAGTAAAAATGTATGTGGCTGGGAAATAAATCATCTATATCAAAGCAAGTGCAACAAACTTCAATGTTCTCCTTAACACAAAGGATGAAGTGAAAATGATCAAACGTATTGGCTTAGATGTATGTATTTAAACAGATCTTAACTCATAACAGAGATTCGGTGTTGCGGTGTTGCTTGCGCGTCTCAGCTTACTGGTATTCGACCTTGGACAGGGAAGTTCGAGTTCTTGAACACGCGAGGCTGAAGTGTGGCTGAAGTGTGGCTAGATATTGCCACAACCACACATGAGCCAGCCAATGACAGAACTGATCATGCAAGGAAAAAATCCGACCCAAAATCGCAAGGCTACTGAAATTCACTGGTATGTATGCGCAAGAAATAATCAATCTCATAATGTATCGATAACAATTCTCACTCAAATCCTCAATTGTGTATACCATTGAAGTTTGATACCTAAGAGAGTATTATTGAATTTCATCAATATGCATAATTTGGTAAAAGCAAATGCTTGGGTAGTTCTAAGACTACCTTCAGATAATCTCAAAGTCTTACAGGTAATTCCAAATACGTGAGTGAGTCTCGATAGTTTTGATGGGGAGTTCTTTACTCCCTCTAGCTGTTGACTTTTCAAATGGAAGCTTTACTGACAATATTACTAGTCCAATATCACTGGGGAAATATGGTACATTTCCAAGCAACCTTATAATTGATCGTCCCTACAATCTCAAATACGAACTTGTCGACAGACAACAAGATCAAAAGTATTCAGATTTGAGAATCGTACCGGCCTCTGAGATTCATGCCGACACAATAGCAGAAGAACATGCAGCGGCAAACCCTGTTGCTGACGATAATGTAATAATTGGGGGAGATGGTGTCGAATTCGAACTTGTAGGAGAAAATGGCGAAATTATCATGCGTTCAAATCGAGAAACCATCGATGACTCTGCTAGGCAGACCTTGACTCAGGAAGAGATTGAGACTCTAAAGAGAGACGGTGCTGCTGCAGGAAAGGACTTAATTGCTAAACTAATGCTATCACATACTGCTATCGACGAAAAGACGTCTTTCTCACTAGCGAAATACAAGCTCTTGAAAACGAGGAAATACCTACGACAATTTACAATATTACCAATGGATGTGGCAATGATGGATTGCTGGATGATGAAAGAGAAAGATGCTAGCAAGATCATGGAATTTAGGGAAGAAATGCTTGCTTTAGCGGGGAGCTGGGCAAATGTCCATTTCTCTGAGGATCCAGAAAACGAACATACCGACGCTCTCGATACGAGAGGTGGCGGCCGTTTACTAGTAGTGGATGAGACTGGAGGATTACTGGTTGCAGCTATGGCCGAGAGAATGGGCCTGCTATACCCAGAAGAAGATCAAGATCTACCCACGGAATTCACAGGAGCTTCGGAAGAAGCTCAGGCTGATAAAGAATTAACTCCACGGAATCAGTTGGACCGACCATATCGACCTTATGCCAGTACCAATACGTTGACGTTAATACACACCAACTCTCAACCAAACCTTTCACTACTAAAATATTTCAATTTCAACATTGATAGTCCTGCAGCATCGCATCCACTGACTAAACGACTTCTACCTATATCCTGGTTACAGCTCATATCACCAGAAAACGATAGTCTGTATTCATCCCCACCCCCTTCGGCAACGCCAGAGGAGTTGTTGAAATGGAGTTCAGGGAAACGAGGAACACACTTCCGAAAGAAGCGTCGCTGGGAGAGAATTAGACATATTGTCTCCACTGCCCAACATGGCGACTTTACCGGCTTAGTAGTAGCTTCCAACATGGATCCCATATCTATCATCCGCCGCACTATCCACCTCCTCCGACCCAGCGCCACCATCACCATATATTCTCCTACCATTGAGCCTCTAGTAGTCCTAGCAGATTTGTACAGCACTTCCAGAAGAACCGCGTTCATTCAAGCACTTCCAGAAGAACTAAAAGGTCTCTCACAAGCTGAACTAGCATCATGGCAGGGAAATGAGGATTTCCCTCTGAACCCCTCGCTTATATTGAATACATCAGTACAGAGCTGCAGAAGACGCGAATGGCAAGTTTTGCCAGGGAGAACGCATCCATTGATGACAAGCAAAGGCGGTGCTGAGGGATATTTGTTCACGGGTACGAGAGTTGTGCCTGCGGAGGGGAAAGTTATGGCGAGGGGGAAGTTCTCAAAGAGACCGAAGGTTGTTGAAGGTGAAGAGGGGGCAGATAAGAGGGTAACGGGTGATACTGAAGAGAGTGCAAATAAGAAAATCAAACTGGATACCGAAAGTTTGGATGCTCAAACGAATGATAAATCGGATATAGATATGGGGATATAGATCTAGACCTCAATGCCAATAATATACCGCAGTTTTATTTATTGCAAGACTACTTGAAGCATAGAAATGATATTGCATTCGGCAAATGAGTCTAGAAAGATCAGTGAGTTTCGTCCGCGTGTCATCTTCTGGCAATGAAGCCCTCTTTTCCTCTCTTCCATTGTCTCCACATCCACATACCCCGAGCTCCCTCACATAACCCCAACTATATCTTTAATTCACCCACAATAACACCGCCAAACTCCCCAGCAAATGCATACTCCCAACCTCTCGTCCCCTTTCCATTCTCACGCAGCTCAAATTTTCATATTCCATCGCATACCATCTCGCACAATATAACATTCGGGAAACAATCCCCCTCACAAACTCTTCCCCATAAACTTCCTCTTCGTAAAGCTCAACCACCATTTACTAGGCTTGCCATCTTCGGTATCAAAAATGCGTGCTAATAATCTGCTCGCCAGTTCTTGACGCACCTGTCCTAGATATTGACGAAGGGTTTCTGCGTCTTGGCGCGAGGCGGGTGCTTCGAACATCTATTTGTGTATCTGTATTAGCTTCGTACTTTCTCCCAGATCCCCATTTCCAATCCCAAAATTCGAGAAACAGATAGAAAGGTCAGAAAGGGAAGATAGAGGAATCAAACCCACCTGATTCAAAGGAAACCCCGGATCCCCCGGCACCGCGAAATTGCTATCGAGCGCAATATTCTGGACCTCCTTCTGGGCCTCGCGCGCCCCCATCGAAGGCTTCACCTTCCCAATACACTCGCTGACCCACAGAATGCCATAGATCAAGAGACGGTCTGGAGGCCCCTGGATCTCAAAATTTCGGAAAAATGTGTTGGCGCGGAAGAGCGAAAGCACTTCGTCTAGTGCATCGTAGGACTCGGAGTCGGGCTCTGGAGAGAGATGGGCGGGGAGTGAGGGATCGAGCGGGAGCGTGTAGGCGGGTCCGCGGACCTTGGTGCGGAGAGGGAGGAGGGGAAAGTTGCCGATTAGGTGGAGGGTTGTGGGGGAATCGGTGTTGAATATGCTGTTGTAGGCCTGGGTGGAGTGGTGGGTCAGCTATTTATGTCATTGACTGGAGAAGTGGTGGAAGGGGAGTAGATGTGGTTTTGGTAGGTTTATCTCGAGATGAGGTTCTAATTAAGGAAATTGAATAATAGGGATTGTTTGAATTACTTACGGGCATATTGGGCAATTTGCGTTTGAAAATATGGGAAAAGGTGTATGAGTTGTAGAAGTGGAGGGGTTTGAAGCTCCGTCAGTTCAAGGAGAGGTGTGGTTAAGCTGTTTTGGCCTGAGGCTGACGTTAGCTACTGTATCTTTGATCCACCCCACCTCTAGCTGTGGGGCGAACCGACAACTCTATATTCACTTGGACGACACTTCACATGTCCCTCTACATGAGTTGCTTTTTATTAATTGTATGGCTACATAATTCATGCGTGAAGTCTGATGAGGTTCTCATCCTGCTATCAAATATCTTAGCTTTTAAAGTAAGGTTAGAGAGAGAGAGAGAGAGTTTTGTGGACTTGTCCACTTCGACTCTTAAGGATATTCAGCATATAGTGTGCAGACGATATCGTCGGCTCTAGTGAGCGTACCGGTACTTGGTTTTAGACTCATTCTACCTCACTTAGCCTTTCAAGGAGGACACAAGTCCGTATATCAGCCTTTTGAGGCTTTGATGAGCAATTGGTGGTGAAGTTGTTACGAATGGGCTGTAGCAGTTGTGAAGCAAAATTGCAGTCCAGTGTAAACATACAGAGATTTTCTCAAGGACCGTGTGAGCGAACTCCGTTGGTCTTTTCGACGTCGTGTACACATTTTATGATTGCAAGCATTCCATTGTGTACTATGAAGAGAATTCGCTCCATCTAAAGCTACTGGAAACCCGAGTTGTCAAGTTCAGTTCACGGGGAGATCAACATGAGAAGTTAAAGGTTCTTATAGATAGACTTATCATATTTCAGTATTTGAGTTACTGTTAAAAACTAGCTCATCTTCTGATACAGAACCGAATAGCTTATAAGACCCGTCTTGGTAAAAGTTTCGGTCCAGGGTGAGGTTTGGCATCAGCCTGAAGCCTAATCTCCCTAAGAATGAAATACGTCGCTTTTGCATCAATTCACCTGTAGCTTATCTTCTGTTTCTCGAACATTGCTGAAAACACCACCAAAGCTTTTTCAAGTCTCAGTACCTCAATTCTTGACTACGTTATATCTGTCTCAACCAACCTAGCATGCCCATCCAAAATCCCCTTTTCTACCCATTTCAAATCCAAATAATTCACATATAGCGCCTAGGTGTTTTAGTATTGTAATCGAATAAGAGTCTCACTCTATACCTCCATCCAACTACGTATTTAGGACCCCACCATGAGGCTCATTACATAGAACAATTGCGGTATGGGTTTTTGATTCAGCTGTATTGGTGTGAGTAGAGATGAAATGGAATCTTGATTCGACCTCTTTATGAATCGTTCCTGGTTCAAACTTTGGATACATAGATCCCTACTGTAGTTTGCCATAAGCATTGTTACCCTCCTGCGTTTTTATGAGTGATGATTAGAATAAAAAATGCCTCTCCCTAATACAAATACATACAAAGCCTTTCCTCTCTCTTCCTCGCTTGCAATTCCCCACTCCAAAATCGCAACCATCTCGCTTAACGCAAAATAGTCGGACTGTATGTAACCAAAAAACCTCAAAAACAATCAATCAACCCTCAGACAGCCAAATCATATACCCAGATAGATATACTCCAGTAAAAAAAAAGAAATATATCAAAAGGGATCAGAAGCAAAACCTTACCGCCCCTCGAGGGGCGGAAGGAGAAACCCCCCGGTGGGGATTTTTTTCGATTCGAACCAGGCGTTGTACCACTCCACCACCAGACCGCATTTGACCTGAACAAACAAGACTGTTTGTCGCCTTTGCGGTCTGGATGTGAGAAGCTGAGTTATCGCGGTATATATAGTGAGTGAAGCTTATCGCTGCTGGGTTAGATAAGGTATATTATTATAACTTTCGCACTTTGTATGGTTGTGCGGGTTTGTGGGAGGTGTACGCACGTGAGTGGATGATGAAATGTAGTCATGATGAATGTAGGGATGCTTGGTATACTTGATTAGTTGAGACAGTATGGCAGGACATAGAGTCATGGTTTTTCTCTGTTGTCGGGCTTAACCAGATTCTTATTGAAGGCTTCTTGTTTTATGACTGTGTTTATGAACGTATTGATTGCATTTTGAGGTGGTTGAGGTTGTCAGATGAAGAACAATGTGTGAAGAACATTTTCATTTCTTACTAGGATTACTTAGTAATTGATCATAGTATACAACACAGCTCAAATTCAATATCGATATCGCCACTAGCAGTTCATAGAACTCCCCACGCACCCGGATCCGACCGTGCTTCCATTCAACCCCATCATGAAACAGTATAGACACCACTTGCGCTCGCGGTTGGCGGACCAGGTAACGTTTGTGTCACTGAGGCTGCACCACTGTAAAGGGCAGGGCCAGGAATGGTATAGTTCTTAAGAGTCCCATAAATACTGAACAAGATGCCCGGATCAGTCGGAGTATAAAATTTCGTCGCAGAAACACCAGCCGGCTTAGTCGTTCCCGTACCCTTAATTGCAAGACTAACACACTGTGGATAGTTTTGAGCACCGTTCGGCGAGCCTGAAGCGTGAAGTGCGATGATCTCGTGGCGGAGAACATAATTGCCCGTGGCAATGTTTGAAGGTATGGTAACAGTCCAGCTATTGTTGTTGGCGATCAATACATCGGTGCCCCAGTATCCACTTGATTCTGCTGTTGGACTGATCAATCCGACTTGATCGATCTTGAACCATTGCAGAGTTGTCTTATCGACAGTCTCGCAAGGACCGTTGCAGTTGGCGAGGTAATCGATGACGGGTCCTTTGTGAGATACGGGCCATGGCGTCCATTGGAGTTGAACTTTTCCTCCAGCGGTGACTGGAGCTTCGATTTGGGCTGGTGTCGCGCCTACGTGGCAGATGATGTCGGAAGTCGTGTACGCAGCGGGAGCGACAAATCCGTTGTCGAGGTCTTGAGGGGTGAGCCAGCCGACGGTCACTGGCGCTGGTGAAGTCCATTGATAGCTTGGATTATATCCATTATAGCTCCACGTTGTCAGCTAAATCTTCCGGGGAGAAATAGGAGTGTTCGGCGAGGGAAACTTACTAAATTCCATTGGCGACGATTCCAGAGACGGTACCGTGAGCCCTTACGGCTGAGATGAGCGTTAAGGCTGTAAGTCGTTTGGAAAACATCATCACTTTCTGTCAACAAGTCCTACTGTAATGTCTCTGAGCTCAAAAACATAACCAGGAAAATAATTGCAGATTTATACATCTCCTGCCAAGCGAAACCATCTCCACTTCTGGTCCACAGGAGCGAACCCAACACATTAATCTCGCGCATATATAAATGAAACTACAACATTGCCGGCAGCAGGTAGTCTAAGCAATATTAAAGCTTCTGGTCACAAACCAACAATTTGTCTTCTGATCGATGTCGAAAGCCTGTATGTGGAGCAGATCACCTCTATATTAATATCTTCAATATAGGTCTTGATACCAACTCCGCCTATGATACTTTTCATTTTGAGCAACTCTCCTTTTAATCTTGCCATGAAACGCTCGAATCCGGTGCTCCGTCGGTTATTATGCCACACACCCCGGATTTTCATTTAACGAAGTTTTCAATTTCCCGACGAGCCGTCGGGAACGAGATATTGGCACTTTATCCGGAATATGGGGTAGCAGGGGGCGCGGTTCAATGAGAGTGAGAATACTTGTAAGATGATGATATCTCCCGATCTTTGATGTGATGATGGAAATTTATGGGAGGAATATGGAGAGTGGTAATTGTGGAGTCCTTTGGCTGTAGTTATGGCTTGTATATTGACAGGTCTGCCAATAGAATGTCCCGATATATGAAATTAAGTCTTGACGTCGAACGGTTTCTTGTACCATTATAATTTCGAATGTTTTCGCAGAGGCTTCCTCCATATATTCCACTATATTGACCGATAAAATGAAGACGGCCAAAAGTTCGTTGTACAGGGTCCGGAAGACTTGTGATTGGGTAATTCAGATGGCGGACGGCCAATTGCATCTGCACATATGTATGTCCTGGATAGGGTAAATATTGCACGGAGAAAAGTAATAAAGGTAAAACCACAAGCTAACGCTGACTAGTGGATAAACCGTGACACTATTCCGCAGAAATAGTATCTCCGTTGGATGCAAGTAGTATTTGATACAAATTGTTGAAAAGTGAGAGAATAACTTCTCACTCTCTTATTCATCCCATCACTGAGTAACTACTCGCTGATTAGCCGGGCTGTGGCATCTCAACCAAAACACCTATGTCACCCCCAGCATTTTCAAGAATCTCCAAGAATTTCACACTACGCGACCAAGAACGTCCGACACACTAAAGTAATGAAGAATCGTAATGTTAAGTAGTTATGTCGAGCTCGACCTTCTATTGACAATCCTATAATCATTTCTCTTTATATCCCCACCATACAAGGCTTCTCTGTGATTAACTCTGTCCTCGGCAGATCATTCTTATCGCCTAAACACATGTCACGTGACTGCTACGCTGCATTCGAGCTCCACTTTGAAAAGTACCGGTATCTATTGCTATGTGAACCAAAGTTTGCGAGAAAAGGTGGAAAGGTGGAAAGACATACTTGACTTGACGTGAGTAGGAATCTAATGATTGTCATCGAAACACAATTCGAGTATAATGCAGAATATTTGCCTCATTCACCTCGCTTCCGCCACCATCGCTAGATATGGTTGAGAATATTGAACAGGCATTATGGAGAATGCCAAGAGCGGGTGTAGTTTACTTTTCACATTGTCATGGGACAGACTTTAGGGGTTCAAAACACATGGATTGCTAACTCAAAAAAAGATAGATAATGTATACAACCCTCAACACTGACTGACTGACTCATCATCCAACAAGCGTTCATCAACGTCAACCACAAACGAAAAAGAGAAACCAAGCAATCTCTTATCATCACCATCATCATCAGACCACCACCACCATCATCATATCCAATCCAAATCAAAGTATACTCAAAGAAACCAATCCGTCTAATCCTTAGCAAGAATAAATCACTCTAAACTTTGCCCAACGGCTTTCTAGCCCATCCATTGACGCTCCTCCATCCAGCACCACAAGCTTTACCCTCTTCGATAAGATTCTGTACACCCTCCAACGTTCCCTCATCACCCAGTGTCTGAACTCTACATCTCAACAACCATTTCTCCCAAGCCCAACCCCCGACCAATCCGGTAACACAAGCTGCATCTCCCGTGCTCCCGCTGACAATCGCTTCCATCTCCAATGGATCACCCACGCTATTTCTCTCTACATCTAATCTATATTCCGGATCTGCACCCATGGGCAAGAATACCCACGCACGTTTGATGCCTACAAAACCCGCGCGTTTTAGACGACCAAGCCAGAGTTTGGTGGGGGAAGGATCATAACCGAGGGTTTTGAGATTGAATCCAAATTCGACACTCTTGGCCAAACCCATTGGACCCGCGTTTACGATATCTGAATCCATGATGGAGAATTCGAGATATCCGCCTGGCTTGAGAATACGCATGCATTCCTTAAGACAGGCTTCCCATTCATCTTCGCCATTTTCGCCGCGTTCTTTCAGGATGCTGTAGATTTCGCGAGCGGAAACGAGATCAAATTGATTGTCTTTCCATGGAAGCTTGACTAGACGATCAATGGCCACTTGCCGAAGATTCTTGGGGCCGCGAATGTTGGAGTTGGAGAGTTGGCGAAGAGCTTTGGTAGTTACAGTGTAGACTTTGCAGTTGGGATATTCGGTGGCACAATGCCATGCCCAGTCACAAGTGGCCTGTCCGCCAAGATCGAGAATGCGAGCACGGTCTCGAGGGGTACCGTTGATGGTGGGGCCCATCGAGGAAAGTCTGGCAAGACGCTTGGCGACCGGAGCTGCGATCAAGCGACCCCCGTTCAGCAATTTAGTTGCAGTCACGTTCCAGGTCGCAGGGGCTATTTGTTCCAGGGCTTCGATTTCTTTGTCATACTTGAGTTTGTCGAGATCTTCAAAAGGTGTGTCATCGCCACGAGCCACATTAGAAGACATTCGGCGTTTGGGAGACATGGGGAGAACGCTCAATTGATATTTACCGAGGAGGTGGGCACGATGAGCTGCTGGAAAAGAAACTCGTTGTGACTGAATGGCTTCAAATCTGGGAACACGATGCACGAATACATCACAGCGACGAGCTTTGCGGACTGAACGTTTGAAGGCACGATGATAAGTAGACTCTTGAGGAAGAGCTTTAGGTAGCGGGCAAAAGTTTCCAGCCAACGTGGCAAGGGTAGCAGTAGCGGCTGCTGGAGTAGAGACGTCATGGTTGACAGGATCTGTAGAAAAGTGAACAGTCTTTTTGCGCTGCAGAGGAAGTGGCTCAGATTCGATTGGCGAAATGTTCGCTTCTGCCAGAGAAAGCCTTACACTAGCAGCTCGCTTTAATAGGGCATCTTCGTCATCACGAGCCTCCGTGGGATTGATATAATTATGTTGGGCAGCAAGCCACAATGCTGTGCGATCAATATTGATATTTGCAGTATCCTCAAGCTTATTCATATATCCAGGTCCGTAATCAGTCAACAATTCATCAACTACAATGTCTTCCTCGAAACGAGTAATATTTGGCGGGGGAGATTTGACGGGAACAACTGTTTCATCCGAATTATCGTGGCGGATCACGGGTCGAATAAATTTCGCAGTTGGCGGTCCATCAGTATCAGCAGGTTCTGGAACTTCGATAATGCGCTCAACCGGATGTGGCGCCCACGGGGTATTATAAAAGTTTTCGGCGGTCGTTGATGAGGGGGGTAGAGGTTCATCCGGCGTGATAGGTACAAGATGCCAGGTATGTCTTGCGCCATGGCCCAGAGATGCAAAAAAGCCACCGGGAGATGGTATCTCTAGGTTTGTGAGACTTTCCATCGCTCGTTGTTGACTTGGAGTGAGAACGAGAGAATTAGCGCGATGAATATTGGTGTTCAATGGTGGCAAACTTTGCTGCATTTCTTGAGCAGGTATGATTTCTTGCCGAATAGTACTTAAATCAATGACCTGTTCCGGTTGTTGCTCATAGATATAGTCATTGGCAGGTCCGGAGATCGCCTCCAAGGTGGCCATAGCATCAGGTTGCAGTTGAACGCCCCAACTGGTACAAGGTCCGTCTTCTTCGCTATCATAACCAATATCTGGAGTTGGTGGAGCAGACATTTGAGCCATCTGCTCTGAATCCATGCTTCCATCCAATGAGGGTGGGGTCGACGAAGATGGAAGTGATAGATTCTCTTGGTTCTTAAAGAACGTGAGCATGGAAGGAGACATTGCTACTCTTGGGGGTGGTGTCGGTGGTATTGGGGAGGCCAATTGCCGTTTGAATGCGGTAACTTCAGCCCATGGATCCCCGCTCGAAGGAATCACAAGTGAGGGTAGTGAGCTTAGGGAACTTCTGCTTCCGATTGAGCCTGTGGATGATCTTTTTAATCGTGTAGACTGCCCGACGGTGTTTCTTTGCCTCATGGTGCTGCTCCTCCGATTCTCTTCGTCGGATGAAGCGTCGTAAAGATCATCGAAGTCAGTAGCATCAGTTGTAAAACTTGCTCTTGTCCATGGTGCTGATGAGGGAGCGGAAGAAGAATCTTTGCTTGAGTCTGAGCAGGATGGTGAAGCTGGACGATATGGTTGCATGAATTGATTGGCTCGAGGCGTTGGGAAGTGGTCGCTGAGCGGAGAAAGCCAGTCTGCCTTATGGGGGGATGTATCTCGACCTCGTATCTCCATGTGTTTTGAACCCCGTATCGATTCTTCATCGTCTTCCATTATTGTATTAAGTGGCCGCTGTCGTCTCTGTGCCTGCACAGGCGAAGTCGCCGGCCGGTAAGTTGTGGCAGGTAGATAAACTAGAGTTGCCATTTTGTCGACCTACAAAACGTGATCTGTTTGGTTCTGCGTTCCTCGTCGACTGGGTATCGTGAATTACCTTTTGGAGACGCCCTGCGTCTAGTGAGATAAAAAAAGAAAGAAAAAAAAGTATTAAAAGATAGTATGCTTCGATCAACGAAGACTTTGTGAAACTATGCAAAAAAAGAGGAACACCGACGAGAACAATACACCTCCTACACTACAAGAAAGAACGAGATGAGAAGAAATGATGACCTGCGTTTGGTAAATGGGCCACTGAAGGGTTTATACCGACATTCTTTGATATTACCTGTGTAATGATCACTGGATAGCGCTAAAAGGCGACAAGGGGGCTAGCAGGTGTGGCTCCAATACAAGCCTATTTTTATTGAAGAACCGGCAAAAAGGGGAATTGCACTATTTTCCAAGCGTCAAGGGCAACATGCTCTTTCACCTCTTTGGTACTTAGTGAAGAGAAACATACAAAATTGGGTAAAATATCGAAATATCAAGATGCTACGACATTGGCTCATGACCATACATCCAATAGAAAATGTAACTGTCTAACCCCAGTGCATGATACTAATAACCCGGCAGCGAATAGTTGGCAAGTAATGACCGAAATGGGAATAAAGCCAATTTTTCTAGCGAATTGCGCGCGCGACGATTAATGGAGAAGTAGACGTTGCTGGCGCTTGCATACAACATCCACCAATGAGAGTCCTTGTGACACACATAGAAATTCCGGCGCGTAAAAATAGAAATGGTTCAGAGACTGACCAATGAGCACAATTATCAATGCACCACGAATTAGTTTAAGTTTGACTCAATCGTAGTTCGACTGTGCATGACTGGATGTGATGTACTGATTTACATGAGTACCCATGTAGAGAACAACATCTATATATAATTCGACTTTCTGTAAGAAGATAGTGTTCTCCGATGAAATATTGTGCCTAACCAGTCATCCTCAATTTGATCGTGTAAAGCACGAATATGTATGAGTAATGCTGGCGATATTGGTGAAGCATCTGTTGTACCTGCAGCTAAAAGTTGTTAGCTAAGTAGTAATTTGAACCATGACATCAGGTAGTGAAGAGGCTACTAGTAGATAGATGTATCTCAGCGTCAAGCTATTAAACGGCGTCATTGCTATAATGAAGAAGAAATAAGTGGCAGTAACTTTAATGGGCGGTTGATGGTTAAGGATTGAAGGTTGAAGGTTTGAATTGAGAGATTTTTGAATGTTTGCGCGAACAGATTACTGAACTCAAAGTCACGTGTCGATCAATTATAGTGCCAATTGGGTTTTGTGGGATCAATGCACTTCCTCCCTTGTTCATCCCAACTGTGACTCCAATATAGTAAAGCTCTACTCAAGATCCTTCTTCGATCAAATAACAAAAACGGTCAATTGATCAATTTTCACTAACATTGTTCTCAATCATACCAGCTGCCCGACGAGACATCACACAACTATCACTACCGCTAGACACTCGCATACACTATCAAACATATTACCGACAATTCTATCACATCGACCGGTAATAGTATACCGGTAGTCAGGCACTATATAACATGGATAGCTAAGTACCAGTATATCTTCTTTTGATGCAATGTACCCTTTGACCACCATCCATCATCGAAGACTTACTTCGGTGTGTATAAGCTTCGACGACATCTCCGCCACTACCGTACAGTGTATCCGAGCATTCCAAACCTCTGTATCATTATCGAGACGCGTCTGATTGGGGTTTCTACTATGTTGTACCATTGTTCAAGCTCTCCAAGCACCCACTAGAATTGATTTCTGTGCTTCACTACGTCTTTATTGACCCCTTCATCCTTGCCAATGAGCTCGCTACTTCAGCTGGTGCTCTGCACCACTGATTCCTACATGCCAGGGTATGTATCCCAAAAACAGTTTTCATCCACACAATATTTTATGGCCGGCTAGAGGCCAAATGACCAACACTCGAATATTATGAACACACCCCGAGACTCCATGTATCACACTTTGAGGCCCGGGTATTTTTGGCATTTTTCTTGAGAGGGAGCTTACTCCTGTCTTTTTATTGTCTCCGATACACTGTTGTCTTATCATTGGGCGGTAGTACGGACCGAAAGGTTTCATGAGTTGCTTTCTTTTCGTAAGTTTTTCATGAATCGGGGGAGAGACTAAGAATAAACAATATCATCAAACCTGACAAACGACATCTCGGGAAGTGCTTTATGACACCTCATACTGGCCACCTAAATTGGCCGCTCGTATTTGGACAGATGGTTTATGTGTCATTCAAATTAAGGTCGGGGATGGATATCAATATACGAGGAAAGGTTGCAATGATGATGATGATCCATTCCGCTTGACAGAATACCAAAACACTTTTTGAATGAAATTATAGTTGGGGCAATATTCCTCACAACATCAACAGCTCTAGACATCAGCGCTCGGAGGTATATGGCCGTGGCGAAACTTCCTCTTGAATATATCGGTGCCGGTATGCCAACAACAATGCAAGAATACGACCACGCGAGCTGTGATACCAATGTCGAGCATTATACTTTGGTTGGAGAATGCCTTTTCGACGGACTCACGGGCCAGCAAGGCTAGCTAACACAAGAAAAGGGAACATAAACAAGCTACAATAGAGGACATTGCCCACAATACATTGAAGTATGAATCAGCAATAATCAACGTTGAAATATCATTTTTGTAGCTCATCAAATATGCCTCGCTCAAGAAGCAGAATAAATCACCAGGTATCTAATCTCTTGAATCAGCATCTGAACCATCCAACTTTGAAGTCTCGCCCACAGGGCATCTAATAGCACGCATCAGCGACTCTACCTCTTGCTTTCCACTTAATTTCAGGGGTACATCTGGAGCAACTGGTACTATAGCCTTGTTCCAGTCTTCCAATATCTTCTGTCGAACTGATGTATCAGGGATTGCACTGTCAAGGAACCCACAAATATCTTTGATGACAAGCTTCGGAATGTATGAGTCTGAAGTGGCATCTTCAGCATCAGTGGGAGGAGCAGCGGTAATGAAAGCATATCGGACTGTCGCTCGTTCCTCCCTTGGACGATCTGAAGGAGCAGTTTCCCCAATTGCGATTAGAGTCCAATCACCGGGGACGACCTTTAACTGTTTTTTCCACCAACCTCCAACGTGTGATAGCGAACGACTGTCGATGGGCGTGCGGTAGAAATATTCGGAGATGGTACCAACTCGCATTGCATTCTCATTATCTTGGGCGCAGGCATGTGGGATTGCTAAATGCATTGCAACATTGAGTGCGAGAGGGTCCATCATTCCCATGGAAAGGTATGGCTGCTGATGTATGAGATAATTGATGCACTGAGCAAGACCAGCAATCAACGCAGATGACGGAAGGTTTGCTTCCACAAAGGGGGTGCAAGCATAATCGTGATTGTAATTATTCATTACGCCGTCTTTGAAGAACGATTCGATGTTAAGGCCGCCATCTGTGTCCCGTTTATCGTTGCTTGTAAAAGAGCATGCCATTACGATCATTTGACTGATGATTGGTTTAATATAACCATATAACGGAGATTCTCTTAGGTCAAACTTCCTCTCGTAAAGTCTTTCATCCTCTCTTTCCACAAATGGCAGTGCAAGAAGCTCCGTATCATAAAGTTGAGTTGCGGTTCCTCTTAGCAACTCGATCTTCTTCGTCAAAGGAATTTGTGGAGTGTTCAAAAGGTATAAGAATTCGAGCCTAGAAAACTTGATCAAGATTCCTCTTAGAAATTCCTCGGTGATATTAAGGTTTCCGGAGAAGCTCAAACTAACTACATCTCTCGGGTTGTTTGATACTTCTTCCAACACTTCTAGAATTTGTTCGGTGGTCAGGTCGAACGGTCCAAGGTCGATCGTAGATTCTTTCTTGAATATAGTATTCAAGAGTCGACGTGCAGACGCAGAAGTCGACACGACAGTAGGATTGGCATATAGCTTTGACTTAGCAGTAGGATAAAAGTCCGAGAGGAGTGATGCAAATTCGATTATTCGAGGGAGCTCGGAGGACGGAGAATCAATTGCCGATTTCAAAACTTTGGCAAGAGAGGATTGTCGGAGACTGGGTATCTCAGATGCTTCAACTTTCACTTCGTCGTTGTTTCCGGACCGCTCTTCCTCTGTAATGTAATTATCAGTCAAAGGTTCCAATTGAATTGGAAATCAAATGTCAGGGATACATCAAGGTGGAAGACTAGTTCAGCTCGCACTAACCTGCAATAATTTCATCAACATGGAGCTGTTCAAGCTCCTCATCGTGTGCTACCATAATTACCCATGAATGATTAGGCCACGCACTATACAAATCTCGGCAATCAATCAACGGTAACGTTTCGAAGCTTTTAACCAAATCTCCAAACGCCTCCTGATTCTCCGGGGTTGCTTTATAGTATCCCGAAAGATATTGAGGCCCAGTCAGTGGTGTCATGCTGGGAGGTAGCACTCTTGTCTCCTGTGTCCCATCTCCATCATACTCATTCTCAGAATACATTGGTACAATATTCACGAAACAATAACGTACTCTCTCCAAATCAGTGATATCCAATACCGTAATTCCATCATCATTGTCGCCTTCATCAAACGACGTATCAAAAGGAAGAACATGCACTCGGGCAAGGTAATCTTCCTTCACATTTAGCGCAGTCCCGACCGTCAAACATGTAAGAATGAATGGGAATAGGACTTCGGCCACAGTCTTAATCTGATACTTCAGCCCTCCCTCTCTCACCCAGTCTTCTTCTGTCAGACGAGCTGCGTGACGAAGCTCGTGCGATAGTGCGATTCGGTTGGCGGGCGATTGAAAGATTTGCTGGATGTTCAGACACGTTGAGGGCGGTGGCTCCGTAGAGCCATTCTGGTTCATGTTAGAATGTATTCTTAAATAAATGTGAGGGTAAAATGGCGAGGCAAGGCAAGGGAAAAGAGCATCTCACGGTGGTGCAATGCAGCTAGTCCACGGTATCGGCCATTGATTTTGGCGATGATGAAGAGTTGATGTCTCTGTCCCATCTTGAACGACTGTTTTATTTATTCGATCTGTGTATTGGGTTTCATTCAGATGTAGAGGTAGAGGTGTACTTGTGTATTTGCCAAAAGTATGTGAGAAGAGAGAAGAGAGAAGAAGAGAAGAAGAGAAAGAGTTACACAGAATGAGGGGAAACAACTTTCTTTTTGTGCTTGTCACGTTATTTACGCGTTAATGCGTGCCTCTCAATTAGGCAGCAGGAGATAATGATTGTGTATATGCAAGGAATCATAACTACACCGCCTTTGCCCCGCAGAGGACTGTAGTAAGTATACCTAGTAGGGCATATAAATACGGCTGGCTATATACATATACTCAAATTGCCGAGAGTCCATTTGATTTGATGAGAATCTTTGGCACCCGGAAGCCACTTGTCTCGGAAACGCGCAGGCAAATAAACGAGCCGAATTCCATGGGACAGCGGATCTAGACTGTCAATTCCGATAGTTTGGACTGAATCTAGCAAATAAATCTTTTTGATATACCGGTATCGAATTTGTCTTTTTTATGGGATTCAGTAGTACTGAAATATATCAATGAGATTCCTTCTCTACTGATTTCAGTTGAAGCAAATCTTGTTTTGTGTACGTTCTCATGCCCTGCTTGTTTATCTTCGTTCTTCAACTTCCGGGTAGATATGACCTCTTCTAAAAAATGAAATAATATGTTTCATATACTGGTTGCTCAAACTTCGATATTTGGAACTTTAGTCACCTTGGATACTCTCCTCGGAAAGTTAGTCCTTATCTATAGCAGCCCATTCGGAGTCTTCAGACTCGGAAAGTTCTGACTCTGAACTTGGTGACGTGCCTGTCTTTTTAGTGGCATGTACAAGGCAGTACATACAAGTTTGAATAAAATGACCCCAGCCTTTTCTGATTTCCAATATTGGTATATTTTTGCGAATGAAATCTGAGTAGTATCCAGTAGATATCAAGACCCGGGACTCGGGAAGTCATTTATTAGCGTGACTAGCAATATGTCGTTATGTTTTGATTTGTCACGAAGACTTACAATTTCCAACACGGCAACACCCCGGATTTCCTTGAGGATTTTAAAGTCCCGAAAACATTTTCATGTAATGAATCAAAAGGATCCAGGTGAAAGATTTGCTGGGCCTCCAGCTGTTTGGCTAAAAATATCATGCAGCTGCAGAGCTTGTGATAATCGCGGGGGTCGAGAACATGGCAAATTTCAAGGCAGATTGAAAGATAGGCAGGAGAGGTGAAAGCTTAATCATTTGCAGGTAGTTCTACGACTAGGCAATGGAACCTTTCTCTCATTAGCTTCTGTGTTCTGATAGAAGCGTCGCGGGGCGCCAACAGTGATACCGTGACTGGAAAAAGACCTCAAGATTGTAAGGAGGAATAACAAACCTTGAAGAACACTTAAAATCAGATGTTACTCTTCAATAACACGTGTATACCATGTTTTCCATGGGTAAGCACCGTATAGCACAGGAGGATCGAGAAGGCCTAGCTTTTTCAAACCTCGGTCCCATTTTTTTCAATTATCTCTATAATACTTTTATTCATAGCCATAGGCGCTCACATATTCTTCAACATTCAGAGGATACATCTCTGAGGCTCCAGAGTCTTTGATCATTCCCCAACCTTGAAGGTAGGAGTCGGAGTAAACATTGACGAAGCAGTACCAGTTTTTGTCGAGGTCTGTTACATCCAAAACAGGAATCTCTTCATTATTGTCGGTTACATCGAATCGAAGAATGTATAAATCCAGAGAATCAGTCGTGAATGAGTGGACATCTTAGCTTGAACTCAATTCACATGGCAAGGCTTGTGGTCGTGCAAACAAATGGATTGTTTAAACCTTTGGTATTCCAATCGCATTCTCGGAGACGTGTTACCTAGCCATTTTCATGCACAAGACAGATCTTGTTATGACCATCTCGAAACAATCCCACCTTTCGTGTGGATTATTAATTTGATATTATGTGATCCGAACATAGATTTTAAGACAAAGTACGTGTGTGTGAAGAAAACGAATGTTGGGAGGAGAATTTCTGACGATGATGGACTGCTGGATAAAAGGCGAGGAGTGGTTCATTTATGATGGTACAGAACGCATACGCGTGAAGATGTAATGAGGCAGTAATCTGCAGATTTCCCCTAGTTTTGGTCCCATCCGTCACGACAGTTACGACTTGTCTATTTCGCACATACAAATGGTCGTACATGATAAGGAGTCGAATCTCAAAAGGCCGGTTGGCGATAGCTCTGATAGATTGTGAATACATGGATAAGTAGCTGTAATAGGAAAGAGTTGAAACATCCTCACAAGGTTAGAGAAATCTGGTGCCAAGCTACTTTGAGAAGTGGTAGATAATAACTACAGAACATTTTGACCAAGATGATTCTAATGCAAGAAACATATCGTTAGTAGATAATTCTAGAGAAAAATGAAGTGACAATCGGACTGAACTGGCTCAAATGAAGAAGGAACCAGCATATTGACCTTTTCTCGTATTTGGTGTCATACTTTGTCTTGTTTTGTAGCACACAATGCTTGCACTAACTAGGAATCTTTCCGCCAACAATGGAATTTCTTCACTGCCCTTCGCTACTGAGGCTTTTTAGGATAGAAAACAAAGTCAATAACATGCAATGGCACTTCTTCATGCACGCTAATATCTCTAAGGTTGAAACTGGAGAGAAGAAGAGACGTTTCCTATTTCCTTCTTTGATATAAGGAACCATTTTCAACTCTGAACTAAAAGAGTATTAACAAAGTAATAATGTAAACTAAACACAAAAGTATAAGCATGAAAGACATTGCCATCGTAAAAGGCCTTCTCTGTTAGCTTCAGCAGTGTTAATATTAGCTCCAACAAAAGATCTCAATATGAATGCAGCAACAGATTCTTGATGGTAGTATTACTTGCTATGCTATAATATGTACTAATCAGCTCTACTATTTGTAGCAAAAAACGAGATTCGGAGTCACGGAAAACCATTTCGTCCCAATAATTCATACCAGATGAATGTCGCAACCCCAATACTGACTTGAATTTGCCCCAAATATGCATTCTTTACAAGCGTTCCAGCGCTCCTCTACCAGTCGTGACACAAATGCTGTTGAAAGTATCGATTTTGTCACTTGTCTCCTATGAATGTTCCACTACCATTCATGATTCAGCACCCTCCCGAAGTACCACCACTAAAAGAAGTTCCTCCCTACTCGAAGACTCTCAAGCTCAACTTGCCTTCTTCATCTTGCATCATGACATAGAGCTTGGCCTCCTTTACGACTTCCATTACTTCCGCCTTGCTACACATCTGCAGGTCCAATGAACCAGTGCATTTCTCCCAGCTAGCTCGAGCTTGCTGCATCATCGTCTTCTTTTCCTCGCCTATAGCAGCCATTTGGAGAAACTCGTCAATATCAGCCACTGCCAGTCTTGGTTCTTTTTCCTCTTCAAACGCGACTGAAGCTTTACGCTTCTTACCGCGGTTTGTGTTGGGGTAAGTTTCGGCGTAAGATTCCGCCCTAATAAATGCATATTTTTGGTGGAACTTTTCTTCGACTGCTGTTAAATCCGGCTTATACGATTGGCAAATGACCATCAAGTTCCATTTACCTACGTTCAATAGTCTAGGAGTTTGACGATGATTCTTCGTCCGCTCCTCCGCCTTGTCACCTTCATCCTCGCTTGTTAAGTTGAATTCAAACAGAGCATTGGATATCGGCGCAATCTTCATCTCGCCGTCTATTTCCGACATTGCCATGGATTTGGCCAGAATGCGCATACCGTGTGACATGTGTTTTCGATTCGTACCTGGCATAGATGTAACTCGAATAAAATTTGCAAGTCCGTTAACCATAGATGGGAGTGTTAGGTTAACCTCTTGGAGATTCAAGCCATACAAGCCTGCTTTGTATGCCTCCTCGAGATGTGATGTCTCCGGGCTACGGCGTATGACGTAAATAACTTGGGTAACCAAAAAGTGCGGGTATTTGACACCATCATATCGAGAGCTATCAATGGTTGACATGAATGGCAGAGAATATAATTCCGAGTCATGATACTCCGATACTTTTGTTTCTCGAAGGAGTTCCATCTTCTTAGCGAATGTTATTCTTGGGGTATCAAGAAGATGGAGGGCTTTGAGGTTGGGAAAGGCGTTGAGAATCGTAGTTAGAACTTTATAATCAATTAATCTATTGCCGGACAGACTTAACGATGTAACATGTAGTCGGTTCTTTGAACGCATTACTTTTTCTAGCACATGTAGAAGTCGCTTTGGAGTTAGATCGTAAAAGGGACTTAGGTCTATTTCAGACATGTTTTCCAACGCCTTACCCAAAATCTCCCTTGAAATAGGAAACACTAAACATGGAGGATGTGCGCGAGCCATAGAGATTGCTGCCGAGGAGAAGTAGTATAGCTGCGACACGCGTTTCAAGGCTCGTGGAAAGTCCGCAAGTCGTCCTAGAGATATGGTGTTGAAGAACTTTGTCAAAGCTTGACTCTGTAATGAAAGTGGTCTGGCAACTGGAGCAGGAGATTGGTATTGGTTCGCTGTAAGGATCTCTTCAGTTAGATATTTAACCTTATATGGCCTGATAATGTAAGATTGTAAGGGATATGCGAACCTTGGGGGTGGTTTGATACGAGATCATAAACTTGTCCAACGAGTACCATCCACTCTACCTCCGGCCAAACAGCATTCAGTGTGTAGGCGTCAACAACTTCTATCTCGTCAAGAAATGGATCGTAATTCTGATAAAGTGTCGCCTCTACGCCTTTTCGAGCATGATGTCCTCCGGTGAAGAAGACACTTGCGGATAGAGGCGTCATGCGCGGTGTATTCTGCTGGTCTAAGAATCTCCATGCGAAAGATCCCATAAGTAAGAAGCAATACCGAATTTGCTTTAGATCTGTGATATCAAAAACGAGATGAGGTTGCTTTATCTCCAGCTCATTATCAAATCTTCTCTTTGAAATTGTATTGTTGGCGGCATCATAACCAATGGAAGGCACAAATGTAAATCCTAGGACGAGGCAAGTAAGAATAAAAGGAAACGGATTATCGAGACGATTGGTTTTTGCAGCCCATTCTTCATATTGAAAGCGTGTCGCAAATCGGAGTTCATGCTCTAATTGGAGTCTGTTGCTTGTTGAAGAAAGTATCTTGATTATATTTGTGCATAGGTTGAATATAACTTCGTGGATGCGTCCTAAGTAGTAGGTTCAATTTAGCAGTTGCTTCATTGAAGGCCGATTTCGTATCCTGAAGGAGCTCGAGGAGAGCGAGTATTGATCAAAAATGAAATTACTTACCACTTCGACTCCGAATACAGGCCAGCTGGCGAAAGTTCTGGCCAGCCTTTGCAATAACTACCACGTTCATCTTGAACTTACTCAGAGGTTGTTAATAATTTCAAAATTCTTTGTTGTTGATGTCGTTGTTGAGTTGGCGGAGGTGGAGGTGGAGGTGGAGTTGAAGAGGAATTCCAAGGTACTCGAACTATGGGTAGAAAAGCTCAAGCCCCAAGTAAGTATCCCGGTGTGCCTAGACGGTGACAATCTTAAAGATCCTGCATTCCGGAACTTGTCCTTGATTCTACTAGTTATAAATACACAGAATGTTGTACCTTAAGCGAGGGGGTAACTTGACTAGCCCCTCTAGATGGTGAACATTCACTGAAGCAACACAACATCCTGTGGAAATTTCAACTTTCTTGGTATTATGGGAGCTAGCATCATGTAAGGAATGCTATTCTGAGTAAATTTTCAATATATGTGTAAGGCCTGACAAAGTTTAAATAGATAACAATGAACATCCAAGTGGTTCAATGATACTCATGAAACTCCTCTTTTGAACTATATGATACAATGTATGACATTTCGAGTAGATTTATGATATAAAGAGCAGCAACTGCGAAGATTCGAGAAGATAGCAGCATATTAGCAACTAATTACATGGTATTAACGTCAATTCACATATTTGTTCCAATGACATCCTGTCGAGATCTCTGTTTTCTTCCATAACACTGGGACTAGGATCCATCTGAATATGACGAGATATTGAATTCCATTCCAATAGAGCTAGGATATGAAGAGCATCGTTCTATCAAGATCTCACAAGATACAACATGTGTTTGATTGATCAATTTTGTGTTTCCAACAATACTTCACAACCTTGATCTGAGAATCTGCCGTGAAAGCCACCAGCTTCTTTGTTATGGATTGCAGAGTAACATCTATTCTGTTTATCCAATAGTCCTGAAGAGAAAATATCAAAACCATCTAGTCCATTTCGGACCAGATATGCTAAGAATGTCACCTTTTTGCTTAAAAATCATTAAATATCTATCTAGTCTAAATTCATATCCTGAAAATCTTAGACCAGCTGGACTATTGGTGAGACTGCAGCTATCTAGGTCCAATGACAAAGGACTAATGTTCTAACCATCTCAACCTACTAAACATATTCTTCCAGTTATATTCATAGACAATATCAGTCATCTAGACCATTCCCAGATATTAATACTACTTCACGAGTTTGATATGACTATAAAGTGTGAAAGTCCATCGACTGTATGACAATTTTACTTTGTTTGCAAAAACTATACGGAACGCCTCCTATTGATAGAGAAAAAGTAGTCTAGTCATAAGAAGATTATGCTTTCTATAACCACATCTGAGTGACATCTGAAATTAGCAACAGACTTTAGTAAATCTATACCTTTCTGAATGGCTGCATTTCCCATGGCCAACAATTGAGAAATGCTGAATGAGTTCTCGGGTCTAGTTTGAGGGTCCAGTGACAGCATTAGGCATAATATCATCTATATATCTGAAAGTATATGTGACCCATAAGATAGAAGGATCTTCATCTAAAGTTCAATTTCTTCAGCAATAATATCAATATCGAATGGACTGATGAAAAGTGGTTAGATTACTTCTTTATTCCAGACAGAGTGAGATGGCTGGAATAATTCTCGAACTGGTCAAAGATTGAGTCTGCTGCCTCTTTGCGGGTCTCATAAGACTTCATCTTCTCGTACGACTTGCTTGATGTTACTTTACATTGTATTAAGGAATGGCTTTAGTTATCGGGTTGGAGCTTTTCAAGGAGTCTGTGTATCAAAAGATGGACAGAACTTTACAAATGAGTCTGATATCATCAAGCTTCGGGACGTAAAAAGACTTATTTGAGCCGTCCTGTCTAATTGTCCATGATGATGATATGGAGAAGTTCTGGGAATCTAGGTAAAATTGGTGTGTTATCGGTATGTATCTTCAGGGGACTATCGAGGGTCGAGGGTTAGTCCAGTTCTCTGGCCATCCTGAAAGTTCGAGACGGTGATTAGTAAGAGTTGAATTCTACAGATTCATGTTTAGCGTCGCAGGCTTGCCGTTTGCCAGTTTGCAAGGTAATGATCCCCAAAAGGATATTGATCATGGCGGTGGGAATGCACATGTCATATTAGTCTGCAACTCGTACCCTGAGAAAGTATCACTTCTGGTTTCGATACAAATTTTAGGTGTTCCGAACTAGCTGTCCCCCTTAGGCATTTCGGCTAGTTTTCCTTACTCTTTTTCTTGCCACCCCCCTTAGCTAACTCGACTAGTCTTTATAACCCCCCAAAGGTTTATCTACTGTCTACTTCTAGCTCCCAAAGCCCTCAACACTAAGACGATTTTCTTTTGATTTTTAATAATAATTGTATAAAATACTACCGGTAGTATCATTTGAGGGCTACATCATCATAGAATACCAAAGATCTACTTTGTGTGTTACGGAAAAGGTCGGTTTTTTTTAAAGGAAAAGAATTGATTGTACACTTCTAGCCCATAAAAACATGCTTTGCTTGCCACCACAGGAAAAAAAGGGTGATAAAGCCATCACAATTGTATTGAAGGGGACGAGAGGTTGTTACGCTCTTCTGAATTTCTTTATGATTATGTTGTATCTTAAGTGGGGGATGTTGATTTTTAATTTATAAAAGTTTTGTCGCTTGTGGGAAGTTTCTACGAAGCTGGAATCTCTAGGGATCTATAGGATCAATTGGCCGGAGAGACCAGTACTAGCTGCAAAATCTTCCTAAAATTTCTGAAACTAATAATTCAATTGTATGAGATGCTAACACGTGCGAAACATGGAGGCTATATCGTGTCAGCAAAGATCGAAAGGTAGAGGAGTGAACTGACCAAATGCGCATCTCCTTTCTCCTATCCTTTTTCTCTACTCCTAGATTCCCATTCTCGTTTGCTATAATTAGGACTTTTTGGCCTACTTTCATCGTCTGAATGACTCTTAAGACTTTGTCAGAAAGACAATGTGCACCTTTATGGTCTTCGTACCACCCATCGTAATCAATGGAAAGAGTCACCAGCCCGACTTCTTCAGACGGCGATGGCATGCTAATACCACTTGTTAGCACTGCTCAAGGTGAGTGTTAGGAATATGTTACCAAAAATTGACATACTGTGTGAGTCTCTGGAAAACGAATCTTGTCACGACGCCACCAAGCTGGAGGCTCACCATGTCCCTGTTACCCAGCTTTTGGCCGCTGCACCCCTTCTCGCATTCATAAACGCCACCACCAAGAAGAATTATATTAGAAGCTTCTGTATTCCTCTCTTTTTTTACGCTGAGCGTATAGCTATCTAATTGGATACATATTTTCTGGCTGAGCGGTAGTTGCACAAGCGCCTTGGTTGGAAGACCCTGGAGAATGTTAGCGTTGTTCTAGTCACGGTCTAGTACACCATACCAAATCTGGCTGCAACCCAATTGGAAGGAAGGTCATCATTTGACCGATCAAGTTGGCGATATAGAAGCGATCGATATCTTTATCGGTGATGGCTTTGGACCTGGGAAGGGCGTTGAGTATCGTTTGCAAGTCGAAGTTCCCAAAGCAGTTTGACCCAGTAACGCCAACAAGAGAACCTTAGAAGTTGAGATCATCAATAGCCGTGTACCCTTGATCGAACTTGAGTTGGTGAGAATCCTCTGTGCAACCAGCAAGTATGAGCAAGCGGCGTACAAGTCCAATTGTTTGAGTTTCTGTTTTTCAATTTCGGTATTTTGCAGACGCGGCCAGAAACAGGTCTGTGTGATCTTTCATAAAGGCTTGCAGCAGACTATCTTCGTCTTTCTCAAGTATTTGGATGGCCGAGTTAGTATTGTAGTCTTTTAGTAAAGCTAGAGCGAGCAACAGAAAACACAGGGTAAATTTTCTGGCAACTATAGGCTCAGATACCTGATGACAGTCAGTGTTATTACCTATAAACGAAGTGCGCATTGAGGTCACCAGTATGTCGCGGCTCAAGATAGCCCACTCAAGTGCTATTTCCAGGTTTGGCGGGGCAACTGAGCGAAGGCATAATCCGAGTCCCCGACTGCTTCGAGACCAAATCGCCTCATGGGCATTTTCGAGAAAGCGAATAGAAGATCTTCTTCTCGCCCCTCATACACCATATAGGCACACTTCTATATCCGTTGGCTGCGTTGGATCGTAAAGGAACAGGGGTTCGAACTCAATGCTGTTGAGAAACTGAAACTTGTGATGAAAAAGCCATGGAATATATAGTTCATCAATGGCAATTTCGTAAAACCTGTCGACCCTTTTCCCAAGAACATATATTCCTGGTGTTGACACTGCTTTGCTCCAGTCCGAATCTTGTGGCTCAATATCGTCTGCTGCCATGTAGCAAAACTTCCATGCGTTCTTGCTTGGAGGTCTGCAAACAAGTTGGCCAATATCAAGAGAGGTTCGCTCACATTTCTGTCAAGTAATGGTGAGTCCGGGTCTGTTGAAAAATTCTGGGTAGCCTCTTACCTGCTGAAGATCTTTAAAATTCGGAGCCGGCAGCAATGAAATGAGTGAAGGCATCTCGAGTGGTTTAAAATTTACAACAAAGCGAGGCGGCCACTCTGCCTGACAAAGGAGACCTTTATGTTAGAAACATAATATGCACAAGCATGCAAACTATGGGCGCAGGTAGATAAGAGTCTGCTACTTTAGAACACCTTTCCAATACCATAACGTCTTTGGGCATGGGATCTGCAGTTTCTGCGCCGACATCTCATGCAAGATCATTGAAGCGGGCTTACCCAAATTGGGTCGAGTCTCCAACGAAGGGATCCATAGGAGCCACCCGAGCTCCAATGCAGGGGTCACTGGAGCGAGCTAGTCCAATATTGTCTAATTGTCTTTAGCCGAGATCATTGAAGGCTCAGATAATTATCTACCTGCCAGCTCAAGATTCAATGAATGCCATTGCATTGCCTCTTTCCTAAGTTAGTAGTGAGTATAAATGGGTTGCCAGCGTGCTCCCTTCTGTTAGATGTCAAGAAATCCTTGAAATTGTTTGACTGAGACCTGTGCATATAGCCTCCCATAACATTACCAGTTACCAGACTTTAACTCCTACTCGGTCGGAAAGCCACCCAAGAATCTTAGCATTGTTGCCGGGTGCCGTCCTTCTAGGTCATTCCCGAGAGTATGACAGTGGATATGGCTTCCCGTTCCTAGAGCTCCAATTTCTTCAAACCGAGTCCACGTCTATCTTCAATTTTTGTATCCAATTTGAAATTTTCTCATCATACAAGCCAACTTCTTGCCAATACTAGTATTTCACTCCTCTAAAATGCTAGAAGCCGTCCAGTGCGAAAATGGAGTACACACTCAGCTCCACGATCTCTTGCAAAATTTAGACGCTCGCTCTCGTCGTAATAAGTCTTTGAATTGTGTTCATGCAGAGATACCTCGTTAGTCCTCCTTGTTGCTGTGGGAAATTGATAATAGTGAGCAATACCCAAATTCTATATCGATTTCGCTATTTACCAACGGTTGATTTGCATCCTTCCACAATACAATATGGGGTCAACATGGCTGTACCTACTGATCGCGAGAATTTCATCACATTAATGAAGTCGAGTCGAAGATTTATTTCGATGGGTCTGCAACATGTGCCAAAGCGGTCCTCGCTGGTACATACTCGAGTGCAAAGACCTTATACTTTATGAATTCTATATTGACGGGAGCAAGCTTAGACCATTCCTTCCGCAACAGAGAAGGCAAGAAGGGTAAGGGAATTACAGTCCAAACACACGAGATACCAACAGGAAGTAGGCGTCAATGCGAGCCAAACCGATATCCATACGTTCTGCGCTTCATTCGGCGAGGGACTGGGCTATGGGAACATACGTAAGAATGGCCCAAATACGCAGTGGAAGAGACCGCTTGACCTCGTTGTTTATATGAACTATCCTAGCCCTCCACTATAGTGCAGTATAGTGTAATTCTCCCCTTCAGAGCTTCTACAAATCATCCGCGCGGGCCCGGATCGCCCACTGGCTGGGGAGGAGGCGAAATCTTTAATTTTCGACCATGGTTCTCAACTACGCTTGGGATATCTTGCGCTAGCTTCTTTGGTACGTTATTTTGGCGCATATCTTGAGTGATTGTTTCGCAGTACTTCTGGCTGTTGCTCGACCACTAAAACAAGACTTGTGTCACGACTCACGTTAGTAGACTATAGACCTGAGGCTCGGCAAAGGCGCACTGAACCGGAAAAGCCAATAGTCGGGGAAATTATGGACACCGAGTACCTTGGAATACCAGGAGTGTGAGCCTGTGGGATAGTGACAAGAGGGTAAGCCCGCGATTTATGGGATTTGTTTTCTTCAAATCCTTTTTCCATAGAACATTACCTCCGCTCTACCTTCCAATGAGAACAGTATAAATGATGCGGTTCTTCCACCGCAATGACGACCACACTGTCGACCCTCCTCCGGCATAAACACTAATCAGAATCTAACAGACAGAGCGCGCCGCTCACCAAGTGGAGACTCCCTATTATCAAGGCTTGCATACCGCTATTCTGATTACCGAGTTCCCTAGCCCGATCTAAAGCACTTTCAACTGTCCGCTCGCGTATTACCGTAGCCGTAGGATCCAAACCTTTCCAAGTCTCGGCATAACGCTCTTGGACGTCTGCCGAGAAATTATTTTTCAGATTTCTATCTATAAAGACGATTAGCTCGTGTTCTATCCTGAAGTATGTTGGCACATACCAATCCTTGTTTGGCCATCTCGCCTTTCATCATATGTGGTAAAAATGACGTATTGCATATGAATGTTATGATTTTGTAGAGATTCGGCGATGCTACGCAGAAGTGCCACGCCATCTCGGGCTGAAATTTGACTAAATATAAGAATGCGCGTGGAAGTGACAGCATGACTACGGAGGGTTAATATGCAGTCTACGTCTCACAGGCTAACACCATAACCTACTTTTGTTTCCCCGTGGCCGTTTCGGCGAACCACTTCACAGCATGTCGCAAGCTCAAATCATTATGCGCTCCATCAAGAAACCACTGACAATTCCGCTCGTTGATTTGCTGATACCGTCCTGGCCAGGCAAAATGCTCGATGCCACAAGCAATGTTATCTTCCATTATAGCTTGCATCTTAGGTGCCTTCAAAGCTATCCAAGCCCGGGCTACTGCGAGGGCCAAAGAGCAGTTTATTTTCTGGACTTTGGGCTGTAGCGCCGCCGCGCTGGTCGGAAGTGCAGAGTCGACGCCGATAAACTTAAGCCTAACTCCTTTCTCGGCCGCTCGCTGCTCAAGTACCATAGCAACCTCTGGTTCCTGAAGAGCTGAGAAGGCTAGACTACCTGATTGAAGATCCCTGCCTTGTTCCAGGAAATTTTTTGGATTGTTGGACCGAGCAGACTGACGTGATCCATTGCAATTGGTGTAACGGCTGTCACAAGCGGCATCCTTATGACATTCGTTGCATCAAATTCTCCACCAAGGTGAGTCTCATAAATTGCCACATTTACTTTTTCCTCAATAAAGACATGGAAAGAGAGGAGAGTCAAGAGCTGGAGATATCGAGGAATATCCAATATCGGGGTGGCCTGGCCTGGCAACTTATCCCAGATTTCGAAGAACCGCATCGTAAAATGCTCCTTCGATATAGGCTCGCCATTGATGCGAATCCTCTCACGTATATTTTTCATGTGTGGCGATGTGTAGAGCCCAATGTTTTGCGGGTATCCAGTGTCATTGCCGTAAGCCTTGAGGAACGACGCCGCGAATGCACAGGTGCTTCCCTTACCATTCGTCTCTGAGACGTGTATAGCATTCAGACCATTCAAATTTTCAACCTGTTGTTATATTTAGCAACATCTTTAGACCATTAACGAACTTCATCCTGTACTGAGTGACCAAGTAGTTCCAGCCATTCAACCATGTCATCCGAGCCCCGCATATCGTCCAACTTGAGCTTCAGAGACGCTTTCCTGCTATTTAGGCAGCGTATGGCTTCCTGTATTCGGTTATTATACTAGGGAGATATTTCTGTATTGCATATTTTACCTCGTAGCTTCTCTCCATTTTCGTCTCACACTCCGCGATATGAGTGTCAGAAAGGTGCTTCCCGTTGGCAACGTTTTAGAAGCCGCAACTACTTCGATCTATTCCGATATATTTAAGAGTCGAGATAGAGCCTTTATACTCAGTTTTATAACTGGTTTCTAGAATGTGGATAAAGTGACATCGATGAACCGTGGCTTATCATTGTTAATCACCTGACCATTGCTAGATATGTTGACACTTGTACGAGCAATCTTCCTCACTGATCACTAATTGAATTCAGCATCTGCCTTGTAGCAAAACATTTCTTCTGAGATCGTTCTCAAATCGCCTGTAGAGCTCGTGAATAGATACCCGCGTGACGCATCCTTCTGTCTGCAATCATCTGCACGACAACTCTTCTTCCCAACAAATTAGTTCATTCTTACCCAAAACCCTTAAAGTCCTAGAATCTCAGTTTCGTCTGGAGTTACAAATATCGTCTTTACTGGAGCTTTACCTCGGAAGGGCAATATGTCATCCAAGATGCGTCTGATAGTCTGTATGTGGAGGTCGATACCGAAGGCGCGTTCCAAAAACGTGGAGGATATACCGGTAGTTGCACGACGGGCTACTTTGGATGTCACCAGACTATCTCATATTTCGCTTCCAAAAGAGCCGATCATATTTTACGCTCACCATGTATTTCATGAATTCTCGAAAGATACAATAGGATTGGGCAACTATAATTGAAGAATTCCGGGTTGATTGCTGAAACTCTTTGTTGAGATGCTGAACAGACACATTCTTGACCGGATTCATTTCTCGAAGGTTATGTCTTATATTTTGCAGAGGATCTTTTCGCTGCCAAACTAATCTAGGGCATCAAGGTCAAAATTCACTCCTTTCAATATCTTTGGGCACGTGCTAGGGGAAATACCAGCTCGATCTTCACCATCTCGGTCAAATTCGAGGGATTTATCGGTCACGGCCCCTCAACAATGTCAACAATCACTGAGGATACATCAAATTGGGCAGGCAGCACCTGTTCCAATATCCAACATTTCTTTTCCCGAGTAAAAGTTCCCTCAGGTACAACAATATCAATAGTCATCTGATATCTCAACCGACCAAGATATAGCAAGCATTCCGTATCAGTATATGCCTAGTCCGCGACCCAATATCTATTCTCCCGGCGACAGCAAATCTTCTCAATCTGTCCTAGCTTCCTCGAAAGGCCTCACCAACACTTTGCCGGTTCTCATGTATTCTCTGGGTTGTTCCCAACTTCGACAAGACATACTGTTTCGTGGAGTCTTCTACAGAACTGATGACCGTGACAATTGCATGAGTTCAAACCATATGGCACTGGCTCTAACGAGCACATCGCATGTCTCTTTTCAAGCTAGACCAATATCGAGCAAACTATCGAGGTATACATTCAGCTCAGTTTGTTTGTGCTGGGTGCGTTAGAGGATGGTCAGCTGGTATACTCGATCAGAGACCAGTCATGGCATCAAATATCCCAACTATTTGAATTTGAGGAGCTGCAGCTACTAAGGTTGATATTCACAGCTCATATCTATCTCTAAATAAGATGCTATCATGATAGCCTTCGAAACTTAGATGGGTCACGGCTTCTAGGCTAGCGTTACCATCGACTCGAAAGAGATAACATCATACTGTGTGTACTGACGCTTACTTCTTCTCCGGACGAAAAGCGCAATATTGAGCAAAAACTTCGACAAAGAAGAGTTATGAAGAATTTGACGGTACTCTATGGACTAGAGCTACAAGTGGTTCGATTAAAGAACACTGTACGCGGCATGGTATCATGATACGAGGTTAAAATCTGAACACGCACTATCTCGAGGCGTGTCTCAAGACGATCCCTGGCGATACAGGTCGTTATCATGTGATATACCACCTAGGCGATGTCTACTCCGTACTGTGAACTGTAACTCCCAAAGGAGGCTGAAAGATTGATTCTTGACGAGATTAAGCAGCTAGAAGCTCATGGCAAGCAAAACTCAAAAGCTTTTCGACGTCTGGCTCTTCCGTTGGCAGAGGCCTACATCCAGCAAGGAACATTAGAGGTAGCTAAGGCCCTCCTCCAAGGACTTCTCGTCACGTTTGAAGGAATGACCAACCATGATTTGCCTGATCAATTAGGTCATGTTCGTTTACTGATTGGCCTAGCACGCATCGATTAGTCTCGGGCGCGAGGGTATTAGCTGACCAGAAAGTTGCATGTGTTCACTTGAGCAAAGTATACCTGTACCTGCTGCATTGAAACAGGAATGATGTTCGTAATAAGAATACATATTTTCAATAATATACAAAAACAAATATCCATCCCATATGCTACCTACAAGCTAAACATATACAAAACAAATATGACCCTTCCTCCCTCAAATATTCGCCCTCTTCTTAATCCCTACCATACACTCCAACGGTTTTCTCAGAAACCCCTCTCTCGTCTCCAACACGTCCTGATACAAATCAAAGTCATATCTCCTAAACGTAGTAGCCACAATCAGGGCCAATTCCATCTCGGCTACATTTCTTCCCACACAACTTCTTGGTCCATAACTGAATGGGATGAAAGCATTCTTTTGCCTTTCGGTCAAGTTATCCCATCGATCTGGTACGAAATCATCCGCGTTACTTCCCCAGATTTCTTTGGAGTGATGAATTGTGTAGGCTGGTACCGAGAGGACTGTATTACCTGGGAAGAAACGTCCGCATACTTCGGCCCCTCCGGGAGGAACGGTACGAGGGAGTCCGAGCGATGAAGTGGAATGAATACGGAGACTTTCTTGGATGACATTGTTCATGTATTTCAGATCCTTGACCATATCGAAATTGGGGACATCGACGCCCACAGGAATTGCATTGTCTAATTCCTTTTGGAGTTTTTGAAGGACACCGGGAGTTTTACAAATCCAATAGAGAATTGCACATGAAGTATTGGATGTAGTATCCGAGCCAGCAATAAGTTGAGTCAGAGCTTCCGCAGTTAATTCTTGGCGGCCAAGTTTGGCACCTGTCTCATCTTTGCCTTCCATAAGTCTGGCGAGAAGATCAACACGACCATCCTCTTTCTCACCATCGAGACGTTGGCTCACTCGAGCAACAGCAATGCCAGCCAAGTTTTGAACTGCAGCGAGACCTTGACTGAAGAAAGGATCTGGTAAGTATTTGGCGTATGGTTTGAGTTGTGGCAAGCATCCAAGTGTGCCAGAAACTTCACCACGGCGATTAAGAACTTCGACAGCCGGGGCGTAAGTGATTGGTCCATCAGGGGTCTTTCTGATGGCCGTGATATCCTTTCCCTGTTCTAGCATGCCAAATGAAGCTCCGAATGCAAGGTCACCGATGATGTCGAAAGCGAGATAGTTGAACCACTGCAAAATAGATTTGTTAGTGTAGGGCGAGAAATCCCATACAAGAGAATTGGACGTACGTGAAGACAGTCAAGTTTAGCATATTGACCATGCGCATTATCCGCCATTGCATCCCATCGGTTGACAAACAAATCTAGATTTCCATGCATATATTGTTCGAAGTGGCCAATACTTTTAGTCGAAAAGGTATGCGAAATAGTCTTGCGCTTTCTTGTATGTTCGACACGATCTCGAGTATTGAACAAACCTCTCTGAATAGAGACGAAAGCATCGTAGTAGTCTCTGTACAGGAAAAAAAAAAACCGATTAGCCATTGAAAACGTCCCTCCCTAACCAATCAAACACTTACGACTTCAAGAATCCATTGCTATGACCATAAATCGACTGAATGGCAGAATCATCTGCGATACTGATATGATCCGGCTGGATCCTAACCATTTTTCCATACTTCGCGTGAGCAGCATGAACACTGAGATATCGATACCCCAGACGAGCTTGTAGCAGCAGCCATAACCTTGAGAATTTCGCTGCAAAGGGTCCTGGGATGTTTTTAATGGCGGTATTGGATGTGAGATATGGCACAACAAAGAAGAGTACCAATGCAATTGAGATTGCATAGGGCGTAAGAAGGAAATCGACGACAGCCATGGTAGGCTAGAGCTAAGGCTGAGATGCTTTTGCTGGAATGAATGTGCTATATATTAATAGATTGAGGGGTACTTTCGTGAATCGAAAAATATCTGTCTTCACACCTCAATTAAAATGTAAGGATAACTTCAACCAAAATCTAACAGCGACATTGAGCTCAATTATAGTTTAGTTTGATTTGGTTTGGTTTGTTGTACTTGAAGTTCTCAAAAGTGCCGACTAGACATCCGTCTTCAACCCCGCAATTTTCATTTTGTCGCATCCGCCAACCCCATGTTCTCGGGTCCACGCTAAATAAGTCATATCGACTCCTTTGGCCAATAATGAACAGCTTCATAGTCATCATCCGGCGAACTCTCGGAATCTTTCCACCTATTTTGCCTCAAGTGAATTGTCAAACCTGGTATTTGACTATGGGGATATCCTCTTTTATAACTCCCTTTCTTCGAAGCCGAAGAGTTTTGCGTTGCGTTGCAATCTCTTCAGAGTCCAGACTTGCTGACGTTTTGGATATTGGAGGTTACATTGACGTATACCGGTGTGTCCGGAAATCTAGCTCTAATTTTCTATAATACATATCCGTTTGCTCTGTTTTTGGCTTTTGTGGTCCGCTATAACTCATAATTGGACTTCTGAACATCCGTCTTCGTCCCGTTATCCCGCTGTATGTCATTTTCCATTGTCATTACAGTTTTCCCCTCCTGCTATCAACAGCTTCTCGAAGCTTGGCAATAACTTCAGAGGGATCCTTCGCACCAAAAACAGCACTTCCCGCAACAATCACGTTTGCTCCAGCATCTGCGGCTTGTTCAATTGTTCCGGGGCCTAATCCACCATCAACTTCGATATATAGGTCTGGGTATCGTTTTCTCAGTTCGGTGACCTTGGGCAATTCTGATACCATAAACTTTTGTCCTCCAAATCCCGGGTGGACCGTCATGACCAATACCATCTATAATTATCAGCGTCTCGTTTTGTTTTGTTTGTGGAGATGCTCACATCCGGTCGTTCCTTCTCATCGGTGTTCTCCATAATATCCCATAGCACATCAACCTTTGTATCTGGCTTAATTGCTATTCCTGCCAACATTCCATTGTCATGAATATATCGGATTAATTCCTTTGGACTTGTCTTCAATTCGCTCGTGGTTTCCGGACTTTCCGCTGCAGTGCTCGAGATTGCAGCTTCGTAGTGAAAGCAGTAAAGATCACATCCAGCCTTTTGAAATTCTTTTACCCATTTCTTTGGCTCAGCAATCATCATATGGCAATCGAATGTTCCCTTTCCGTGTTTAGCTGTTGGTCGGTCTACATGACTTCTGATCTTTGTAACAACAGGAGCTCCGAAGGTAATGTTGGGCACAAAATGCCCATCCATAATATCTACCTACAGAACAAAAAGCACCGATTAGCATCATTCTCTCATTTTGGACTGGTTCTTAAGTACATGAAGCCAATCTGCTCCTTGGGCAATTGTATCAGAACATTCTTTCCCTAATTTTGCAAAGTCTGCGGATAAAATGGATGGAGCAATAATAGCTGGAGGTGACATTTTGTTAAATAAGTCCTTGGCAGATATGCTGACAATGAAGTGAGAATTTAGAAAGAGTTTCTTGCAGATGCGAATGAAGCCTTCAAGTTTGTGAGATAAAACAAATTGGTGGGTCGGTTCCAGGTTTCCCCTTGTACTTGTACCGTGTACTTGTACTCGTCCCCCCCTCAGCTCATGGAGAAGCTCAATCAACAAATCAAGCTCACCTCAACCTTGAAGCATCAGGCAATAATATATAATATAACTCGAGTTATATACTTCTTGGTCGTCTTTGAAATTAGGAAATTAGAAATTACAGTAGGCCCCGATCTCCGATAAACGAACAAAACCCTAAATTACGCTAAGATAAGATAAGAAATGCGGGGAAATCAAATCAAGAGCAATTTTGTCTCACAATTAACTTTCGGCATTTCTACTACCGATCAGAAAACCTTATAAAATATAACCAGCAGACGAAAACCTGGATTTCAAACACATCTCATGTTTCTCACATTTCGGGGAATACAAACTATCAATATAACTTCATAGTCGTGTTGACTTGTTATGATTGATCACATATTGGTATACTTTATTGATCGATTAAACGTACCTTAGGACTCAGTCGTACGATGTGAGTTCGGATGAGGGCATAAATTGCTCAATCCCCTCTTCTCAGGTCATTTTTAGAAGTCTTGAATTACATGAATCTCTTGTCGGCTCTTGCAAGTTTGGGAGTCCATCTGCAGTCCTCCCTCATTACTTATTTAAAGGCATTCGCCAGTTTTTGATATTTGATCGATACATCAGCCATGATGACCTCTGCTCCAATGCTTCTATACTATCGATATCCGGCCGACTTGGCTGTTCCTTATCAACGTTACAGCTCTGCTGCATATCCTTCAGTCAATCTTGATGAGTAAGTGCTCACTCCTGTTCTTGTCTATCCTTCGTCCCAACAAGAGCACATTCTCTACTGCTCAAGCATGTTTGAATCACTCCAAGTGAAGGCGTAAAGAAGCACGACATTTTCTTCTTCAAAGCGAAGATTTCAGCCCGCTCTCTCTTTCCTGTTCTCCATCTCGTAGAAACTAATATCGTTTCTCCAACCCCAGCTCCGATAACGAGCCTCTTCTCCCCCATTCTCACCGTCTCTCCGCCCTCTCAACTTCCCCTTACACTCCACGCACCTACTCCCAACATATGTATGCTGCCCCCTCCTTTCTCAGCACTCCTATACGCGAAGATTCCATCATTCCCGCCATTCTTGTTGATGTTATCCCCGCCGAACGACGTTATTCTTCCCGCTCAGATAGTAGCCATGATCACGATACCATTCGACAGAACAGCAAAACGGGTCTAGTCTCAAGACTTGTAAAAAAAAGGAAGAATAAAGCGAAGAATGCTGCAGAGGAGAAAGAAAAAAGGTTAACGAAGGTGATTTATATGCCTAGGCGGGAGTATGTTATTTTCTTCATTGGCTATAGCTTATTTGAGTGTTTTTCTTGGACCTATTTCACATGATAGATAGCGTTCTGATTCCACTTATAGATACCTCAAACACTTTGCCCGCGGCCAGAGCGGCGAATATGTAGGCACCGAACCTCATCGTCGCTGGACGGAAGAAGAGCTAGAACAAACATTCGGAAAGTTCAGACCGCCCGTGAAAAGGAACAGTGGAATGTTTTGGGGACGGGGCTAGGAACGGCTATGCACATAATTTGTTTTGGTGTTATTTTGTGTTTGTGAACTTCATTGATATAGTAATGATGGGGAGGAAAGGAATGGGGCAAATTCAAATTGCACAGCGAATATCGGTCCGATCGCGGAGTACTACAATATACCCAGGATTTGAATTTGGAATCTGAGACTTAATATTTCGTTTGGGATACGGAAATCGGAGATTGGAAAATAAGGGTTGGGAACTAACTAGTCTTTGAAAATTGGCTTTGCTATCACTATTGAGTTTTTGAGTTTTGCAATAAGCAAGCAAGCATACCAACCAGTTCGCAATTCTATTCGTGTATGCGCATCTATACTTTCCCCAGAACCTGATCAAATATCCAAATCAAGCGTTCTACTTCCTCCACTAAACCCACATTAGCATCCAACCCTCCCTTCCCATTCCCAAAAGCCCAAAGAATCATATCATATAAGAGAAAGACCGAGAAAGACCGAGAAAGACCGAAAAAACTCACCACTATTATAATGCACCAAGCTAACCCTCACGACGCCCTCTCCCTTACACCCCAATACATCCTCACACAAGCGATTACTATAAAACATACCCCATCTTATCCCCACGTCCCCCTCACTCGCCGCATCCACCTGCTCCACCACCTCTCGACTGCCTTTTCCTTCAACCACAAAACTTATGGTGGATACTCGTTTACTGGTATCCCACGATTCCTGACCCAGGATTTGGATGTCGGGTCTTGGGAGGAGATATTGGAGGAGGGTTTTTTGGAGGATCTCTTCGTGGAGGCGGATGCTGTCCCAGGATTGTGAGGCGAGATAGGAGGTTACGTGTGGGATTGAGGAGGTGAGTTCGTAGTTGGAGCCGGCGAGGGCGAGTTTGTCGGAGAGGGTTGTGGACTGGGGGGTGGGGAGGGGGGGTTAGTGGGCTTGGAGGGTTTGGAGTGGTGGGGAATGGGGTTATAGTATGAGAATTGAAAGTATAATGTGAGGTAAAGAGTTTATTGGAGGTGAAAAGTGGGGAGGTTACAGAAGGTGAGATAGGGAGTAGGAGTTGAGGTATGGGGAGTACGGAATGATTAAAATTAAAGAATCGATGATGCGTACAGAGTTAAAGTAGTGACCTAAAGTTTTTAGGGAGGAGATGGCGGAGGAAGAAGCATATAGAAGAGAGATGTGTGGGCCGTAGACTTTGTACCAGCTGAAAGCGTAGAAGTCTACACCGAGTTCTTGGACGTCGAGCGGGCGGTGGGGGGCATAGGCTACGCCGTCGACGCAGAGGAGGGCTGAGGGAATGGTGTGGACGAGGTCGGAGACTAGTGGGTGTGTTTAGTGGGTGGGGATTGTGGGAATGTAAGAGGAAAGGGGACGGATGAGGCAGGAATCCTCAAATATATTTAGATTTTGGGGTGTACGATTTGAGAAAGGTGATTTGCTTACTGGCACGGATGTCATGGATGGTGCCGAGGATGTTCGAGGCGTGGGTTAGAGATATGAGAGCGGTTTTGGGGGAGAGAAGGGGACGTCTAGATGATAGTGAGCTAGTTATCTATCTGAAAGTACTTCGAGAAGAATAGATATGTTTGACCTGTACTGGGTATGAAAAGGAATACATGAGATGGAAGAAAACAATCAACCGGATTCAAAGTCTTGGAAAGTACGGAATTAAAGGAACGATTAAACACACAGTGATTCAGGAGTGAGGATTGGGTTGCTGGATGAAGGTGGAGTCCACCATTTGATAGTGAACTTTTGGGAAGCGGCGAGAGCCACCCACGAGGCGATATTGGATTCATGATCGATGGATGATATGATCAACTCAGAATCTGGTGGAAAGTCGAGGGCTTGGGAAAGATTACGGAAATTCTGGGTTGTACTGGAGCCCAGGACTAGATGATGTTTTGTTACGGATTGAATCATTTAGAGGGGGGTAGAACGAAATTACCAATGTTGGATGGGGATGCATTGATGTATTTTGCCGCTGCTTCGTATCCTGCAGCGTAACTTGTGTTTGCTTGCTTGCCCACATTGTATGAACCGCCTAGTTGGACATTGGAGTTTATGAGGTAATCATGGATGCTTTAGATGTATGTATGAGATTTTGTCTGTGTTCGATGCAATGAATGCAATGAATGATTGTGGTACGGAGGAGGTATGACTATACCTGTCTATAACGGTCCCTAGGGTTTGACTACCACCGGCATTGTCAAGATACACTTGTTTTTTGAGCAATGCGGGGAAGCGTTCTCGTACAGCTGTGATATCGTAGGAGCTCATCGTCGCCGTTGTTATGTACTGGTATATGAGGTTGTGAAAGTGGAAAGTAGAAGTTGAGTTGGAGAGGGAAGAATGAACTTAGGTAGTTGAATGACAAGAGAATTGTTAACTTGTCCTTATTATTCACAATAACATGGTCATCATCGGCCTGAATTCAACCGTGGGGGTAGCATGAGGGGTCCAAATCTAGCTGGTCCAATAGAACTTCCTCTTCGAATCTAGTGGATGAAAGGATTCGCACACACTTTCCACTTGATAAGATGATCAATCCATCAGAATGGGTCAAATTGGTAAGACCTCGTAGCCAATGAATATAGAGTACCGATAACTTCTCTTTGAAGGACATTGATGAAGCATTGATGAAGCACTGATATCCAATCTCAAACTTGAGACTATTCATACATCAAGAAGGCCTTCCTGCAATACATCCACAGCGCGTAGATTTATATACTTATATATAAATAGTATCCAAAATCATTGTGTCCCGAATTTACAGTGAAGTTGTGTAACGTGCAAGTGTCAAGATTCCCTTTTTTCTAAGCGCTTCGAGTTCCATAAAAATAGACTTCACCGCCCTGGCAAAATCGTCATTAGAGAAGAAGCTTCAAATATAATGAGTTGATATATCCTTAAAGTCTTTTATTTTCCTCAACACGAATTGTTTTACTCTCTATTCTTTTATTAACACCTCACTACTATATCCAAGATGAAGCGCAAGGCAGATACTCAATCCAATGGCGAGAATGGCAAAACCATTCTGAAGAAACGTGCAAAGAAGTGTATGTTTTCAATCAACGTTTCTCTACCTGCCCCATAAACTGACTAGTTCTTGGTGTAACAGCATTATCAGATGAAGATGCTAGGAAATCCTTTAAAAAAGGTCTTTTCGATAAAGAGATTCTCAAAAAGTATACCAAAGAATATGCCAGCTCGGAACCATATAAACACCAAGTTATAAGTCCGTTGATCGACGATGCTCTTCTCCGCAGTGTTCGCAACGAAATTCGAGAAAATGTTCACTTTACACCTAAGGAAACGGACATTTATAAGATTCATCAATCGGGAGACTTGGCGAATTTGGATGGTTTGGATGATGGGGCGCTGGAAAAATTGCCTTCTTTACTTAGGCTACGGGATGCATTGTACTCATCATCATTTCGAAAATATGTTGCGAAGATTACGGGTTCTGGAGAATTAAGTGGGAGGAAGACGGATATGGCTATCAATGTTTATACGCCAGGCTGTCATTTGTTATGTCATGATGATGTGATTGGGAGTCGGAAAGTTAGTTACATTTTGTATTTGACTGATCCAGATGTGGCTTGGAAGGAGGAATGGGGTGGAGCTTTGAGGTTATTTCCTACCAAGGAATTTGAGGATGATGGTGTGAAAACTGTTACTCCCAGCCCCGATACTTCGAAAAGTATTCCGCCAGCATGGAATCAATTGAGTTTCTTTGCTGTGCAGCCCGGCCAAAGCTTTCACGACGTCGAGGAAGTATATCATGCTGCAAGTAAAGAACAATTGGAGAAGGATGGCGGTAGGGTCAGAATGGCTGTTAGCGGATGGTTTCATATTCCTCAAATTGGGGAGGAAGGATATGTCAAGGGAGCCGAAGAGAAATGGGGCAAAAATAGCAGTTTGATGCAATTGCAGGGCAACCCCGATAAATACGATTTCCCAACCGAAGAGCCAGTTACTGTGGTGGCATCGACGGCTGACGACGATGAGGAAAACGGTCTTGAAGAGGCTGATTTGGACTTCTTGCTAAAATATATGGCGCCTACATACCTGACACCGGATACCCTGGAGCAAGTTGCCGAGCGTTTTGAAGAGGAGTCAAATGTTACTCTTGATGGTCTCCTATCGGTCAAGTTTGCAGCTAAAGTACGAGAATACGTTGAAGCACAAGAGGCCGCAGGTCTACCAGAGAGCAGCGTGGAGATAGAGAAAGGCTCCTGGAAAGTCGCAAAGCCACCTCACAAACACCGTTTTCTCTATCAGCAACCATCTGCCAATAAAAGTTCTAATAGCACAAATGAATTGAATCCGATCGAAGAGATTCTCAACGTTCTACTTCCGAGTACTCAATTTAGAAAATGGCTTGAAATTGCTACATCATGTCAAGTTGAAAATTACGATCTCTTGGCACGCAGATTTCGCAAGGGTTCAGATTACGCTCTTGCAAAGAATTACGAGGGTGAGCCGAGATTGGAAGTTGATCTGGGATTAACGTCTACAACTGGATGGGGCGATGATGGTGATGACGAAGAGAATGAAGAGAATGAGGATGATGACGATGAGGAAGAGGAGGAATCCAAACCCAAATCTAAGAGCAAGACTAAAGAAAAGCCAAAAGAAAAGAAAAAGGCACCAAAGCCCCAAAAAGATCCTGAACCGGAGCCCGAAGAAGAGGATGTTGGAGGTCATTTAGTTTTCATGGCAGGGGATGAAGAGAATGATGAGGATGCAGCAATTTACAAAGCTGCAGGGGAGGAAGAAGATGATGGAGTTCTTTTCACGATGCCGGCTTCGTGGAACAAAATGAGCATTGTCTTGAGAGATGGTGGTGTTTTGAAGTTTGTCAAATACGTAAGCAAAAAAGCAAAAGGAGATCGCTGGGATATCAGTGGTGCTTTTGGTGTCAAAGAAGGAGACGACGAAGATGATGATGGTGAGGAGGAAGAGGAGGAGGAAGGGGAAGGTGAAGGTGATGCTATACAGGAGACACAAATCTCACTGGAAGACTCCGATGAAGAAGGGACTTTTAATGGTTTCCCTGACTCGGATCTTGATAGCGATTCGGATTAGTTTAATGGTCTCACATATTCTTGTCACATACATGTGGGGTCATTTATGGATAAATATTGTGTATATTGTGTTATATTGCGGATACGAGAGAGATTCGTGTCAACTTAGCTTAGCATGGACGGACGTATTTCAACGTATCATATGTATGGAATCAGTACATCAACTATTTTTGTTGCATGTCGAATTTTGTTTCGCATTCGTTTATCAGTTTATGAGGGTTTTGGGCTTTTAGCCTTGAGTGCGGGGAGGGAAAAGGAGAGGAGTGGGCTTCTTCATTGGGAGGGCTCTGGATTCTGGATCTGTTGGATTCGAGCTTTTATGTATATGGTCTTACATATGTCAATATTGGTGTTTGGTTGTACGAGTATACAGTACCTCCAAATATCAAGTGTCACATCATATATAGTCGAATCTACAGTAATAGTTTATCTGAATACAGTATTAATACAGTCAATACCTACCGGTATCTGCAATCTCAACAAAACTAAATACTATAATACTGGTTGGTACCCATCTCCAACTCTATTCATTATTTACACCTCCTATACAGTACCTATATGTACTGTACATTGTACCTTTCGTCAACTATCTTGTTTACAGTATCTATTCATCTATTATCCGCACATTTGTGGATGGAGCTACTAACAATACCCTTCTTCATGTACTAGGTATATACATACCGGTACAGTATTGATTATCCTTAGCGAATGCGAAGGAGACGGCAAATTCCGTTGTGATGCGATATGTGTTTGTGGGTTGGGTGAGGCGGCGTTGACAAGTTCTGAGGAAGGGAAGGTGCGAAAATGGTTTCTGCTAGTGGGTTACGGTATGTGAAAGCGGTGAGGAAGAATTATGCGGAATTTGGTTTGGTTTGGGTTTGTGACTTGTAAGGTTACCTATATCTGAATGTATGGATTCTGGATGCGAGGATGTGATGAGGGATGGATACGGTAGGTTAGTGTATATGGTAGATGAGAGTCAGTTATTTGGGGTGGGAATTCATAGGAAATAGAATTTAGGATATAGGATATAGATAAGGGAAAGTTATCGGTACGGTATATCGTTTGGGAATAAGATAAGGATGGGTTTTGGAATGGAGGGGTTTGGAGGGGAGGGGAGGGGTTATTTTCGAGGTGGAGGATAAGGGAGTACTGTACGTACAGTATGATACATGAAATGTCGTACTGCTTCTTTCTGGGGACTTGGACAACTGGATGGATGATGTGATGGAGAGGAAGGGGTATGCGGATGTGGATGGGGATATAAATATGGATATGGATGCGGATGTGGATATTGATATAAGGATCTTGTGAAGATGGACCTCGCGAATGTGTTATTTCGATTCAAGAAATGTGCAGTCCAAGCAAATTCTTAATCCGATACCAAAAGGGATGAGGATGAGGATGCGGCAGTGGCAGCGGGAACGGATCGATATTCATTCATTCCATTCCCCGCTCCATGATGGATTCCATCCCTTCTCAGTGCTCACATTAGAAACCGCATGGTATACCGGTCGTTCACTCCATCGGTGTGATGGATTTATATGTGAGGATGAGGATAAGGATTCGTGAGAATGGAAGGTGGCGAGGTATTCTGTGAGGGAATGTAGGAGATGGTGACGTTGAATTTCGCATTCTATTATATTCTGTTCTATTCTATTCTATTCACATACCATTACATTGAGAAGACAAACTTCGAGGCCGAGTACTCAACTACGAGTACTGGCGCAAGGACGTTGAATTGTAGCTTGGGGGCTGTGATATATTATTATATATCACAAATCAACAACTCTTTACGCTCTTTACGCAATTTTTCCCTTGGTTAGAATTGTTTTTCTTATATATATATATATATATATTTTATCTCTTTCGTTTTGACATCGTATCGTTCCTTTTCAAATTATTCGGCATTACTCGAGCCATGCAAGTTTTGTTTTCAAGAAAGATGGTGATATCGTATCTCAATGAGACATTACTTTTCCTATCAGCGTGGATCGTATATGCGTAGGTTAATCTGAATGAGATGTGGTTAGATAAAACTAAGGAAGTTTGAGAGGAAAAATGGCTGTGAGAAGCCGAAGTTGTAAAGAAGGAAAATGAGTGAGTGGCCTGGGTGTGTGGAAAGAAACATGGAAATGTTGAGATTTAAGAATGGTACCTATGTATGAGTACTACATGGATATCCTTTAATTGGAAGAAGATACGGAAACGATTTTCGGGATAGAATAGGCCGGAGGGAGTACATTTTGAAGTCAAAGTTTGTTCTTGGGTGGTTGGTTGTCTGTCGGTGTTTAGGTTGGCAGTACTACTCGTAGTACTAGGTAGGTAAGTACTCGAGTACATTACAAGAAATCTACTTTTGATCTATATCAGCATACATTCCATAGAGCTCTCATATCCAAGTCCGAATTGCATCACCTTGGAACACGAGGTTAATCTTATACAGTAGAGAGGTATGGTCCTGGATAGACTGAAAGACCACATACGAGCACGATATCGATATCTAGAAATGGGCGTTGGCACACACACACACAGACTCCATAGTACTCGAGTATAATAGATATTGAATATTTTTGATTTAAAAAGGACTTCTTTGCTATGCTCTGCTATGTTATGTATGGCTAAGTACTGTAAGAAGCCGAGCAATCCAAAGTCTAGGTGAATGAGTCTAGGTGAATGAATCAATGAATCAATGAATGAATCAATAAATGAATGAAAGAATGTACAGCGGAAAAGCTCCCCAAAATCTGCAGAGCGTTCATTCATAAACTGCCCGCCTGCCAGCCATAAAACGCCATGCTATAGCGCCTCTCATCCTGAAATCCATCGTAACCTCGTGTTCATGCTCGTTTGTTCGTAATATCATATCATGTCTTCTTAGCCATGCCCGCCCGCCCGCCCGCCCTATGCCGAAAATATAATACGAAGTTAAAAAAAAAAGAACTCCTTCCCCAATGTCTGTGTGTCTTGCTTGATACTTGAAGCTTGCCTTGCACTCAATCAACCTATTTACTGGATAGTGATTTCTTTTTCTTCGGTTTCGGGCCCACTTCACCTAATCCCACTGGTTTCTTCATCACATATTCCTTCTTCGTGCCATCTCCAAATTTATGCGTCGTGCTCCCATCCGCGTTAATCTTGGCAGGATGTCCCTCACTTGGTCTTCGGATCTGATCTTCATGTAGGCGATCCAGACTTTCCCCCACAACCCCATATTTTGCCCAATTAACTGGTGGACACCTGACGATATTCTGCGGCGTTGGTAGCTTCTCCCACGTTGCATCTCCGGCCGCAACCCCACCATTTTCCTCCTGCAATCCCTCCATTTCAGACCCCTCATCCTCATCACTACTACTCTCCGATTTCCCATCACCATCCACCACCACTTTCCTATTCTTCCTCCTCATATCCTCCTCCTTCTCCCTCCTCTCCCTCTCCCCCAAACTCCGCACAAATCCCTCCGGATCCCCCACCGCCCTTTCCTTAATCCTCTGCAACGCAACCATATCTCTCTCCGCATTCCTCGCCTGCAACTGCAATATCGAAATCGTACTCTTCATCGCCAACACATCCGGATTCTCATTGAAATTAATCTCCTGCGGCTTCGGTTGCGGTATTGATATTTGCTGCATTTGTTGTGTATGCGTATATGTTTCTCTAGATGAATGTGCTTGTGCTTGCGCGCTTGGATGATTTCGAATTTGTTGAGGAACAGTATTCTCAGCTGCGCGATGACTATTCATAACGGCAATATTCTTCCCCCCGATATTATTTGGTTGCAGCTTCCCCAATGATTGCGATTCCAGTCCCATCATTACATTTCGCGCGCCGGGTCCCGAATTCACATTCGCATTCGGATTCGCATTTACGTTGGAATTCGAATTCGCCGCCAGTCTCGCGGGCGATAACGTAGGAGTAATCGGAGAAACAGGCGGTGGTACCGGACTCGCGGATCTAGAAATGGGAGATCTGGGAGTATGAGAAGGAGGCAAGGGATTCCGAGCCGAAGTGGAGGTGTTGTGTGTAGAAGTAGGTGCTGCAGAGGAAGAGTTATTTGAGGTAGACACCGCGAGAGAAGGCATTTTGATTTTGATGATGGTAGGCATTTGTGAGAGCTTGCGCCCGCAGGTGGGGATATGTGCTTGCGGAGTCGGATTACTTTTGTCCGTGATTCGGTGTTGTTGGTGAGTGGGGTGATATTTTTGATTGGTGCGTTGTGATTTTCTTGGCTAGGATGCCAATAGCTAATAGCTAATAAGATGTGTTCCTGTTTTGTGTTCCAGAAGATTTATTTGTATTTTGCTTTGTTGAAAGAAATTAGAAGTATTGGACCAAAAATAGTTGTAAACTTTCACATGAATTTGATTGAATTTGATTCCTTGATTGTTGAGTTCTTCATGAGTCAGGGGAAAAGGAAATAAGATTACATAAAGGTTTATTGAACTTTTATTTATCAGTATCCACTACTGGACTACGACTACCTTGTACTACTGACTAGCAATTGTCTAGATCTTTCCTCGCTTACAAAGTGGTCCGGTGGAGATACGACGATACGACGACTACCCCGGTGTGTGGCTCTTGCTCAAGCTCATAGCTCCATAGCTCCATAGCTCGTATCTGTCTACGAAATTGGCCACGTTAGCTGTTCACTGCTCTTCTACCTAAGTATGTAACTGTTGATATATGTTCCCTCTTTTGCTTCCTGAAAAGTTCAATTTATGAGCATCTAAAGGGTTAATGAAGAAGGGCAAGTATGAAAAGGAGCTACTGTGTTAGAAAAGCGTCCGCGAAGGCAATAAAACAGGTTGAGGGTGAAGAGAATGCCTTTTATATACCAGCAACAGTCGATGTGCAAGCTTAGTAGACAATATATCGTAACAGTGTATCAGTTTTAGCTCGTCGACCCTCTACTTTTATGGCAGTGCTTTCTGGTAGGAAGTTATGCGATCTGATGTCTTGCAACTAGAATAAGCACGTAGTCTCATCTCATGGATTCCATTGCTCATCGATCAACAATATTTGCATTGTCTCAGAATCAAACCTTATCTGCTAAACACTCAGTCTATCTCAAATATCCAAATTTTGTAGACTTTACTTGCGTCATACAAACATCTTGAGCCTGGCTTTGAAGCCAGAGTTGTGGAACATCGAAGGAGGCACAGGTCTCGTGAGATAGTCAAATAATTCAAATATCGAGTCACTACAGTACACATGATGAGTCGAGTAAACTTTCATGGTGGAAAGAAAGAGCCCTCATCTTTATGCTCTTGGAGACATATGAGTTGATACTTATCGATTTGTATTTCAAGCTGTTGCAACTGACCACATTGTGCCTCGTGATTGAATCATTAATACTGTATATACTCAGTACTGTAACTCGTATGTCTCAAATACTCGTAGCAGATAAGATCTGACATCTACGATGCCCACATTTCTAGAAGACATCTCGAAGATGATCTCGAAGGTACTTATCCGTGAAACAGATGGACAATTGAATGCACGGTTAATGTGGTTTGTGTTTTGTGTTTTGTGCAATGCATGAGTATATATATAAATGGAGAAGAATGATATGGGACCTGAAAATCAAAGGGGATATGAGCTGCAAACCCCCACTTACTACTAGATCAGATTAAGTATAGCTTACCAGGAGAGAAGTTACTCCGTTCCGAAAGCTTTTTGAGGTTGTCTGTGTTGTTGTGACGACTAAAAGAAAATGTTCTCGAACTTTTCTTATAGTGACCATATCAATGAATGGATGAATGAAGGAATTTTGATAATTTTTTAATTGATCCACGATTTATTGGTGGGCCCTCATAAGGCAGGTGAAGTTGTACATACGTCTATACATCTATACATCTATACAAAGTTCGTCTATTCAAGAGTTTCTAATATGTTCATGTGTTTGCTATGAAGATGTTTACTAATGAAAAAAGTACCTCCAGACTATCTACCTACCTACAAAACATTTACTGCTACTTACTATACGGTACTCACTCAAGCTTTACTGTCTGCCAATTTTATGAGATGATGCACATATTCAAAGAATCTATGTTATTTGTCATTCATCAAATTCCTTTCAACTGATCTCTATTGTTCATTTCATCCTTAAGCTGTAAAGAGCTTCGGAGCCTGATTTATTGAATCGTTCATTACCACCTCACGTCAAGTCATCAAGAAAGGAAACGAACCTAATTACATGACAGAGAGAAATATTCAATATCCAAGATTCGAGAGAAACAATTGGTGTGGTTGGCCTATGTTCACCTTAAGTGAACTGCCCCTCGATTAACTAGTTACCACCGTTGCCTTGCAAACACCCTCGAGGGTCTTCACCCGAATTACCAATACTGAACAATTGATTTCTCTCTCTCAAAGTCTGCCAACAACAACTTTGCTGCTTAATCAACAATCTTCTCCACACTCTTTTCAAGATGGAGGAAGAATTAACCCAGCCATGTAAAGACCCCTCCTTCATTCCTTCCACATATCCTCCACCTCCTACTACTCCAGCATTTGTTTTCAGGCCAATTACTGATGATCCTGGTTATGAAGCTACTCAACTTCTCGCTCAAGCAGATCGCCCTGGCAATGTCAATTCTGGTTTGACCGATGAAGATGCTGCAGAAGTCGTTTGCATTCTGCATCCTGATTCCGAACCTGCGCGCAATGCTTGCTCTGATATTAATAAGTTAAACCCAAATAATACAATCAGCCTTGAAGGTGACACTTCCGACTTAGCAGCACAAGGTCTGTTTCCATGCGACTTGGCACTTCGACTATCAGCCAATTTCAAAGACATCAATCTGGGCTGGGTTTTTGGTCGAAATGAGGAACGATGCGACTTTTTGCTAAGAGGAGCTGAACGTAAGATTAGCAATCAACATTTTCGTGTTTACCTCAACGAACATGGTGTCCTCATGCTGGAAGATATGTCTACCAACGGTGTCTCAGTTGATGGTACTGTACTTCGATATAAGCAAAAAGATGATGGCAAGCCCTACCGACACACTATACAAAACGGAAGTGTCCTCGCCCTTGCTGTATCCACCGACAAACCCAGCAATTTCCATTTTATCGTTCGGGTACCTCAGCGTAATGAAGAAGCCCAAGACGCTTTTGACAAAAACTTTGCCCATTACATGCGTCGAGTCCGAGAAGCTCAAATTCAACGCGGCATTGTGGTTAGTGAGACTAGACAACCAGTAAGTGATTATTGCGACCAGAAAAGAAAATAGCAGCTAAAAGATTTATAGCTTAATCTCTTCCCAAATGCTGCCAATCGAGGTGCAAGCTCTTCGTCAATGATTAGAAAGCGACGAGAGTGGAAAGGTGGCCCAAAATACAATAAGATCGACGTGATTGGAAAGGGTGCTTTTGCCGTTGTTTATAGAATAACCGACAAACGAACTGGAGTTCCATTTGCTGCCAAGGAGCTTGAGAAGAGAAAGTTCATGAAGAATGATGGAGTCCAAAAGATCGATACGGAGATGAACATCATGAGGAAGATCCACCACGTAAGTTTATTATTGTCCCCGTGTATCCCACGCAAATACTCATATAAGTCTCAGGATAATGTGGTTCGATTCGTCGAATGTATCGACTGGGGTGATTATCTATACCTTGTCATGGAGCTTGTACCTGAAGGAGATCTTACAGGCCTCGTTACACAGTGTCATCACCTTCCGGAGTCTGCAGTCAAGGCCATAACTCTTCAGCTACTGAGCGCATTGAAATATCTCCATACATTAAATGTCACTCATCGCGATATCAAGCCTGACAATATCTTATGTCAGAGTCGCAACCCAATCCACGTCAAATTGACCGACTTCGGCTTGTCAAAGATGGTTGACACGGAAGACACATTTTTGAGCACTTTCTGTGGCACATTGTTGTATTGTGCACCGGAGGTTTACAATGAATATAGGCAATATGAACCTACAGGCCAAAGAACCAATCGACTTCATAACAGCGCGATAACACAGCAGAGATATGATCACGCCGTCGATATTTGGTCGCTCGCTGGAGTACTCTTTTATTCATTCTGTGGAACCCCTCCGTTTCCCCTGGGAAATACCACACATTATGCGCAACTGCTCCAGAAAATCATGACGACACCTTTAGATGTCAGACCTTTACAAAAAGTTGATGTATCAGATTATGGAATTAGTTTCGTGATAAAAATGCTTCACGTTCATCCAGAACATCGCGCTACTATCGAAGATTTAGAGCAAAGTCCTTGGTTGACCGGGAACAAATCAGACCCAGACGAAACAGAGGATGAAGACATCGAGGAGCTTGAGCTACCTGCTTCTCAATTGAGTTTGCTAGACAACCCCGAGAGTGAAGGTGAAAGTGACGACTCTGGCGCGGACACGAATAAGTTCCGAGATCGCGAGACTTCGAGTAGCTTCAGCACTAATAACTCAGACATTGAAAGATTTGTGGAACTCGAAAGTTCAATTCTGAGTAATGTGGGTGCAAACACCTTAAGCGCTGAAAATCTTGTAGGACAAGAAAGTTATGAGTTCATCCGAAATACTAGGAATGATGGTCGCCTATATGGGGAAGTGGAAGCGGATTCGTCTGCTTTGGAAAGCTCTGGGGCTGTACCGTTGGATCAAGCGGACCTCCCAACTCCAATTCACCACATCAAAATCAACCACCCTCGACAGTTTTTAGAACAAAACGGTACTCAACCAGTCGCAAAATTCAAAGCTCGTCTTGAAGCTGTGAGTGCCATGCCAAAGACACCGCCCCCACCCCCACCTTCAAATCGTCCACGTATTGTAACTCAAGTTACGAGGTACGTAAACAACGGAGTTACTCAAGCGTCAAGCCTTATGGGTGCTGTATCTCAGTTGGGTCATTTGCAGATGAATTCTCCATCAATGTCACCAACTGAAATCTCAGCGCCGCAGCTCTTACTTCCTGCTCATGGCCAGACCGCCAATACTAGTCTTCGACGACCCCGAGAAGATGGTTGGTATCCCACTGATCTTCCGCCGCAGAAACGACACAAATCCTCGCGAGCATTCGACTTGATGATACCACCAGAAACATTTTGGGACCCTAGAGATCCGTCGACTCATCACAGAAATTACCCTCCCATGTCGGCGATGGAATATCATCGATTTTTCAAGCTTGCTGAGTCAAAGGGAGAAAAGTTCCAGCATGGTTACACAATATTTGACCATGCGATGGTTAGCTTTAGAAGTAGTAGTAAGACTCCTTCTATGGTAACTAGTACATCTTTCCGGGCTCAATCTGAACCCTTGGCCGAAGACACACAGAATCATCCACGATTGGCGCGCGATGAACGAAGACTCAGTGACGATGCTTCTATGCAGCAGAGCATAGCTTCTAGGGATAGTGTGTCTATCACCAGCCATGCATTTCGGCCCCAGGTAGCGCAATATCCCGGAATTTCTTCGACAGTCAATACCAGTACGACGAGGAATGATACCACAGAGACTCCTACAATCGAGACTGAAGGAACAACAGTTGTAGACTCAGAAATTGATTCTGCTGCAGGAAATGATTTAGTTCCGAAGCGCGTACTTGCGAAGTTTTCTGCTACTCCAGATTCTTACTTACCAACCATCGCTTTTAATATCACGGAAGCTTTCACATCTTGGGGTCGCGGATTTTGCAATACTATCAGATACACGACTCGCGACGAAGTCCGAGTAGGTGTTCCAAGATACGCGTTTAAGCTTTTGCTATTTAAGAATGATTTCTATCCTTCTGATGGAAGATATACGGAAGAATGGAACAAGATCCGCGGTGACGAAGAAGGTTTCAGATACTTAATCTCCACCAAATCCACAGCTGGTCTTGCAATAAATGGCGTCAGTCTTCCAAGTCACGCTAGCAATGAACCGTTGTCCGAATCGAAGTATTGGGGAGAAATTCGCAACGGCGACATCGTTACGCTTAGTGTTCAAAGCAGCCTGTTGTTGAAACTCAAATTCGAATGTTTCTGGGGTATGGGCAAATATCCTCGCAAAGAGTCCAAATTCTTTCTCTACAAGGAACCTGATCATATTGCAAAGGTTGATCAGGCTTGCATCAACCTTCAAACTACCGTCCTCGAAGAACGTCGCAAGCAAGAGATTGAGCAGTATAAATTGGCTAGAGAGTTAAAGCATCAAAGAACCAAACCTTTAGGCGTTTGATCTCAATCCAGTCTTTCGCATTTCGATCTTACACCAATACCTCGTCAGGGAAACCTCGACGAGATACCTTACCGACACAACCTTTTTGTACTTTGATGAACACAGTACTTCTTTTCCTTTATTGTACCATCACCTGTTACATAAAAATACCACACGGGAGTTTTCTGGCTGCTTAGCTTTGCTTTTTTGTGCTATTTGCTTGACTGGACGGGTTTTGCCTTCTTGCTTGTTCACACACGAGCTAATTTTTCTTTGGTATCAGATCTAGAGATGATGTGGAGCTTTTGTTTGATGGAGCTTGGGAGGGGTGGATAATTTGCTATTTGATGGATGGTTAGGAGGGTATGAATGAATGAATGATATTGGGTGCGTATGAATGGATTACACGGGGAGAGAAGGGAGAGAGGGAGAGAATTGGGCTGAATTGCAAGTTGGTAATATGGATGAGAATAAATGTACCATGTGCAAACATACTATGGTAAAGAAAATGATAGTATAGATTATTAGTTAAACACAAATACAAAAACAATTTAAATGATTCTGGGTGCTTGTGATATGTGATGTGGTCTTGGTAGTAGTGGTAGTGGTCTTGGTTGTAGTGAAGATAGTTGAATACTTTGCTAGAACTGAAAACAAAACTTGTAAAAAAAACCTAACTATAGCTCAATGATCTAAATAGATTTCATACACAACATAGTTCATTCAGTATACCACTCGTAGATAAACTGAATCTACTCAGTACTCGAGTACAGTACAATACAATACAATACAATACAATAGAATCTTTTGGAAAAGAAGAGGAAATCGATCATTCATATATAAATCCCCTTCCTTCATCTCTCACTTATAACCATAACCATAACCATAACCTTAACCCTAAATCCTATACTCGAGTAAGGTTACCTCGATATCTAAGTAAATTAACTGATCTATACAGTATATCAGGATTTCAATTCCGATTCCGAATACAATTCTGAATACCTACCTACTATCTATTTACTACTTACCTATCTATTTATCTGTGCCTTTATTACTTTACTTCACCCCTAGATACATATAGATACATATAGGTAGATACATATAGGTAGCTAGCATTAATCTAAGGAAATTCCGAAATTCTCTACTTGCTGTACGAGTACACCAACCAATATATTCAATTCCAAATCTCAAAATCTCCCTAGTCTTCTCTACTCTTTTTGTCTCTTTTTCTCTTTTTCTCTCTTTCCTTAAGCTTTTATTACGAGGAGAGGAGTACAATAATTCATACTCGAGTATATTATTTTTTAAGATCCAATCCAATCCTAAATCTAAACTACTCGTATAATTAAATCTAAATAACTAAACCCAACATTTCTCCCCATTCTTCGAGTCCCTTCATTCATCTAATTCTAATTAAAATTATAATTCTAACTCTGTTGCATTCCAAACCGTTGTCTATGGTGATTCTCTATTATCTATCCATCTATCTATTCTATTCATCTACACTACTCGAGTTAACTCGTAATCTTACAATTTACAGTAATAGTAGATCACAGTTCAGACCTGTACACCTATCTACCCTCCCATCTACCCCCATCTACCCCTCCATTCCCCCTCCATCCCTCCATGCTCCCCCTACCCTTCCCCTACCCTCCCCCTATATACCCTTACACCTCTACACTCCATATACCTACCCCTCATAACACAAAAGCCCCATCCATACCTCACTAACATCACACCAAGCCTTACTCTATAACCTTACCTCACACAAAAGCACATTACACCATACACCACACCACACAAAAGCACACAAAAGCCTTACTAACACCACATCATGCCGTGTATCTCAGATGCCTGCATCCATCCACGAGCCATCCAAGAAACCACCATACCTAATCCATGAGCATACATGCATCCATCCACGAGCATCCATAAGCAAGTATATGCATACGGAGTAAGATAGGAGCCTCAATTGTAAATTGCAAGTCGCACTAATTAAGTCGTACTCATTCATTATCAGGTAGGTAGGCTTAGCTTCCTTTGACAGAGCCTGGACTCTTGAGCCGTGGCACATAATTCATACGATATCGATCAGGAATCACAAAGGTCAGTACAAGATTTGGTTGTTTGGGTATTTCAATTTCCATTATTTTATCTTTCTATCATTCCACACGCTATTTGAAAACCTTAGTCTTCAGCTCTACTTCTCTCTGCTTTAAATCTTCATGAAACGCAATTGTATACGAAAGAAAAAACGCCTCTTGGTGTATTATCTTTTGGAAACAATGCCGTCCGTACATTATATAATGTAGTATCAAGAAACTTCATGCTCGCCAAACCAGCCTCTCTTTCCATTACCATTCATCACCAGAAAATCATCTGAAAAATCCGTCCTCCAAGCATAATCGTCATGCGTAAAATACATTATAAGTATTATAAAAGAACTTTCAATAATTGAATTGAAAGAAATCGGGTAAGAAGTGAAAATCATCCATCTAAAACTAAGAAAGAAACTCTTAGTTAAGGGTGACGATGGCGGCAAATGCAAGGAAAACAAATGCAAGTGGGGAAGCGAGATCAGCGGCTGCTGAGGTTGGGGCTGTGGTAGCAGAGGAGGTGCTACCAGAGGAGGTGGATGAGGATGTTCTGGATGCGGAGCTGGTCAAAGTGCCTATTTTCTTGTTAATTATTGTTCAATATACAATCAATTCGGGGGAAACATACTGGTCCTTGATGCAGAGCTGGAGCTTCTTGCAGTGGTAGTGCTGTTGCTTCTTGCAGTAGAAGAGGAAGAAACCGAAGATGAGCTAGAAGACGAAGATCCAGTGGTGGTGGTAGAATTGCTTGTTAAAGATCCAGAAGTGGAAGAACTTGTTCCTGAATAGGAAGAAGCACTTGTGGAAGAAGCACTTGTGGAGGAAGCAGTAACGGTGGAAGCAGAGGCGGTAGCACCTGAAACTTGGAATTGAACGCTGTAGTTTGGATCATTGGTAGAGTCTGTAATCTCAATAGCATAGAGACTGGAGTCGAGAGTGGCAGGTGGAGTCCAGCTGTAAGATCCTCCTGTTAATCCACTTCCAATGGTGGAGACGGTGGTGAGAGCAGTGGATGGACCATCCTTAAGAACAAGAGTGACAGGTCCTTCGGCATCTGACCAAGTAATGTTGAAGGGAGATCCAGCAGTGACGGCGAAAGATGGGTTGGTCAATTGAACTGCGCTGGCAAGAGTTGCTGCAGCAGCGGCGAGGAAGATAGTGCTGAATTGCATTTTGATTATTTGGATGTTCGAGGAATCGGGATTACTGAAGAAGGTTGACTGTAAAGACTATAAGAAGAAAACTGGTCAGTTTATTCCAAAGTGCATTCAGAGATGAACGATCGAGGATCGAGGATTCGAGGGTATTACTTACTTTACGAGTGAATGAACTTACGGGATTTCCGAAGAATACAATTATGTGTAGATGATGGAAGTTTTGTAGATGAATTTTTGTAGATGAATGAACGACAGTAGATTTCCAAGAAGGAATAGATTATAAAGTGAAGATGAAGGAAGGAAGTAATCAAGAAGGGAAGGAATGGCTGGAAGATGAGGGCCTTCTTATGAATTTGGGTTGTATTGGCGGTATGGCGGGCAGGCTATGTTTATTTTGTGATCAACAGGGGAATTACGGAATTACAATAAAGTAAACAAGGGTAGATAACGCTAAAGCCTAAACAATCTCATCTTATTGGCCTTAGTCTTATGAACTAAAATTCATATCATACTTATATAGGCTTAGTTTAGCATAATTAAGTTCTATATTACATGGTTATATATGCATGAGACGAACGATTGTAGAAATTGAAAAAATACGGGGAAAATAGTTCAGGGGTTTTTATCAATTGATCCAACCAATCATCAATTGGTATTTTTATTCATCTCATCTTCACTCTCAATTTCCCTTCACTTCCCTCTCCCATTTTACACAACAAGAGAGCTCTCCGAATATGCTACCTTAACTACCTACCAAGTTCCAACACCTATACCTATTCATACACTATTTACTTTCTAATATATCTCATTCCTCTGTGTTACCAAGGAGATTTGCTGTAGAATACGAAGTGTAAGAAAGATGGTGGCGTTTTCCTATCCTTCTCAATGGTACAAACATCAAACTTCCATGTTCAGAATGCCTTATTAGAAGCTTAGGAATTAGCCTTAAGTTGCACAACCGAAGAAGGGTCCAGGTCCGAAGAGTAAGGTTAATATCCAAAAATAACGTTGACGGCTTGCTTGTTTGCAGCAATAATCGAAATAAGATTGAAGCGCTTCCGAACATTCCATGCTATCAATTCATTAGTTGTCAGTCTGGCGTTTCACGAAAAGCTTGACAACCCTCAGCTAAACTCACTTATCGACCCCTTTTGCGAAGACTTCTTTCCCTCAAAAACTGGCCCATCAAACTCCGCAATAATGGGCTTTAGCAAGATAAGATCTCTGAGGGGTTCGATCGATCCTCCACAATAGTAATGTCCATCCTCCGCACTGGGTCGTGCATGCAAGATCTGCGCTCTGTATTTCTCGCAGTCTTAGAAGTGTCCATAAATGTTTCGGAAGAACAAGCTATTCTTTTCATAGCTCACGTGATTGAAGCGTGTACCATGCCTCCATCTTCTTTCCTACCATTCGTTTTGCTGTAATCAAAAAGCGATGAGTTTGTTCGCGGGAGCCGCATCGAACGTGCGTGTGAGATGCGGAAGAAACTTGGACATGTAGGTGAGGAAACATGACCCAGGCCGTTCCAGTACTCAAAACCTCTTGACTGTCAATGTCAGTAAGCAAATAGCGTCCGTCCATACATACGGATGTACCGGTATAGCTTCATTCTATATAAGTCGATCATTTGAGGATTACCATGAGCGGAGTATTCAAAAGCATATCGGAGCTCGATCTCGCAAAACTCGTTGATATACTCGAGTAGATGTTCCCATTGGGATACATTCAATACACTGGAAAAACCAGTACTCAAACACCAGTTGGAAACCTGGAGCCACAACACTCAATGTGTAACTTTATAATAATTATGATGCGACCAATCAAACAACGAACTCGAATAACTACCAAACCACATACCTTTTGTTGAAACAAATGCTCCTGAAAGTGGATGTGGACGCAGTAGTCCAAAAGGCGACTTTGAGATACCTACCTAGTACAAGTAGATATTTCGAACGAACAGCGGCTTCTCATAGCATCAATTCAAGGGGGTTAAATTATGTTTCCCTCAGGTTAAAAGACTATTCAGTGCAAAGGTCAGGTTTACGTGAATGGTGAGGTGGTGGTTGGTTACTCATCTCGCTGTCAACTAAGTTCTGGTATTTTTAAGCATAGGAACATAAATGAAGAGGAGCTTCAAGGTACAAACAGATAACAACCTTGAAATCATCACTCTACAAGTTGTGTAGGTTATGGGAAAGTCTTAAATCGTGAAATCCGTAGTGATCACATGCGGAAGGAAGGAAGCAAGTAGTTCCTGCCTCTTTCTCTCTTTATCTTAATATGACAAAGTCGTGTGTGGTTATATGCGGCAGGAAGGACCTCCTAGCTACTAGGTGCATAACTTCTTTTCTTTCACCACCTTAAACAATCACACTCATCGACCAAAAACATCTAATCACATTCTGTTTTTATTGGGTTTACTGTCAAGAGTCGCTATGTACAAAATTTCAGCGTCGATGTCTTTCGAGATGGATACGGAGATGAAGGATGCCAATGATGCTACGGTAAGTTGCTGTGTCAAATGGAACGCGCATGTAGTTCGTGTTACTTAATACGTTATGCTTGCAGATTCCCGATCCCTACAGTGGAGGAGCTGCGTACCGTGAGAGAGGAGAACCAGATGAAGAAAAACTAGAGAAAGGAAATTGGGCAGAAGAGCCGCAACGCACGCCAGCTTTCAAAGGATTCGCACTCGCCACACCTGCCGCCCCGAAGCAATCAGCGCGTCTCGCCAGAGTAGAAGTCTGGAAGCAAAAGATAGAGGAAAAGAGAGCACGCAAGAAGTTGACGATGCGAATGGAAGCAGCGAGCATTGTACCAACTCTCTCGGTATCAGCACCTCCCGCATCTCTCATAAAAGGTGCCGACAAAGCCGCACTAAGAAAAGCCCGAAAACTTGCCAACAAAGAAATATATAAGGTGGAAATAGCCGCAGCAAAAGCATGCAGAGAGCTCGAACAGAAGAAAGAATTGGCCTCGGTTCAGGATCCATTGGAGACTAGTACACAACCTTGTGAGACTCGTTCTCAATCTCTTACATTAGCAGCACCTCTTCTACCATTATCCCCAGGGTCAATGTATAAGGGTGGGCAGGGATCCGTGAGTTCTGACGCAAGCAACAAGGCCGAAGGAGAAAGAGGGCAGGATATTGATGAGGAAATGTATGGAGGCTCGTATGTGAATGAGTACGATGATGCGTATTGCGAAGATCTTGACGTGTATCGGTGCGCGAATGTGTACGTGTATGATGGCCTTGGTTTTGAAAGTCGTCCACGCAAAACCAAGAGGGGTGGTGCCAAACGACGTAAAAGCAAGCAGAAAGCAGCAGAACTTCGAGCTTCGTTGCAAGAGCACGGGCTACTTTCTACTTCATCTTATCAGCAGCCTGCACAGGAGATTTCCACTCGAACTTTTTTGAATTGTGATACCATAGCTCTTGATCCCAACTCAAGCGACAAGCAGCAGGAAGAACAAGATCTGGAAGCATGTGGGGGAAGTATTAATTCTGGAGATGATCCGCAGCAACAACGTCTAGAACATATCGATGCTTTACGGAAGAACATCATGTCACGCAAAACTTCGTTGCAGGCGCGGGGACTGCTCCCTGTTTCTCCTTCTCAGCAACTTGTCCAAGAAGGATTCACTCGATCTGTATCAGACACTGTAAACGCGGCTTCTAGTTTTCATTCGAGCAACAAGCAGGAAGAAGAAAGGGGGCAGAAAACGGATGAGGAAAAGGATGAGGAATGTCTTAGTTCTGGAGCCGGTCCGCAGAAGAAGCGTAGAAAACGGAGTCCCTCTTCATTTAAGAGACTTAAGACATTCCAAGCGGCGTTGGAAAAAAGGAAAGAACTGAAGTTGGTGAAGGCACAGCAGGATATATCAAAAGAGCAGGGATCACATGAATTAATAGCATCCCCTTCTCAGAAGCCCATGCAGGACACTTCTACGATCGATCAAAGAAAGCATGGAAGCAATGATGTATCCTCGCATGAGCAAGAGAAGGCTGTTACGCAGGAGGTGAATCGCACGTCAATATCAACAGTGCCAAAGGAGATTATGTTGTTGATAGAGAGGGAGAAGGAACGAAGGCGGAAATCATTGGCACTAGAAAACCCTAATTTAATAAAAGATGGGCAACAGGAGCAGAGCCGAGAACTATCAGGACCGGAGGACATTAAAGTATCGGCCGTTAAAGTATTAACGGAAAAGACGACATCGAATAACACCACCAAAACTAGAAATGCAATTCGAGAAAAGATGATTGAGAAGCTAGCGGCGGCACATCAAACTGCGTTGCAAAAGCAGGGCTTGCAATTGCATGTAGCTTCTCCTTCTCAGCAGCCTTTTCAGGAGAATTGCATGCCTGTAAGTCATGAGGTACCACAGCTTGCGCACGAGCAAGAGCACTTTGCTATAGAGGAGGAAGACGGGGAGTCGCTTTCTGTACCGAAAGATGTTGGAGCTATACTGAAGAATTCGAAGCGGAGAATCGACACTAGAATTAGAGATGTAACAGAGGAGACTAGGTCGAGACCCGCTGCCGACGTTAAGTATCTATCAGAAGAGACTAGACCAAAAATCATCCCCGACACCATCACCAATATCTCGCCGGGAATGTATTCGGGAATGTCTTCGGTACCGCAAGACATAGGAGCCATACCTGAATATTCAAGGCTGAGACTCGACACTGTGGTTGAATACGCAGAAAAGGAGGATGTCACAGGAATGTTTTCAGTACCAAAGGACATTGGAAATATATTGGACAATGCGAGAAGGAGGATCGACACCAGAACCGGATTTGTAATGGACGAGACGAGATCGAGAAGCATCATGAATGCTAAAGATCTCTTAGTACCAGAGGATGTTCGGCTGCCACCCAAAACTAATATCAATGTCTTGCCTATTTCGAAACAACTAGCTGATTTCCTAGCCATGGATCTACGACGGGACTTTGCTGTGTCGAAAACGGGATTTGTGGATGTTGGTGAGGAGAAGAGAAGTAGGTGAGGAGATGTACGGATAATGATCTGTTATCTGGTGTCTGTTTTGGTATTGCTATTGCTAGGTGTGGAAGATGGGATGTGAAAGTCCTGTGAGTCTCAAGGATCCTATAGATGTCTATGAGGTAGTTAGTTTTCTTGCTTTGATTTGATTTGCTTTGGGTTGGTGATCTTATATCGAGATATGCTATGTACTATGTATTTACTATGTATTCAAGGGCAACAGTATAATAGCGCAATAAAACTCGAATACAATGTAACGAGTAGGCAGAAGATGAGTTGGTTATGATGTATGTATCAATGATCCATCCATTCATACGGACGTAATTTGAGGAAGAATTTAGGTCGATAATTATAATAATGATAACAATACTCGAATAATAATAATTATTATTATTAAAAGCGCAATACAATAGATAGATAGAATTGTAGAATTGTAGAATCGAATATACTCGAGTATATAATATAATATAGAAATAATATAGAAACAAAACAACTTTGAAAACAAAGCCCAAGGAAAATGACCCAGAAGTGCCGGCTGTAGAGAGTGATGGGTTGGTTATATTGTAATAGATAGGTGATTCGGGGTCTGGAGTCTAGACTCGGAGTTCTGGAGTGTTTTGTTTTGAATGGTATGGGTTGGAAGATCGGGGTTTTTTTGCTATTATTACTCGAGTATATTATACGAGTAGAGTAGAACTCTTATTAGTTGAGAGAATGAGTTGGATTGTCAAAAAGAAAAAGGGAAGAAAATTTGGTTTAAAATATTCTGGAAATACGAGTACTCAAGTACTGCTCAAATTTACTTATATCATATCATATCATATACATCACTCACATTAGCTGATATATACGACACAATATAACATTAATTATAACTTTCTTTTTTACATTTAATTTCTTACTTTACTGTAAAGCATTATAGCAATTAGTAATTAGCAACTATTGTAGCAATTATCGAAGCAAAACAATGTCATAACAGCCCATCTGCCAGCAGTTCTGTATGCATGTATATTTGTATGTGAAGAAAAACCCCAAGTTCATGATCATCCCTGTATCCCATGATGTAATTCCTTCCATGATTCCATTCGTAATGTAATTTCATGTATCCTGATCAGATCAAATAACACAAAATTAAACGCCAACTCATATCCTTTCCATCTCGATCTCCATCTCCATCCTTGTATAAATGAAAACCTCCAAACCAAACG